GCCTTCTCGACGAGCTCGGCACTTCCTCGGACTCTCCCACGACCGTTCACACGGACAATCAATCCGCTATCGCATACGCACACGACCACCAATTTCACGCCCGCTCAAAACACATCGACATCCGGCATCATTTCCTCCGTGATCTCATCGACGCCGGTACTATCTCCGTCATTCACTGCGCCTCCGAAGACAACGCCGCCGACATGTTTACCAAGGCGCTCGCTCGCCCTACTCACACCCGGCAGCTCTCCCTCGCGAACATGACTGCTCGTTGAGGGGGAGTGTTGTAGTATCTGAGGCGCCGGATGCGCATCAGCCGCGCCGGTAGGGATACCGACATGACGCGCTTAGGTCGTCATGCCCAATATGGATCTGTCATGCCCGTTTTAGATATGACCCGCGCAGAGCACTCTCGGCTCTGCGCCCTCGTTATGCTTCCTCTATAGTCTCAGCTTCCTAAGGTACATTTTATTGGTCTGACCAGATTAGGAAGTAGATAACCTATATAAGAACATGTAGTATTATTTTTGGAATTTATCCTTGATTACTCGTGAATCCCCCGCCTGCGCGAAGTCTTTCACAACAGTTCAAAGAGAGCATCGCAAATGGAGCATAAGGCATGATACCTGAGATGTGAACTTCAGCCACTGGCCACCTACCCAACAAGGAAGGGCCCTCGGACCTTAGTGCCGGACATCACGCACCTATCTCTTGGCAGCTGGAGCTGTCTTTTGTGCGCCGCACTCTGCGTCGCTTTGGAATACATTGGTATCGCGTTGAACAAATTGGTGTCACTAGAATCGTCCACACTTTACAACAGATTTTGAAGAGCGAAGACGAATCCCAAGTGCCAGGACAATGGCCAGATTATCGTGCTACAAAGCTTCGCCTATCCGATGTGCGCATTCAAACTGAGTACGGCCGCTAACGGTGTGTGGTGTCTTACCTCCTTGCTAACAGGTGGAAGGTATTTGTGTGTAGTCGCGGTTGACAGGTGCGATGATAAATATTCGTGCAATGGAAATAACCTTCGCGTGTAACAAGGCGAAAGACGCGCTCAAGGCGAGCACGTCTTCTTGGATAGATGCTATCTCGGCAAATATCCTCAAGCTCAATGCTATCGTGGTTGGCTTACTGGTTGAGAAGCTGGCTGCCACACCAGTCCCTGCGCCTGCCACCAAGAAGCCCACAGCTTGCCACAGCTGCAAACGAGGTATGCTGGCTCTAATCCCTACTTCGGGTGCAACGATTACTACGTCTATTTTGCTTCACAATTCTCTTTCGACCTAGCACAGCTTGTATTTCGTTCGTTCATCTCATAAGCGAGCTCTGGAGACAGGTCGCGTCGAGTCACGTTCGTGTTCGTTTACGCAGACACAAATCGGATAGTTGTCTCTAGCTGCGAACTTAATTCACTCTTCATCGCAACTCCAACAGATCTTGGCAGCAGTGATGAGGGCTATTGCTCTGCTCCAAGTCGCGAATGTACAACAGGCGAGGCTCCATTTGAGCGTCCACTCTGTTTAGTACGCCCTGACGGTATATGCCACTACGTTAATAACGGGGCATCAAACTATGTGACGGAAGACGATATGTACCAGAACAGTGAGAGGTGCGACCACCGTCCACGTACATACGTAACGCAGAGACTTTGCTGCGGGTCCCAAGACACGCGCGTCGTGTTTTCCCTTTCCCTCTCGCAGCGGTCTCGGGCGCCCGGCCTCCAGCGTTACGTTCCACGCTTCTGGATGCAACAGCGTCGCTTCCAGGCACGACAAACTGAATACTGTACTTCGCCTGAAGATTTCACCCATGTCCGTGGGGTCGGGCGGGAAGGATTGCTATCGCTGCTGACCTTGCTCAGTGTGAAAAAGATATGGTTTAGGATGGTGTATGAGCTGACCTAGGATGCTCAGCTTTTGAGTTCTCAACAGTCCGCCATTGCTAAATTTCCGATGGACTTGTGGGAGACACGTACTCACCTTGGTTGCACCGATGATCTTTCAGGGCAAAGGTATAGGTCTGAAATGGGCGAGCGTCGTGTGATTTGACTCTGTTCTCGGTTCAAGCTGTGAGAATTTTGGTCCGTCTTCAAGAGAAGTGGTGAGGACAGGACCTGTTCTCTACCCATGTATTGAGTACACTATAGGATACGCGGAAGACGAGCAGTTCCTGATTAACAGAACTCGGGGCGGCGGAAGCAATGCCTACCCAGAAAGCGTCCTTGATTCCCGGGACACAAACCTCGCGCCACGCTCGCCATCGCTGCGATGCACCATTCTTTCCATGCACGTGAGGAACTGAATTGAACCCGTCAGTTCCCACGCCCACGGTGCCGTAGTGGTACCAATATAACGTGATGTCCGTAAGTTGTCCCGAACATGCACCTTGGGTGTGGAGAGCCAATCGCTTCACTGAGACTAACATAAACATAGCTTTTCCCATGGTCCTGTCGCGCCAATACTTAATACGCCTGCATGGAGGTACCAGAATTGGTCTTTCTGCCCTCCTCCCCCCGTCGCCCTGTCCCGTGAAGTAGCAACTAGTGCGCATCATGTCCGAGACAAAGTCTCAGTCGGGCTCAACGGAGAAGGTGGCTACGTCCTCCGTAAACGACATACCCAAGGAATCAACAGACGAGATTGATCTCCTTGCATATCACGAACACAATGCCGGTCGACTGGTTGTCGATCCAGAGTGCGTACTCTTCGGAACCCATCTAAAGCCTGACTTACACCATCCCATAGGGAGGCCAAGATCGAATTCGGCGAGGAAGTCGCGAGCAAGCTGAAGCTCTCAAAGGACGGAACAAAGGTCCTTTGGCCACAACCCACCGATGATCCAGAAGATCCGCAGAACGTATGTCCTCATGACCCCGCAACGCTTTGCTTCGTCTAAAGGGGTCCGTAACCTCCCACCAGTGGTCGGATTTCCGTAAGAATTTGCAGCTCTTTATCATCACACTTGCTGCGATCATCCCCGACTTCAATTCTGGAATCGGTAAATTACTAATGAGCGAGCCGACATTACAAATTTCTGATGGTCACGCGAACAGGTATTGCGGACATCTTCGCGCTGGCTACTCAGTATGACACCACTACGGGGGTTATCAACAACCTGACCTCGAAGTGCGTTTCATCCATCCGCTATTTCCACAAACCTGGACCGCTGACATTCTGAAATTCAGCTGGAGCATATTTTTACTCGGTACGTCCGCCGACACGGCACCCGGCATCGCTAACAGCTGTGCAACCCTTAGGATGGGGCGGCTTATTCGCGGTGATGCTCATGAGGCGATACGGTCGACTCCCGGTACTCTTCTGGTCTCAGGTATGCGATTTTTCTTTGTTGCGTTGCTTCTGTGTAGCTGAGCTGATTGCCCCAATAGGTGTTGGCCCTCGGATTCCTGGTTGGATGCACGTTCGCGCCGAATCTGGCGACCTTCGCAGGTACGCCTTCACGTTTATATGACGCTTATCGGTCTGATAGAGTTTTCGTGATATGCAGGCATGCGGTGTTTGACTGCATTCTTTGCGTACGTAATGATATGCTGCCCAAAAGAGTCTGCACTAACAGTATACAATGCATCACCTGCAGAACGTGTCCACAGGTCACTGTGAGTGTTATGCATTAATTTTCTGTGGACGATAATTGAGCCATTACCAGGGCCTATACATCGTCACAGATTTGTTCCCCTTCCATCTCCAAGCAAGGAAGGTGTGTAGAATAATCTGGAACAGCTGAGCAGAGGCTTACGACATAAAACTCAGCTGAATATCTGGACGATGGGTTTCATCATCTCGCCCTTCATTTCTCCATTTGCCTTCGGATTTTTGGTTGCGAGGGCCAGGTATGGCTATTCATCTGAAGGCTTATCACTGGCTGAAAAGCATCCCGCAGCTGGCGATGGACGTATGGCATCGGTTGCTTGTACAATGCTGTGGTCCTTACATTGATCGTTCTTTTGGCTGAGGAGACGTAAGTCTCTCATCTGTTCATGCATTAACGCGTATTGACGAATACGGGTCCAGGTTGTACGATCGCAAGCTCTCCAACCCACGCCCGATCCCTCGACCATCGTACCTCCGCTATCGTATTGAGACTCTCATCGGTATCACCGGCTTCAAGATGGCAAAGTACCGCTCGACCTGGAAGGATGTCACCTCGATCTGGTTCAAGCTGGTTTGGAGGCCTCAACTGCTTAGCATCCTCTGCTTTGAAGCCGTTGTTTTCGGCTTTAGTATTGGCATCAACGTGAGTTCTATCCCAGCTTCGCTGTTTGTACTTTCTGACTTTTAGGACGTAGACAACGAACGCCGTCTTCCTCGGCTCGCCCCCGCCCGTCGGCTTTGGCTTCGGACCGTTTGCCGTCGCTGGAGGTTATGGCACTCCCATTGTAAGATGCGACACACCCCGTACCTTGATGTGTAATTGACAAATTTCGCAGGTGGCAGTCCTCATTGGCGAGCTCTTGGGTCGGTTCTTTAACGACTGGGTCATGAACCTTTCGATTCGCAGGAACAAAGGTGTCTTTGAGGCCGAAGCTCGTCTTTGGTATGAGTGGAATCAGCGCGTAATGACTCGTAACTGATAGCTGTATCAACAGGGCTTGTTACATCGCCGTTCCACTTTACATCTGCGGCTTCGTCGTCCTCGGTGCCGCGTTCCAAAAGCACCTGAGTGTCGGTGCACTTGTGATGGGATGGGGCATCGCTGAAGTGGCCGTCATGGTCAACACCGTCGCTGTCTGTGAGTGGCCCTGCCACCTCTGTCCCGCATGCCTTGCGGCTGATCTAAAGTTCCACAGATGCCTACGTGAACGACTGCTTCCCGACCCTGCAAGGAGAGATCTCTGCGCTAGTCAACCTCTTCCGAACACTCGGCGGCTTCAGTGTCGCATTCTTCCAGGTGCCGTGGGCAACCAAGAATGGCGCATTGCAGACATTCGGTGTCGAAGCCGCCATCGTTGCGGCTCTGTTCTTGTTGGTTGTCCCTGCCCTGCAATTGAAGGGCAGAGAACTCAGGGTACGCACCGGAGTCTCCGGGCCTTCGAATTGTGCGCTGATGTTGCATTTTCTGGTAGAAACGATTCTCATTCTGATAGTGCTTCATGAGCAGTTTCTTACGATTGTTACGCGTATATATGTATCCGTCATGATGTGTTTATGTTGTCCAGAGATGACCTCGTACACTTAATAAGACTACAATTTAGGGAGAGGATGCGCGAGAAGACGTTGAAACAAGAGCAATTTGATCTACAACAAGGATAGCGTAGCAACAGACAAGTCAAAGCAGGTAAAAAAAAGTTAAAAATAACAAATTTCAAAGAGAGCATCGCAGATAGAGCGCAAGGTATGTTATGACCGTGGTATAATATCTGCGATGTGTAAGTCATCTATCCGGCAAGGAAGTAGCCAAACATCACGCACTTATCTCCTGGCAGCTGGAGTCGTCGTCTTGCGCGTCGCACTCTGCGTCGCTTTGGAATACATCGACATCGCGTTGAACAGATCCGTGTCACTAGAATCATCCACACTCTGGAACAGGTTTTGAAGAGCGAGGTCCTGCATCTTCTTCGCAGGGTTTTCGTGCTCGTCGGGGTCGACTATCCGCGGAGGTCGCCACGTAGCGAACCTAGGATCCTCGGGAGTCGTAGGACCATGACTTGTGCTTCGCTGAAACGGTCCCTCGCCAGCCCAGGGTGCTTCTCGAACAGTGGGCACCGGGGGTGCTGGAGCCGAGGGCCTCGTGGGTGCCGGCACCTGCGCAGGCGTTCCCGGCCGCTCAGCCCCGCCGAACGCGGACACGCCCATGCTCCAAGCCGAGACAGCCCCGCCGAACGCACCGTTAAGCACCTGGTGACTCCAGGACGACGCGCCCTCCTCTGACTCGTCCGTGTTGTCCTCTTCCCATGCATCTTGCAACTGCGGCTCCGGTGGGGCTTGCTTCACCTTCGCTATCATGGCGTCCCAGGGCGAAAGGGAGGGTTCCGGGGCGGGGGGAGGGGCGGCTTGCGGTAAGAATGGGTTTCTCCGAGCCGGGGTCTTCGCGAGCTGTGCCCAGGGAGATGGGGTAGGCGGGGACGGCTGAACTTGCGGGGGTGGTCGGGCCTGCGGGGGTGGCTGGGCCTGCGGTGCTGAGCCTGCGAACGAGGAGGGTATAGGCCGCCCCTCCGCTGCCTTTCCGGGTGTGCGTCGCTCCCATAGACTGATTCCGCCATCGTCGTCTTGTTGCGCCTGTGCAAGATGAGCAGGCGTCGCAGGTCGAGCGCCGAAAGACTCCTCGAGGAGACGAGCCTGACGGTTTTTGGTCTGCTGAGGTCTCTTCGCCTGGAGCGCAGGGGATGCCGCGCGAGCAACGCCTTCGGTGAGAGAAGAACCTGCCCACTGTCCACCTCTTCTCGCGAGTCCTTGTTTCTTCACCTCGGCAAGCCTGCGCTTCTGCTCCTCCGCGATGAGCCGCCTCTGCTCCTCGGCGCTGCGCTCTTGCTTCCACCCCTCGACTATCTTTCGCGCGTACTGCTCCACCATACTCATGTGCGTGTTTACGAGCTCCTCGAACGCACTGTCGTCGAGCGCGCCCGAGATCATTTGGCGGCGGAGCTCAATTTCGGCCTCTGCAGCGGCACTATGAAACGATCGAATGGAGTCTGCGACCATGGTTTCTGGAAGCGGGTCGAGCACACGAGGGAACGCCTCGTCTTCCATTTCGACAAAGACGGGGCTGATGTAGCCATAGGCGCCGGTGTAGGTCGAGGATACGGGCGCAGAGAAATCTACGGTCGAGTCTTGCAGCGAGAGGTTTTCGACATCTATGTCCACGTCCCAGCTGTTGGAAAGAGGTGACTTGCCCGGAAAGTTTTTGGAAGAGGCGCTAGACCTCGGTGAAGCGGATGCCCGGGACGACGATGGGTTTTTGGAAGCAGGAGTCGAGGATGCAGGAGTTCTAGCAGATGTGGGCGATATCGAGCTCTGCCAATCCATGCCGTCGGACTGGGAGATCTGTTGAAGATCCCACAGGCTCTCGGACTCGCGAGGTAGCTGGGGTGCAGGCGGGGAGGCTTTCTTCCCAAAGGTCTTGCCCCATAGACTCTCCAAATCCGGCTCGACGGGTGGGGGTGATGGTGGCTTTGGCGTCGATTTCCGCATATGCATGTCCCAAAGCGCCTCTGGAGTCGGAAACTTGCTGCTGACAGGGTCCAAGACGCTTGCCTTCGTCGTGGTATTGGGGACCGGATGATCCCACAGCCCTCCAGACAATTGCGGATCACTGGAGGATATTTTATGCTTCATCTGAGCTTCCCACAAGCTCTCAGAGGGCGAGGCGTCACTATTCGCGTTTCCGTTGTTGACCCCTCGACCCATCTGTACGGTCTTCAGTGGCACTGCCTACGGGGAGACAAATAGAGGAGCTTACCGCCTGTTGTGCGAGCCGAGCCATTGGTGTATACGGGCGATTTCGGCCCATGATACCTTGCTCTGGAACAGGGGGCGGCGAAGGAGCATTCCATGCGCCAGGTATTGTCGACTCCTCTTCGATTCTGGCGGCAAATTGGCTCGGTCCAGCTTTATTGATTACAGCTGGCTTCGGCTTTGAAGTCTCCGCGACGGCTTGTGGTGGTGGTGGTGGTGGTGTTGGTGGTGTTGGTGGTGGTGGCGAAGGGTCCTCCGCCGTCTGACTACTGCGCTCTGGTGGGGTAAACGCAGCTATGACAACCTTCTGTTCATCCTCCGTTATATCCGTCCAATCTTCTTCATCTAACCCAACTACCCCCAGCCTCCTCAGCCACTCAGCGCGTGCTTTTTCTACTAGCTCCTCATTCAGCTTATCCTCGAAAGCACCGACGTCGACCGTAGCGCTTGCTGCGGGCTGCTTCCCCCACTTGCTTTTGCTCTTGTTCTTAGACGACATGGCCTCCTTGAGCTTGTCGCTGACTTGCTTGTCCCGCTCGGCACGACGAGCACTCAGCCAAGGCTCGAAGGCTTTCCATTCCTGACGAAGTCTCGCGGATGGTGTCTGTTTGGGGGCAGGGAGAGACGTGGCTTTCGGGGGTACGGGTGCGGGGGTGGGCTTTGCCGGCACTGAGTTTGTGGGCTTCGAGGGCGGCGCCTGCGGCGGTTTGGAGGACTGGCCCGTCTTTCCTGGCGGGTTGGCGGTGGACTTCGTCTTAGTGCGACGGCCGGACATCGTCGGTGATGCGTGTAAAGATCACACTGGGGGAACGACCGCAGTCTGACTCTTGCCAGGATCGTTGATCCTACATATCAGGAAGCATGCTATAACAGACTTACTATGCGCAGATTTGGGAGTGCAACAAAGCGCCCCAAGACTCGATTTACGAGCGGAGAAAGAGGATTTCAAGCAAGTTGTCAAGGACCTGGACGTGGAAATGCGGAGTCACAGCCCCAGTGAGACTCTGCATCATTCCCAAGCCCAGCCGGCGCCGCACCTGTCGACGATATCAGACAGAGATTCCCAGGTTATCGCGCCTCTCAGTAGCACAACACACTAGAACGAAAAGAGCGGGGATAATCGGAGAGTACATGGACGTCGTGAGCGAGCGCAACGAACAACAGCTTGTTATTCTAGCATTGCCCGTAAACGCCCAAAGCACATGTGGGCGTCTCACCCTTGGTAGCGACTCCGGCACCTCGTCCTCGTCTCGGAATTTACGCCTGCTGTCTCCGGTCTGCCTCCGGTGTCCTGGCCTTGACAATGTTTGAAGAGGACCAACCTCTGTCTCCAGAAAGCTCTCTCTTCGCCTTGGCCCCCCTGGATACGGAGTGGCGACCAATCTTGCATGCGTCCAACCAAGTCGTGCTCTACAATCCTACTTCGCATGCGCTTGCTATCAGGCAGCATCGCCCATCGTCTCCCGGAGGAGTTATAAGACGGAGGTTGGATGACAGATGTCCGTATTGTCATCGTGTGTTTCATGCCGAAGATTCGTCCGAGGAAGAGGCCGAGCTTGAGTTAGTGGATGAAGACGTCGAGGAACATCCCCGCTCCCGCGTGCACAATTATTTTCAGCTGCTGCAGATAGCCAACGAGACAGGATCTGTTCCATCAACTCCTCGAACTAGGTCTACGACCCCTCTTCACGAGAGTCCACTCCCGCGCAGTCGCACTTCAGACGATGAAGGTTGTTCCGAGGACAGTCAGTTGTTCCGTGCCGACAGCATGGCAGAGGGATATTTCAAGACTTTCTTTCAAGAAGAATGCCGACTTGGAATGGGTGCAAACGGGAGTGTTTATCTATGTCAAGTGAGTAGCTTCATATACCCTGTCCCTGTGACTAAACTGTTCATACGGTTCAGCATGTACTTGACGGGAATCCTCTTGGTTAGTGTTCTTCGTTCCTTGTCGCCAGTTCACCTGATCACTGACGGAAGATCGTTGACTCAGGTCACTTCGCTGTGAAGAAGATAGCTGTGGGTCAGTCACATTCCTACCTGTTGAACATACTCCGAGAGGCAAGTTCAAGCATCAATCACCTGTATGCGACGACCTTCATGACTGGCTTACATAGGTCCGACTATTGGAAAAGTTGCACCATCCAAACATTATTCAATATCATCATTCTTGGCTCGAGAGCAGCCAGTTCTCTTCATTTGGGCCCAAGGTCCCTACATTACAGTGCGTGATCTCAGAGTTCCCCGTCACATGCGGCTCAACTCATCTGCAGCGTGCTGATGCAATGGGCAGAAGCTGGGAGTTTGGACGACTTCATTGACGTCCGCTTGGGTCGTGCCTCACCAGGTCATATTGGACATCTTCATCCTGTCTCGACACCAACCTCTGGCGCGTCGGATGGACCTACCCAAACAAACCCATTATCTCGTGGCGCGCGCATTCGTGCCTTTCGTGCCATGCAGAGTGCATCGCCTGAGGAGCGCGAAAGGTTGCGCCGAGAACTGAACGGAGAGCCGAATGGCAGTCCATCCACCGACTGGAAGGCTGTCCATCTGTTGAGTGCGGAAGAGGTGAAAAGTTTGTTCAAGGATGTTGTCGAAGGACTGGCGTTCTTAGTGAGTGCTTCCGTTATGAACGGGCCATAGAGGATCTCAAAAGTTCGTGTAGCACGAGAAGTCAATTCTGCACCTAGATCTTAAACCCGGGAACGTTCTGCTGACATGGGATGAGGATGAAGGTCGGCTTATGTGCGACCCTTGACCTGCTTTTCTTATCTCCCGGGCTAACAAGGCCTAAACAGACCCAGGGCTATGCTATCAGACTTCGGTACTTCTCAAGATATGCTCAATATCCGGACTCGTTCAGGGAACACTGGCACGTAAGTACAGTTCCAACTCATCGCACCAAACGACTGAACGCTAGAGCCTGCCCTTCCAGCCTTGAATATGCGTCCCCGGAGTCACTGCCTACGCCTTCAGGTATCCTTGTGCAGATAGACTCGAAGGCCGACATGTGGGCACTCGGCATGATCCTGTACAAGCTTCTCTTCTTCCGCTTGCCATACAAGCATGCATCTGATAGCCCAGAAAAGATGGACTCGCGATATGATGGTCGGGAGGCGATGAGTTTGTTAGAGAAAGAAGTCGTAGAGTATCCAGGGTACGTTCTCGACAGATCTGTGACTTCTACAGGGGGTGTTTAACTTATTGGCAGATTCAAGTCGTCCCCCACGTTAGCGGCCGCATTCTCGTCACGTCGTCTGCCGGTTGCCTTCCTCGTTCTGCTAGAGAATCTGCTTCATGTTACCCCAACTGCTCGCCCGTCTTCAGAGCGAGTCTTAAGCGCTATCAGGGAAGGCAAGGTGCGCATTAAACCGGCCCACCCAGATTTTGTATCCTTATAGACCTTGGATCGTCACAGCTCGATCCGTTACCAATTGGTACAAGACCACGAACACCCCACCAGGCCTCTCTCGTCCGCGCACCACGTCGGGGGAGTATAGAGGAGCGCAGCCGCCCCAGCGCACCGCACACTGCGACCCCAACTGAGCTTCCGCTCTGGACGGAATTCGACTCTGCTCAAGAACCACTTGCCACTGCCGAAGAGTACAAAGAGCCTTTACTCAGCTTGCCTGCGCCGTCCGAATCCCAGGGGCTTGAGGAACTTCCCGATTTTGAATACATCAACCTCAAGTTGTGGAGGCAGGAGTATCGCGTGACGAAGAGCACCGCGATGATAGCGCTGAAACGGACGGTCAAGTCTTTGCTGCTCGTCTGGAAGGTGTGCAGCCCCTTATGCCTTGGTAAGCGTAAGCTTATATATTCGCGTGTTAGGTGCGCTCGCTATCGGCCTTGTATAGCGACCGATTTGCCAATCACGACATTGTCACCTGTGCTATGGTGCTCGCGTTCACCGACTCATGGACGGAACGCCTGACCATGTCTGCTATATTGGGAGCTGCACATCTTGGCCTCGTCCGCCTTGCCTATTGGTTGCATTAGTCAAATCTCGAACAACGTTTTTCTTCATCTGCGCTAATTCACGTCTTACTACACGCCTGGCTCTCACATGTACCAACACCACGACTCTATCTACGGACATACAACGATACCCTTTCATGTCCCGCACTTTATACATATTGTCCTCATCACTGTTGACTTACCATTTGTACGCACACGCAACTCACATCTCGCGATCTAATGTATAAGTGGTTCATTCAATTTATTACTTCCTCATATTACGCCGACACTTTCACGCTGCCAAGGCCAAGGCCACGAGGTGTGACCTTCCCAATGGCTTTTCTCCAGAACGAGCTACCAGACGTTGTGAGCGTGATGTCGAGTTCGAGTACCTCGACAACCAGATCCTGTGCACTATCATTTGGTGTCACAGGACCGGTGCTCTGAACGCTGGTGAGGCTAGCGTCACTAGCCACGCTCGCCTCAGACAAGTCGCCACCTTCGAACTGGTGGACACTCGTCTGCTCCGGCGCAGGGGTGGGGCCAGTCGCCATAGCGGGCGTGCGCGGTGGCGCAGGCGCGGCCTCTCGGGGCCTGGTCGCCTTAGCCTCCACCGCCCTGGCGGGCCGGACGCGGTAACCGCAGTGCGCGGCGGCCATGCGCACTGCTTCGCTACCGCGGGCAATCTCGTCGTCGCTCATGAAGAACGTATCGAGCTCGAAGACGGCCTGGCGCAGCTCAGAAAGAGTGATGCGCTGGCTCGGCTCGAGCACGAAGATGCGACGGAAGATCGCGTTGGCGCCCTCCGAGATGGGGAGCATCTCCCGGAGGTATTCCTCGTGCAGCATGAAGTCACAGAAGCAATCGTCCGTGGTCAAAGCTTTCGACCACGGCGTGCGACTGGTGACCATGTTGACGAGGATAACGCCAAGAGCCCAGATATCGTTGGTAGTATTGGAGTAAGGCATGTAGCCAACCTCCTTTCCGATACACTCTGCAAGACAGACTGGAATTAGCATCCATCGGAATTGAAATAAGTGTCAGAGTGCTTACCTGGGCTCATGTAATAGGAACTGCCACAACCGAACGTAGTACTGACTTTGCTGCCCGAGGCAAGGCCAAAGTCAGCCAAATAGATCTGGGTGCCATCCTCATTGGCGAGGATGTTTTCGGGCTTTAGGTCCCGATGGTAGATGCCGCTCATATGGCAAGCCTCTACCGCATCCAGAAGCTGGAGGAACACCGACTTCACCAACGCGTCATTCTTGAAGTACAACTTCTCATCGACGATCTTCCCGAACAAATCGCCACCAGGGCAATAGTCCAGGACGATGTAGACGAACTCTTTGTCCTCGAACGAATCGTGCAGGGGCACGACGTTCGGGTGGTCCGACATGCGTCGATGAGCAGCGACTTCTCGCCTCAGCCGCTGGGCAGCACTGGAACTCAAGGCGTCCTTGCGGAGCACCTTAATGGCATACCTGCGCGGCTTCCTCGGCGAGTTGGAAATGGGGGAGTTACACGTGGTGAGGTCGATGGCTCCGTAAACAACACCATAGGTACCCGAACCCAGCAGCTTGCGGAGCTGGTACCGGCCGTTGTTAATGATACGGCCGGCAAAGTTAGGCATGGTGCGACGAGCAGACATGATGATCAAAGAAGAAAAAAGAGTAGAACGATTGATAGAAGATAAAAAGATAGATGTCAAGTGTGACCAGCGCACTTGATGATGGGTGGTGAATGTAAAGATGTATAGGTGCTCACCTGCACAAGTCTCGCTTCTTATGCGCTCTTGGTGCTTTGGTTTGTTTGGCGAGGGGCGGAAGTCGGAAGACCCAAATTACTCCGGCGTTGCCTTCGACGACTTGCGGGTCGCAACTTGGGCTGTTTCAGAGGTCGGAAACAACGACGAGGCGAAGGATATGAAAAATTTGGACAAGGATGCGGAGATCGACATAGTGATCGGCGCAAATGAAAGCGGATAATTAACTATTTGCTATTCCACGTTACGTTTTAAACTGGGTTGTTGCGGAAGCTGCAGGCATGCACACTATGTCTGTCAACAGTGTCAAGCGGATACTAACGAGCGAATACCGTGACGAATGATCAGATATATCATGTAGTGTGAAGGACTTCGATGGAATATCAAGCTCAAGAAGCATCCTTGTAGCCTTTAGATTGGAGTGAGACGGGATGAGAGCGAGTGGTTCGGATTGAAAGTGCGGATACACAAATACGGTATGCCGAACGACTGTGGCGTGCCGCGCGGCAAACTCCAGATCCGTCCTGTGAGCGCCTACCGCTGAAGCCGGCAGCCGCGAGCAACGAACGACACACGCAAGACATGGTGTGGTGAGTTATGTTATATTTGCTGGCCAGCAGCGTGCTATAATTTACATCCAATATCTGTCGAGTAACAGACACTAAGCAGCAACACTGAAGAGTCTTTTGATATGGCGACGAACACCGAACCCGCTTGACCTGGTCAAGGTCTTCTTCACGCCGAACCCGCCCTGCGCTACTGGCCAGCTCGATGCCACCGAAGAAGACCCTGAAGTTGTGTAGTAAGACGAAGAGGAATTGCTGCTGGAGCCAGGACGCGCGGAAGGCTTTGTCCCCGCCGCCTGTGCAACAGGCTCGATGCGAGGCGCGTCCGGCGTGGGGAGCGAAGAGGACGAAGAGGAAGGGGTACCATTGAGAGGTACGTTCGCGAGCTTTTCCACTTCTGTCCAGATATGCACACGACCCTCCTCGACAGCAAGCAACGACGTTGAGCGCATGCCGTTCGAGTGTTCGTCAGAGTCATCGGAATCGTCTTCCAGCGAGTTAAACTCGTCCTCCGAAGAGGAAGAAAAGTCGCTATCGTCGCAACTCATGAAGAGCAACTCGTCGGGGCGGCGAATATCACTCGCAACGTTTTGCAGGTGCTCGCTGCTCTGGGCTATTTCCTCTTCATCCATCCACCACTCTTTGACCTCACAGACCAAGTCTCGAAGCTCAGCGAGGCCGATAGAATCCTCCTCGTTCTCTGTGAAGATGCGCTGGCAAATGTACGCTGCTTCCTTGGAGATTGGAAGGGTAGAGCGCAGGAACTCTTTCGAGTGAAGGTATGACTGGTAGTAGTCATTCGCTCCAGTTGCACCCTTCCAGGGCGTCGTGCCGGTGAGCATATTGACAAGGATGACTCCCACCGCCCAGATATCGTTTCGCTCGAGGTTGTATGGCTGGTGTTCGCCACAAATATCGTTACACTCTAACACGAGATGGTCAGCAGCACACTTCACGGGCCTCGAGGTGGCTTTTACCTGGGCTGCGATACTGGGGTGTACCGATGTGGAATGTGCACGAGCTTTCCTTCCGACTCGCAAGCCCGAAGTCCGTCAACCAGATGTCCTGACCGTCAGGGCTGATAAGGATGTTTCCGGGCTTGAGGTCACGATGATAAACACCCCTTTGGTGGCACCAGGAGACGGCATCGATGACCTGCAAGAATACCCTTGTCACGAGCTCGTCCCTGCGCCAGAAGAGCCGGTTCATCTTGATCGCCTTCCACATGTCGCCGCCCGGGCAGTACTCTTCGACGAGGTAGAGGAAATCGTCGTCTACGAACGAGTGCCTCAGCGTCACCACATGTGGGTGCTCATGTACATCCTGGTGGTACTGCAGCTCGCGGCTGCACACCTGGTAGAGCGGGCCCCGTCGCGGGATAATCTTTACTGCCAGCAGCGAAGCCGATGGCTCGGCGAGGTCGCGCGCTCGGTAGACTGCGCCGAAGGTGCCTGCACCAATGCAGTCGAGCAGCTGTATGCGACCATCGTCGACGATGCGACACTCCATGCCGCGGATGGTGCATGCTTTGGAGGGCATAATTGTAGTAGATGCAGTAGGGTAACCAGTACTGATAAAGTGTGTAGAACTTCCAGAGTTCGTAGTGTGAGTTAAAGTGATGAAGCCTCTCTCTACCGCATCCTCGCCCTTTAATACCTTTTTACGCCGGACTCGATGTGGCCGTCGTCCCTGCCTTTTGCGACGCTACCCGCTTCCGCCGACGAGTGACATCGGTAGGTGTGACGGGGCGGAAGGCGGATAGTGTCACGATCGTCGCTGTCACAGTCTCGATTCGCACGGTCATATTGTGGCCGGTGAGGGATATCTAAAAATGTCTAGGAAATCCGCGGAAAACAGTGATTTAGTAGCTTCGAGACAGCGATCCGGTAGAGCTGTATTTCACATCACTTGTAGCAGCGGCTAGGCTGAATCTGAGGGCGCAAACTTGAAGGTGTGTCTAGCTGACCGGTCTTCGATGAGACCAATCCCCTCGGCCACTCAAGAGTTTTATATTGGCATGAATAACTAGGCCATGTCTTCTCAGATCATTTACAATACAAGTAATGCGTTTCTTAAGCCGTTTTGGAGCCCTTCAACGCGACTTCCCTGCTACCGGCGCTTGAGCCAGCCGCGCATCCTCGAGCGCATTCTTGACACCCTCAGTCCAGACACCCAGCTCCTTCTCAAGCCGAACCAGACTCTCCCTAATCTCCTCACCAAGCTGCCCTCCTTCATTTACTTTTCCGAAGCCAACGAGCAGCTCGTTCCTTGCCCTCACGAGCGTCTGGTACGCGAGCTTCAGCCGCGCGGCACCGCGAGGCGGGAACTGGCCCGGCTTGTTCGCTTCCTCAGGTCCTTCAGGAGGACTCGGCTCGTCCACCGCGAGCAGCTTGCCAAGCTCAGTCATGGCGACAGCGCGCACGGGGTGTCCGAACGGCAGAATGCTGCCAACGCCCGTGTTGTGCTTCGCTGCGGCGCGGATGGCATCGTCCAGCGCCTCCTGTGTTATATCCGGCCCGAGCTCCGATATGAGTAACTCTTGGTGCAGACGTGACATCGCGAGGAGAGGGTGACAGGTTGGCATGAGACCTGCGGAAACGAGGATGGGTATCATATTTTTCGTCAGTTGCTTGGCCTTGGCAGGGTCTTCGCCGAGAGTCAGTGGACAGCATGAAATACATGAGTAGTGGCTACCTTTGAATTGGGCATTTGTTGCCTTGTCGAGAGCTTCTTGTCCAATACGCACAGCATCCAGAACGGCGTCTGCTTGAGTTACGGCTGCCTTGCACTTGAAGCACCGAATTATGTCGTTTTCTTAGACAACATTCATCAGCGCGAAGCGTCGAGTAGGAATCTGGATGCTATTTCTACCTTCCGTTGGTAACTGACATGTACCGCCGCACGATTTGGGGCATTGCATAGAAACACGAGGATCTGTTGGTCCCGTATTTTTGCAGAGAGAGCACATGCAGGTGAAGTTATACGCCTCTTTCAAGGCTGACTGGCGCAATTCCTTGGGAAGCGTTACATCGACATATGCGGTCATAATCTAGGCATGAACCAATCCTTAGCTACGCAGGAAATGAACCAATACCGCTTACGCACCTCTTCCTCATGTAGAATGGAACGTAACGCAATCAGTTGCATCTGAGGCTCTTTCGTGACCTTTTTCGAGGAACGGGGGAACACGATGACTACGTTTGGATCGCAGGAGTGATTCGTAAGGGCCATGGCAGGCGAGATACATATACCAACGGGAGAGAGAGTATAGGATGTCAGCGTGAAAGTGTTTGTAGTGAACTGTCATGCTGTCATACTCATGCCGGCACACTGTGAAAGTAAGGAGACTTACACGAGAGATGAGGCCAACCAAGTCTCCTGCAGAGTTGAGCCCGAAAGACGCGAGATCGGATGGGCCGGATGCACCGATGTAGCGAACAACAGAATGTGCCAGATGCGTATGAGACTCGAACTGGGACGGTGGTAAAGACCCCCTGTCTGTGGTCCAATCGTCAGAAGCGGCCACCCTATGTCATATAACTGGCAGCTCACGGGACTGAAGTACACTCATTTCTTTCGTCTGTGTTCAACATTCAAAAAAGAATCCTAGAAAGCTATGAGAACAAACTTACCCATTGGCTATCAAAACCTTTTCTCTGCATACTCCACAGCATGCGACCAAGACACCGCACAGCGTCTGAAGGAACTGCGACATCCTCAGAGGGTGCCGCGTCTGCCCATCGCTGCAGCGCCTGGCACTCCATTTTATGGACAGCCCAATCGCTATTTTGGCACATCTGCGTGTCTATTGTCACGGAAGGAACATGAATGTGACAAAGCGACTGCTTACAGCATTGCAGTACCGCGTGGTACGACATCCGGTGCATCGTTTCAGACCTGTCTCAGGAGCCGGTCCTGCACAATGTGAACAGTAGAAACCCAGCTGAGAGGACGAGAGCACAGAGATACATGGCCGTACAGATAGAAGTATCGTTCCTAGACTAGATCATTAGCAGACTTCCGACGACAAGATATGATACAGAACTTCATCACCTGGCGCAAAGGCTTGTTTCGCATAGAGGCCTCTTCCTTTATCTTTGGATTTTCTGGCCTCTATTGCTGGTGGTAGCTCGATAGGAAGTTCAAGAACAGCAGTCGGCTTGTTTCCAGGTTCTGGAGGCGACACCTTTGGCGGCTCTGGCTCAACCATTCCAACTTCGGAATTTGAGGGTGTAGCATTCTCCGTCGAAGGCCCCTTCCGCAATCCACTAGCGGTCGCAGCTTTTACGAAAGATCTTGATCCCTTTGATTCACGTGCAGAGCGGAGGTCAGCAAACGACATGGGAGGCTATACTCGTGGGGAGAAAATGAGCTAGGGTTGGCTAGAACTCACTTAGACGCACCAACAGAATTAAGGGGATTCAAGGGATTATGTGGGGATACTCACCAAAATACTATTGAGAAACTGAAGTTTTGAGGAGAGCTCGGGAGTATGGAATAAGGCAGCAACTTCGACGACTTTTCGGAGGATTTGTGAAAAACACATGCAAACAAAGACCGCCACTTCTCTCGGTCACTTCGGATTTAATCCTCAACCCACTCTAGCAGTCCTTTGCATGCACAACACAAGCTCGGAAAAGTTGTATGTCGTTACAGAGACTACTTGTGACGTTCAGTACGACACTTTGTTGAGTGTACTCGCAGCAATGCGTGATCATGACGTCACTCGCAGCACGAGTTTTGCAAACTCCCAGGCCATGCGCCGCTCGTTCCTTCTCTACAGTCATGCCTAACAAGGGCGACACTGGCAAGTCTTACCATCTGAAATGTACAGGCGATGCCCTACGGACAGCGGAGGCTCATAGCGAACAATCCGACTTGACGCTGTTCGGTGGCTGCTTTTGTCCATTCGTACAACGCGTCTGGGTCGCACTCGAATATTTTGGCATAGATTACCACGTGCGTCGTTATGATTATTTAGTGCGTGGTGTACCATACTAACTCTGGGTAGTATTGTGCGTTACTGAAAAATTGTTGTATGATCCGGGCTGACCTGGAGCAGATGAGGTCGATCCGTACAAGAAGCCGTCGGAGCTCCTCGAGGTCTCACCGAAGGGCCTGGTACCAGCTTTAAAATTTAACGGCCTTGAGAAACCAAGGTCGCTTAACGAAAGCGTAGTCATTCTTGAATATCTCGAAGAGTACGTCAGCCAGTCTTCGAGGAGAGTCCTAGGTTGCTGATTGCTACGCAGTGTTGCTGTAGCCCAGAAAAAAGGGAGTCTACTGCCTCCCATTTCGGATCCATGTATGTCATGCCGTGAATTTGAATGCATAGGCCTAATAAGATGGTCCGACGCAGATGCACGCGCTCTGGTGCGCCTCCAAGCGGATCACGTCAACCGCAACCTCGTGCCCGCTTTCTACAGGTACCTGCAAGCCCAGGATACAGGTATGGTCCCTAAACTGCCGATAGAGATCTATACTAATAGAATCATTACAGAGAAACAGATTGAAGGTGGAAAAGAATTTGTCTCTGCCATCGAGGGTCTTGTGAAGTTGTTCGAGAGAGCGGCGGCTGAGACCGATACCGATGTCGGGCTTTGGAAGGAAGACGGGAAGCTGAGTCTTGCAGACGCCATGGCTGGACCTTGTATGCTTCTAATTTATCTGTCCCTATCGCTTTCTGCTGAGTTAGCTCTAGGGCTCTTCCGCGCGACGAACGTCCTCCCCCACTATCGCGGCTTTATGATGCCGGAGGGCGCGAAGTTCCGAGCGTATATCGACCGACTTGTAAACTACCCAGCTTTTAGGCGTACCTGTAGCACCGAAGGGTTATACTTGGAAAGTTACGAAAGGTGCGCTTCGTTGGCTCATCATAGCCTCGTGCTAACTGATCGTCTCAGATACGCTTACAACCGTCCGAATACGAGCCAAGTCGCAAACGCTATCAATTCGGGTAGAGGTTTGCCTTGAGATGCAACAGATGGATAAAGGGGATTCAGTCATTGTATTAAATAACCCAAAGTAACCCGTTAATGCGAAAACGCTAAAAATGAGCGTTGACCCAAGGAGCCATCGCCTGGTACGCAGCCTCTTTCTCCCTATCGTGCCACGGCAAGCTCAAGGTGATATGTGTCGCGTCTGGGAGCTCAACGAATACCGTCATCTCCTCTCCTGTGTCCGCCTTGATGCGCTCGTACGCAAGGCGCATCGCATCGTAAGTCATTTCCGCTCCGCCCGCGAAGATTAGTGTTGGCGGGAAGCCCTTGAACAGCCCCTCCGCACTCCCGAGCTTCGTCGATGCGGGCGAGATCCAAGCGTTCAGCTGTGCCTCGGAGGGCGGCAGATATCCGAGGAGTGCGCGGCCCGAGTAGCCCGCGCTGAAGGGCTGCACCCAGTCGCTGACCTCGTTGCGGTAATACGACGAGCCAGGGCCGAACGCGAAGGTCTTTCCCCAATCCATCGACGGCGACAATAGAAGCATGCCGCCCGGCGGCGGGAGGTTCGGCAACTTCGACTCGACGATGTAGCGCACGAGCTGCACCCCGAGCGTGCCTCCCGCGGACTCGCCGACGACCATGACGTTCTGCGGGCGAAAATGGAGCTCGTTGATGAGGTAGTTGTAGGCGGTGATTGCGTCGATGAGTGCGGCGGGGAAGGGGTTCTCGGTGCGCCATGGCGCACTAGATGCCAGGCGGTACTCGACGTTGAGGAGACGGCTGAATTGATGATAGTGCGAGAGCATGTCATTCACCATGGGTGCACTCATGCCAACAGGGCTCGCGTCGCCCAGCACCCAACCGCCAGCTTTCGAGTGCTTGTCAGTAAGGGTCGCTATAGAGCAGAGTTAGGCACACCGTGGAAAGCCAGTATGACCTTCTCGTCAGGCAGGGCGCGCTGGCCCACGCGCCCATTGACCGTGTCCCTGTCCCCATACCAATATGCTGGCACATGCACCGAGGACACCTTGTTGGTCCGCGCGTACTTCTTGATGTCACCCTGGATCAAGTCTGGTGCGACATCGATCCACACCAGGCCGACCCCCTCCTCGTTCTTCGCAAAACGCTGCGGGTCGACGCGCCCCCACTGGAAAGAGCCAGTATTGAAGATCGCGGTGAAGTATGCGCGCGCAAGCTTCACGACGACCGTGCGACCGATTGTCCAGCTGGCACGGGGCCGGAATGGCGGGACAAGCGCGAAGGTGAACCAAAAAGGCACTCGCACGAGGGCGCTCGCGAGGGCGAATATGAGGTAGATAGTCTTGAGTGGTTCGTGCCGCCAAACGAGCTGATTTATGGCCTGGATCATCGCGTAAGGGCGGAGAGGGAAGAAGCTCGAGCTCGTTGTCAATTCGTTTATATCGTGACTTGGTTGCCGCCGGTCGTGGCGACATGTTACGCGGTCCTTGGAGAGTGATTCCTAGGTGCTTGCGTGCCGGGCATTTCCCACGAGTTGACTAATAGTATGGTTATGGCCTTCCCACGACGAGTAGTCGCAGGCTCGGGTGTCGACGGACACCTCACTACTTGTGTTTTTGTTACTAATTCAGATTCCCAGGGCCGCGCTTTGCATTGACCACGCGCCGTTTCCTGAGAATGCTATGACGTATTCCCATCGGTTTGACGGCATGCGAGCACAATGAACGTCCTGCTCACCTGGAGCTTAAGTGCTCTAGCTACCGGCATTTAGTGCGAGTGCACAGAGCGCGAGGTGATAGCAATCTTCAGACAGAACCAAGTGCGAACCTAGCCTCCGCCGGCCACGGTCTATCCAGCTGATACTAAGAAGTGGCGATCCCGACAATCGGACAGTGGACATGTCCGAGCAACGCTTCTGCTTAGCTCGTAAGCGCTGTTGAAATTGGTCGCTAGTAGGTCTTAGGCTCACCAGAGAAGAAAAGGTCACTGCGGGCCGTCGTGAGTGATAGCTGAGTGGTAGGTACAGTATTTGTCCATGCAAAAACTCGGTGAAAGAGAACCATATTTTCTCCGATTCTCGCCCGAGAAAAGCTGGATTTTACTTTCCGCTAGCTTTAGGCGCCTTTTGGCCGTTTTTTGCACTAAATTCCACCTAATTTCTCTCGGCAGTCGGCACGCAATCGAGAAAAGAGCGGCCCTTTCGCTTTTGGCTCGAGTTTTGACAAGAAAAAAACCGTACTTACTACCGTGTGTGAATGTCGTAATCTCGAGAAGGATGGCTTTCTGAGTCGGTTGCTGCATATCCCCGACGCGCAATGCAGAGAGGTGACGCGGCGGTCGTTCGTCCGATTCGATATGGAAGCCGTAGGGGCTTCTGGTATGCTTTGCCACGCAGCGGGTCAGGGCATGCCTGAGGGGAAGAATAGGCCACTTTTCAGACCGGTGTGGTCCAGAGAAACAAGCAGACGCGGTGGGTGTTCAGAGTGGAGAAGGCGAGATCGTGTGGAAGTCGGTCAAGCAGCGTGGGTAGAGAATTTGAAGCACAGTAGAGAAAGTCGCTGCTCATCAGTCAAGTACGACTGGGCAAAGATAGCTCGAATGGTCATGCTCTTCGTGGCCATAGATCTCCGAAGATATAAGGCCGGTGTCGAGTCACAATGCCACATGGAGGGGGGAGAGACTTGGGCGGCGGGCGTACGCACAACCAATGCGCCATCGTCAAAACTGGAGCGCTGACCGTCGGGAATATTAGGCTCGGCATGAGGAGACGAGGGCCTGTCGTTAACACCAGCGACTTGTGTTTGTAGCTGAACCTATTTACTATCCGTTAACACGGCCTCGTCACATTTGGGAAATAGCTCTCTCGGCCTATAATGGCTAGTACGAGACAAACCTACTACTGCGCTGAACGCCACAAGGACTGCCAAGACATTAACCAGCGGAGATGTGCAAGGTGCGGCGAGGAGTAGAAGAACGTCCGTCGGGCAAGCCCAGGTCTCGTAAAGGTCTTGGCCTGGCTTCATCGCCCGACAAGAGCGGATCCAAGTGGCTAGGCCAACTTCTGCATGAATCATATTTGCGCGATGAACACGTTGCCGCCTATTCAGCAAGTCGCGACGATCCAGACCTGAGCGTCGCGCTCATAAAGCCCCGAATAGACATGTAGGGTCGAGACGTTTGAGAGAGCTCGCGACCCGGCATAAGTCGAGCCATTTTAGCCGATGTATGGGCGAGTTTGGCTATGCGACACATATGAAGATGATGGGGATGTGTGGCGATTACTTGCGCTGCTGAGGCTGGTCCCGCTGTTTCATCTCGCGCGTATCAACACCGCCTGCTAGGCGTAGGCGGGAGAAAATTCGCCTACCTGCTGCCTATCGTGTAGTCAGTCGGGGAGAACGAAGGGACACCCTCTGCTCGTGCTCGTTGAGGCTTTGGGCATTGCGTTACCGACACTGTGCCTGCCGAGAAATCACGAAGGATGCGGTTGCTAGGACGATGCTGTTTGGAGTCTGGGCTTGTGGCAGGACGGGGTCAGGAAAGCTTTGCGTGATCGCGATCAGCCGCCAGGACCTGGAGAAGAGGCGTCAATCAACGAGACCTATGTGATACCGCTGTGTGCGAGCTCCTTATAAGAACTCGCCCTCATGTTCTGTCCCTGGGGTTCCACGTCCTTTCGCTTTCGACTTCTGTGCCTCTCTTGTTCAACGTGCAGGCCGTGTTGATCAGTCGTTCCCACTTCGCCCGTCAAGCAGTCCCGTGAACATCTGCCGCCATGGTCGCCGCTAATCCGCTTTTCATGGGCGGGTCGCTTTACAAGAAGTTCCAGGCAACAGTCATAAATGACATATGGCCGGAATGTCTCTTCTTCAGCCTGATTGCCACGAGTGAGTCTTTGAGTCTTCATCATACCACCGGCTCTGCTGATCCTGGCCTCACCCAGTGGTTACGCTCGTCTCGGAGCTGACGCGAACCCAGCTCTCGGTGTCAAATGCAATGCTGACCGTTCTGGGTACGGTTCTTGGTCTGGTCATCTCGTTCCGAACGTCAACTGCGTACGAGCGGTCAGTTTACGTTCGCTTGTGTGGCCCGCGATACGAACTCTGAGTCCTTGACCTCTGCAGGTTCTCAGAGGGTCGCAAACTCTGGACGAACATTGCCATCTCTTCCCGTAACCTTGCACAGGTGGTACGTCATTTCATGCCAGCTGTTCATTTAGCGAGGGTTCTATGTCAATCCTTCCAGATTTGGATCCACGTCCCTTTTGAGCGCACGGACAAGGCTACTGGAGAGAAGAAGCCGCACTTGCAAGTCGTAATCGAGAAGAAGAGCATGATCAACCTCGTATGTCTCGTGAACATTTAATTCCTGGCTGTTACTTACCAATGCTGGCTTAACAGGTGCAAGCGTACTCTGTTGCTGTGAAGGTAGGCGCTGTCCTTGTCAGACTATCTTTTTTGCTGAAACGCTTGTTTTCAGCATATGCTCCGAGGAGAGGGCGGTGTATACTATGCTGACCTGTACCCTCTAATCTCCTTCCTCCCACGGTTCAGCACAAACATCGAACGAGCGTCCGAGGAAGATATGCTCCCTCTGTGGAAGGCCTCAGATATGGACCACGCCACACACAGGAGCATTCACAGCGAGACGCTCTCAGGTTCTCACATGATGCGCTCAAACTCTTCGCCCCTTCCACAATCGAGCGAGGATGGTGAACAGACCGAGAAAGGCTCCCGGTTCAGCTCGAAGCGCATGAAGCGGGCTAAGACCTTCGACCCCGAGATGGCCCTGCCCGTGCTGCCCAGTGAACGGCCCTTGCTCCCGGCGCGCAATCCACCACACAGCACAGTGTACGACTACTTCAATTTCCTCCGCATCTTCAAGCCCGTCATCAAGCCATTCTCGAGGCGTCTCAGTCAGATACATATGCAGGCCCCCTCCCCCACCTCTGGGCGCGGACGCACGTTCACGGGCAAGAAGATCAAGCCTGAGTTGGCAGACTCGAACGTGCCCGTCGAGATCGCGCTGTTCCTGACCACCTACTTCGCGTCGCTCATGAAGCAGGGTCTGCTCACCCCGGCGTCGGCGACCGCGATGAACAACGCGATCACTACCCTTCAGGACACCGTCGTCAATTTGGAACGGATTAAGAACACTCCTTTGCCATTTGCGTACCAGGCTCACTTGCGCATCTCGTTGTGGTACGTGATTTTTTATCTGCTCATCTTGTTTCGTGTTCGCGTTGCTAACGAGATGGCGTCGTTAAGGCTGTACCTGTTCTTCCTTCCGGTGCGTTCGAGGTTTATTGACAGATGGATGGTCACCTGACGGCGTTTCCTAGTTCCAAATCTACAGCGCCTTCAAGTGGGTGACAATTCCGTATGTCGACTTGCTTAATCTGCGCAGTGTAGCGTTTAATTAACCCGCTTCCAAACAGAGCCACGGCGTTTGCGTCCTTCTTGCTCTGCGGTTTCCTCGAAATCGGTCAGGAAATGTAAGCATTCGCCCTAGCAACGTCCAGCGATGAACTGACGCACCCTTTTATCAGTGAGAACCCATTTAATTATGACTTGAACGATCTTGGTGAGCATGCTGCCATCTCTTGCAACTTTTAGCCTACTGACTAACCTTGTTTCCGTAGATCTGGACCAGTTCTGCCTCGCGGTTCAGAGGGAACTCCACGAGGTGACCGCTGTACGTCACCGCCATCTTGTTCTATCTCCGTTGTCATCTCTGGGCTGACGATGTTCCTCTGATAGCACACCACCCCCGACCCCGAGTCCTTCATCTTCACGGAGTGGAACCAGCCCTTCGCACCTGCCGACCGCCGGAGCGCCAAGGAGATGCTAGCGGACATCGACCACGCTTATCATGGCCCGGACACCGGCGTGCACCACATCCGCAAAGCCCTCCTGAAGAACTGGAGCGATGTTGATCAGATGACGAGGCAACAGTAGCGTCGCAATCTCCGAAACTGCTGCGATCATGAAAAGTAACTTTTGGATCTATGCACGGATCGTTCTTGCGCCGACGAGAGAGATCTTCACGGCGTCGTCGGGCGTAGCTGGCCCTGCTGCTACCGATGCCCCAACGTTCTCTTCCGGAGGCTGTTTATTGCATGGTTCTCGACTTTGGTCCTACCTGGGGACCGTACTTATTCTTAATTCAGGCACTGCCATATAGCTTCATGCACTCGGACTTTGCACACGACCGGCACGATTCATTCACGTATTTAAATCTTCATTGACTTAGCACCCAGCGCTGTCGGCGATCGATCGTCTTGCTTTGCGTATACATGCTCTGCTGTCTTTTGCATTCCTAGTCTGAACGGCTTGCGTGCTGTGTACCGAGATGTCGATGTAGTCGACTGCACGAGGCAGTCCAGACTCGGGTAATTAAGCATGGCTGAATCAGGAATTCTCTGCCGGCAAGCGCTGTCCTCGCAAATTGGGCTTTAGCAGGAAACGTGGCGAGAGAGGGAGAGTTTCTGGACGCGTCACGCATCAGCAACGCGGTATAATAGATCCGGGATGGTCGAATCCCGCGCCGATGCCTGCAGAGGCGATCCTCAACCGCCTCCCGATAACGTGCACCATCGTCGCATACTGGGTGCCACCGCCGGCGCCGCCCCGACCCCCCTTCGATACTCAACGTGCTGCATCGCCGATCACGTCGCTTTGTGCGTGAGTCGCAGCACCTGGTCTGACCAGTAAGCGACCTGCCTTTCTCCGCGATTGTCCCAGGCCGGATTTGGAGATGCGCCTGCTGACACGAGGCACGGTTGTCGTCCAGGACATTCGCTTGTTCGTCGGCCGTGCTGCACGACAAGCCACTACGGTGCAAGGAGTACTGGATCTTGGTTTCGTTCGCTCAGTGAGAGACCCTGTTGTCCTGTGAGGCAACCGCTTGCTGCTGAGGTGACGTATCCTCAACCTCGACGACCCCACTGCACATGTCGGCCCCACCTCTGCGACCAAGCTTGTCTACGGGCAGCCGATCAGGTCGCGATGTCGACGAGGAGCCAGACGAGGACTTTAAGAGGGCGTTGAAGGATGAGATCGAGAGGGACATGAACGAGTCGACGGTGCAGAACGCTAGGGAGGAGAAGGATGAGAGGCTGAAGGCCGCGGCGAACGACGAAGAGCGCAAACTCATCGAGGCTGACTGGGAGCAGTCTATGAAGACCTATCGCCGGCTCGCAACGGAGCGTTACGAGGAGCGAATGAAGGCCGAAAAGCAGCGACGTAGAGGCCTGGTTCATCCACATAAGCTTCCACAACAAGTCGCAGCTGAGCAGCAGGCCATCCTCGATGCCATCCAAGGTCGGCCGAGCCGTAGACCAGACGTGGGGAATGCTCTGAGCTCGGCAAGCGCGATATCTGGCCGAGACAACCCTCTCGGAAGGCTGAGGGATAGCAGTACTTTTCGTCCCTCGCATGACGAGACGTATGCGACAGGCGAATCTCAGTGGTTTCCTTCGTCGTTCCCCTACCCAGCTCCCGTGATGGCGGCTTCCAGTGCGCCGATCCCAGTCGGACGAGCAGAGACCATCGACTCGGTCACTGAGGGAGAGTTAGCGCACTCGTTTGGGGCACGTCCCATGTTAACCCATAAGCTAAGTTCAGGCTCCCTTTCCAGTGTGAGGTCCAAACCAGATAGCTGGCGTACCGGAGGGTCTCCCAGTGACATTGCCAGTATTTCTCGCGCCTTCGGCTTTGCAACGTCTTCGCCAACTTCCATTCCTACCAGGCGAGACAGCACTGGTAGCAATGCACGATCGGGTATCGTAGCTTCAGTGCCTCGCTCATCGTCTCCGCCTGTGAGGTTGCCAACCAGGCGTGACAGCAATGCCAGCCTCGCATCTTCTAGGTCTGGACCCACTTCATCCGTCTCTCGCCCGCCGTATGCACGAAGGGATAGCGATCCGCGCAACTTCTCGCCCTCGCCTCATGTCTCCGCATCATCTCCTGCGCAACCAGCTCCCTCGCCGGCACCTACACATTCGTCGTCCTCCGTCATGCCTGGATCGTCCCCCGTCAAACGGGAGAATGGGTCTGAGGAGTTCCGCTCGGGTCTCCTCTCCGCCACCGCTCCCCGCAGACATTCACCTATGCCTGCAATCCTGACTCCCCCTCCCCCTCCACTCGCACCGTCGCTTAGCCAAGGCGAGTATCGTCAGAACATGGACCCGGTTGACGAAGAGAAGCCGTTGACGCGGTCTAATACCAAGGGTAAAAACCGAAGTGATGGGTACAGATCGTCGGGCGTCCGCCACCAGTCTTCCGCCAGCGACTTTAGCGTACGTCGAGCAGAGTCTCGAGCGAGCCAAACGTCCGTTCCTATCACGTCGCCTCAAACGCCAGACTTCCCTCAGACACCAGAGTCCTACCGTCAACACCCGCCCACTTACGCGAGCGGCTCGTTGCGTCGCTTCGACTTTGACGAGATCAAAGGCATTCCGATACGGTCCCCGGCACACGTCGTGGAGGAACCGCAGAGTTCTCCGAGCCCGAGTTCGCTCGAATGGCCGAGAAATTCGCCTGTCGCCAGTATAGGCCGAGCCGTGGGCAGGAAGACATCTTTCAACGTCGAAGAGAGGGCACGTGCACCGTCTGCGAGCCCTGTGTCGACCCGCATGTTCTATAACCGTCCTTCGAGTGGATACGCACGGCGGACATCGGTCGGCTCCCATCGTTCCGGCAGATCGTCTCGTTCGCAGTCAGTAAGACCAGACATTCCAGTACAGCCTGTTCCCGAAGACTGGGCTGCTATGCCGACATACGAGGAGATGTCGCCTGGATCTGACCAGTCGGACCTTGAGGATGGCGAGTGGGACGGTATCTTTGACTACGATGATCACTTGCGACAGCGCGAGGAGGAAACCCTTCGTAAGGAAGAGGAGCTGAGGAAGAAAGAGGTGGAGATCAACCGCAAAGAGGAAGAGGCCCGCCGCAAGGAAGAACAAGCATGCGTGAAGGAGGAAGAGGCTCGCAGGAAAGAAGTGCTCGCGCGGAAGAAAGAGGAAGAGGCCCGTCGCAAGGAAGAGTTCGCACGACGTAGAGAGCTGGAGGTGAAGCGTAAGGAGGAGGAGGCGATGCGCAAGGAAGAGGGGGCTAGAAAGATGGAGGAGGAGGCGCGGAGGATGGAGGAGGATGCAAGAAAGATGGAGGAAGATGCGAGGAAGATGGAGGAAGATGCAAGGAAGAAAGAGGAAGACGCGAGACGGATGGAAGAAGACGCTAGGCGGATAGAGGAGGAGGCTCGTAAGAAGGAGGAAGATGCGGAACGCCTCGAGGAAGAACTGAAGAAGATTGAAGAGGACACGCGCAAGAGGTCCCTGGAGCTTAAGAAGAAAGAGGAAGACGCACGGAGGAAGGAAGAGGATGCGAGGCGAAGAGAGGAAGAGGCGAGGCGAAGAGAAGAGGATGCAAGGCGGAGAGAGGAGGATGCTAGAAAGAAGGAGGAAGACGCACGGAGGAAGGAGGAAGATGCACGACGCAGGGAGGAGGATGCGAGGGAGAGGGCAGACGAAGCGAAGCAGAGGGCAGACGAAGCACGGCAACGGGCAGAGGAAGCCAGAATTCGTGAGGACGCGCTCCGTCAGAAGGAAGAGGAGATTCGTCGTCGAGAGGAGATCATACGCAGGCGAGAGGACGAACTCGAGCGAATGCGCAGAGACGCACAGGGCCGACGACAAGCTGAAGAGGAACTCCGTAAGCAACAAGAAGAGCTGGAGCGAATTCAGACGGAATGGGAACGGCGCCAACAGGATGACGAGGACTCACGTAGGCGGGGAGAGGAGAAGGAAGTGGAACGGCTCAAGCTCGAGGAGGAACTTCGTGCGAAGGCTGCAGAGCTAGAGCTCAGAGAGGCTGAGCTCAGACGGCACGAAGAAGAGAGGCGGACGGTTGAGTATTTGGCCGAACTGGCGCAACACGAGAAGCGGCGATACGAGGAACTGGTAGCTGAGCAGCAGAGCATACAGACTGACCTTCTTCGACAGCGAGAGGCTCGTCGTGACGCAGAAGCATTGGCTGCACAGTTGCAACGGGAAGAGGAGCAGAGGGCTCATGACCTTGCTCAACAGGAGGAGCTTCGTCGCGTCCAATTGCAGGCCCAGGAGGAAGAGCGGCGCGCGGTCGAGGCTCTTGCGAAGGAGCGTCGAGCTGCTGAAGCAATGGCCCAAGAGGAAAAGCGGAAGGCCGAGCTCGAGCAGCAGCGTAAAGTAGAGGCGATCGCTCAGCAGAAAGAAGAGCTGCGACGCCAGCAAGAGGCACAGGAGGTCCGGCGACGACTCGAAGAAGCTCGCAGAATCGACGAAGAGCGTCGAATGGCGGAATTTACTCGAAGGCAAGAGGAGCTCCAGCGACAAGCGCAAGAGCAGCAGCGCCGCATGGAGGAACAGCGTAAGCGGCAGGATACCTTCGGGAACAATCCTGAGGTGCCGCGCACTGGTACTCCCTACTCCTCCGCCTCGCAGTCCTACACAAACTGGACCCCCGGTACCAACCGTTTCAGCTCTGCGAGTACCGCCTCTTCTAACAGTAGCACGTCCTCGAACTGGCCATATGCGTCTTCAACCTCCTCCAGTAAGTCTGGCGCCAGCTCGCAGACCTCTGCGAGTTCAGCTACTGCCAACGCCTCCAGGGCCGTGCCTGGATGGAGGCCGACGACTGCGAACCCTTTCGGTCCGACAGATGCAGCGAATGCGAGACCTGCCGCGCCTGAGGATCGCGAGCGGACCTGGAGAGAACGGCAGGAAGAGCATGCTCGTCGACAGGCTGAGGCGTTCCAGCGGGAGCAAGAGCGACTTGAACGCGAACGACTGGCGAGGGCCGGGAAAGTCATGTCCAAGGAGGACGTTCTGCGTCTGTTCGAGGAGCACGAGCGGATATGGCTGCGCATCCCTACGCTCGACATGCTGAGCTGGAACAGCTTCGCCTGGCCAATGCTGAAGAAGCCTTCGTCGCCGGAAGAACTGACTACAGCTGCCATCAGCGCATACGTTTTGAACTCGTACCTCCCGCAGGACAGGTCTGATAAGGACCGTATCAAGGAGCACATCAAGCGTTGGCACCCTGACCGATTCGAGACAAAGCTCCTTCCGAAAGTCAGGAGTGATGAACGCGAGAAGGTCAAGGAGGGCGCTGGCCAGGTCGTACGCAGCTTGAACGAGTTGCTGACAAAGTCGGGCTCGTCGTTATTCTGAGAAACCACAGTGAGTTGTTTGATTTTCTGTGTTCATTGAGTCATATCTGACGAACTTCGTAGCACGACCCCCTATGCATCCGATACCCTTCACTCGTTATCTTGTATACCTACGTTGAGTAACTTGACCGTCCGCATATCCATTCATAGGACCTGTACGCAAACTGTTGTATGTTGTATTTCTCCCCACTCCAGAGAATCAGTCGCAACTGTTGTAGAGTATCCAAATTGTGTTCTTTACTGCATGTATCTGTCGTTTAACTTGCATATATCGAAGTCCTTGCGGAAAGCCGTGCTTCTGCGCATGGCTTATATGACGTATGTGTAGTGGTATTTTCAGTGAAAAGTGGGCGAGTGTGCTGAGGCAAGTCTGGAAAGCTCCTAACTTGTATTCGATGCTGGGCTAGGGTACTTAGCGCGTCAACGAGAGGGACCGGCACGTACTACAAAGGAAGTGTAGCGTGTAATATCCGACCGTAGGTTCACAGTCCCTGCCGCCCGCCGCAATAACCGCAGATCTCACGAACATGGAGCGTATCTTTCATGTCGTAGGCTTTCATGGGGCGCAGCTGACGTTGCCATTTGTCGTAGCACAGTGCATATATACAGCTTCGTCTGTCGCTGAGCTACGCAGACGGAGTTATTCCTGCTGGGCTTGCCTAACGGATATCTCTCGGAGATGACTCGGACGATGCTTACCACTGTACTATCGCTCAATGTGCAGACAGTTTGCCGCACATTGTAAGTCTGAACCAGGTAGCGACGCGACGGGTCAGTCTATTTGCATAAGACACGGGCTTTCATGCCGTTTCCTTTGGGCGCGGGTGTATATTTTGCCGTTCGACCTTGTCGCAGAAACGTGTGGCATGCCTGATTGACAGGATACAAATACGCATTCCCATGATACCCTGCGGTAAGTAGTAAGGGACTGAGCGTCGGCGTCATAGCTTGAATATGGCGCAGTATTGCAATTCGAGCGCTGTAAATCTCATGCTGCATACCTTAGTCCGCCGGGTACTGTTCAATTCAAATGGGCAAGAATGTGAGTGCTTCAATATAGATCGTAGCAGTCTGTTACGGACGAGCAGAAGGTGAGGAGGAGGAGAGGCTTTGGGTGTGGAGGAAAACAGAGGAGAAATATTCAAGCGCCCACCACCGACGTCCCATAGCGCGTCAAAGCCTTCGTGACGCCGCTCTGTCTGGCTAAGCAATGCAAAAGCATGTTCAGCCTCACGCAAATTCATGGTGGCTAAAGTTGCTATCAAGCCGTATGAAGTGCCTCGAGGCATGAGCCAAAACAGCCCGCCAGGCGGTTCACGGCGTAGCCATTCCCGCTCGTTAAAACAAAACTGTGAACGTGGGAATGCGTTTCATATATGTACTATACTTACCGGCGATCAGCCCCACTCCAAGGTAAGCCTCGGCCATGACGCAACCCAGGTCCGCGCGAGGCTGCAAGTATAAGAGCAAGAGCAGCGTGCAACTTTGCAGACTCTGCATTCTACCTTGAACTTGTACTTCCAGCACACGCACATACACACGAAATTCACGACTCATCATGACTAGCGGTGTTTCGCCCACGAGTGACGTCCTACTGTATTTCTTGGCTATGTAAGTCGCTGCCTCGTGGAGAGATAGGGGCGTGGGGCTGACCGTCGCCGATAGAATCATTCCCCCCTTGCCTGTATTCTTCAGTGAGTAGACGGTCTCTTGACTGTTCGACAGTGGCTTACAAAATCTTTGTAGAGCGAGGACTTACCGCTGGCGAGTCTCTCGAGTCCTGTACATGTTGAGCAGCGGAAGCTGAGAGTTTGAATAGATTTCTGGATCAACATCCTGTTGTGGATCTTGGGATGGATCCCCGGTATCATTCACGCCTGGTGGGTTCATATGCATCAACCTTCGCCAGGTCTCCTAACCGCTCCGGCAGGTACATTATCTCGAGGAGTGAAGGTGTCATGCGGTAGAAGGCTGAACAGCCACGAATACCTTACGACTAATACCTTACAACTATCTTAATTTTGTATCGATTATGCTATACCTTGCTGCCATGTAATATGCCCACCATGAACGGTAATTCTTATGCCTCGAAGAGCTTTGACAACGACAAATTAGTACAACAGGAAGTGAAAGTGTAGTGTACAGACTAAGCCAACCCCGAGTGATGGAAATCGCCCAACATAGCTCTGCATGCCAGCCGCAAGCGCAGTGCTCAATCGACCTTCTTGACCTCCTCCACCGGCTTTCGTCGCTCGAGGATCTGCACCCACTTCTTCGGGAACCAGCCTTCCCGGCCTTCCCTTGTCCGGCCTTTCCACCATTCGCTCTCGACCTGATATTCGTAATGAGGTGTATGAGTAAGGGGGAAATTGCATTGAGACTGACCTCAAGTCGCGGATCAACCTCCTGGCCGGTCGCAGGGTCGAGCTTGCCCATAATCGCGACAATCTCGTTTTCTTTGAGGGATAGCTCCGCAGGAGACGATGCTTCGAAGGGATAGAGTGCCCGCGCGAAAGTGAGCTGTGAGGGGTCAAGTGGAGGGAGGCCAGCGGGGCCGGCCGCGAGTTGCGCTTGCTGCTGTTGCTGCTGCCTCTCCGTAAGGATGCGAACGAGCTTGTGCATGGCATATGGAACACCAAAGATGGCGAGCAAGAAGATGATGAGTGGCTTTTTGCTCGGTTTCGGGCCTGCAGGAGGTCCGTTTGGACCCTGGACAGGCCGTCCGTTAATAAACTCCTTGAACTCGCCACGGAGCGCAGTGGCACTTGGTCGTCCTGTGAGAAGGTCTTTCATCCCTCGTACGAGACCAAAGAGGCCGAGGACGCTGCCAAGTGCGTTCCTTAGCTGTCCGAACTGATCGATAACGCCGACCATCGCGAAGAATGAGGAGTGTGTCGCCATGAATGTCGACTCGAGCATCTGTGCGACGCCCGAGAAGGTCTGGACTATCGAATGCAGGAGCGCAAAGGTATGTTGGGTCGTGGACTCGAGTGTCTGGGTCAGGGTCGGGCTGTTCGGGTCAAATGGTGGTGGTTGTCCGTACATGCCCATCCCAGGTCCGTACATGCCATTCATCCCGTAGCCCCCGTATCCTCCAGCCCCATAGCCCCCAGCCCCGTATCCCCCAGCCCCGTATCCTCCAGCCCCGTATCCTCCAGCTCCATACCCACTTAACCCTCCATAACCGCCATACATCGAGTTCATGCCATAAGGGGAGTACGTCGAGCGTGTGTTGGCATATCCGTAGGGGGAAGGGTTTGCCACAGCGGTGGTGTTGGTAGGTGCAGCACTTGTGCCGGACAGAGCTGCTGGTCTTGTGGGAACAGAGGGCGGCGATGAAGATGTAGACGTTGAAGATGGCTGTACGGCGGACGATGTCGTGGTCGATTGTGGCATGGCGGCGGGGGTTGTTGATGCTGAGGCTGGTGCGGCGGCCGTGACGCCTGCTCGCTCCCAAGGTTTTGGCGGTGAAGGCATGATGGTAAGGCGGTGGCTGGCTGAGAGCCCCTTGGGGTCGGCGATGGTGCGGGAACAAGCCAACTGGGTCCAGACAGCACCGGATAACCGGACATGAATGCCGCCGGCTTTCCCACATGGCTCTAGCAGCCCCCAGAGGCTGGACCAACAGGCGCCCACATCAACCGTCCACCTTCACGCTGCTCCTGTCCTTTCGCCGCTCATAATATTTCTCAGTATAATCTAATCCGGCCCGGTCCAGTCCAGTCTCGTATAAATGTTTGATCCAGCCTCCCCTGAAGACTTGGCTGCAGCTGCAGCAATCTTCAAGAATCCCGTGCCTGTCCATGGACCAAAGCGTAATACGGTATGTGTCAAGTCGGACTGACCAAGTTGCATTATGCACATCCCTCGCTTTATGAATAACTGAAGCATGCACCTTATCTAGGCATGTCAACAATGTCGCAAGCGCAAGCTCGTGAGCATTACAAACATCATGCGTGATTTAGTAGCCTAACCAACACAACTTCGATTGACGTCAAGTAGAAGTGGTAAGTCAAAGTGTCTGAAGCTTCCAGAGCATTGAAACACTCAAGCAATGTACCAGTGACTCGCAAAGACCGTGCTCTACATGTGTCAGGTCCCTCGCACACGCCCGTGCACATGCCGTTGAAGGCGTTCCCCTGCCAGACGAGCCAGATTGCACGTACGGCGACGACAGAGGTGAGCGCTCCAGCTGAATTCTCCTGCAAGCTTACCTAATCTACGTGCAGAAAAAGATCAGCTGCAGGCTTCAAGCAAGGTCGAGAGGCTTGAAAACAGGATTAGTAAGTTTAAGTAAAGCACAATCATTACATATATACTAAAAGCCTGAGGCCAGGTGAATTAGAGACACTGCTATCTCAAATGCAGCTGGCACTTGAAGCATCTCATGCATCTTCGCCTGCTTCTTCATGTCCATCGTATGTGAGTCTTGTCGCGTGGACATCACTACGTGCCAGTACAAACTAACGTATCATCGCAGACGTCGCCGGCGGCCGGTCCATCGCCTCAGCAAATATCACCAATAACGGTAAATTCATGCTTCACGAAATCTCATTGACCGGGCTTACTGGGACCACATGTAGACATTCACGCCTCCACGTACCAATAGAACGTATACATATTACGACTCGCTTCCGGCTCAGCAAGATAATTCGGGCCTCGGCATCATGAATACCGGATACACGGATCCAACTAGCTCCTCGTCTATGCCCAATGTTGACCAGAATGCCGTAATCCCGATATCAAACAGCAGAAAAGCACAATTGCTGGCTATGGGTTGGCCAGAGCATCTCCCAGACCCGATGATTACGAAACATCTGTCAGTCATTATCGCCGCCCTTCACGTCTCGTCCTGAGCACTCACCGCCTAGTCTAGCGTTCATGCCTTTTTTGCCTTCAACATGTATGCTGGACGGCTTTTCCACGGCCCAACATTCCTCGCGTCGCTAGATTTGCACCCTAACAACTCCCGCTTCCCCTTCTCCGCCATCCTTCATGCTATGTGCGCTGTTGGCAGCCTATATACTGCCGATATACCACAGCCACCTACGCAATCAAGAAGCCAATATACTCGTGAGTGACGCCCCAACGTAGGTGTTGCCTACTACGAAACTTAGTCTCCTTTCAGAAAGTGGTCAATTCTTCGCTGTAGACGAGCTGTTCTCTGGTAGGTGGCGGCAGTTCGAACGGAGGCCGGATTCATTTGCGGAGGTACAAGCCAAGCTGGCAAGATTTGCTGGAGAGGCAGCTATCAACCGAGGAGAACGGCTCGTGGAGTGTCTGCAGAGTATGCGTTTAACCTCTTCTGAGCGACCTCTCCAGTAACTTTGGATGCAGCTCAGATCATCCTTACTTGGTTCCTTCTCATTCAGGCGCGGTAAGTTAAGGTGCAAGTCAATCCGAGCTGTAGCTACTGATCAAAGTGTGGAAAGGTGGTCGGAGGTCAGCTTGTTCTGTGCTTCACGCATTAAATCGGCTGACTTATCGCGATGATCCGTAGTCATACATCGCCTCTGGACGATCGATAAGATCTGTCGCGCCCTATGGATTTACCATGGCTGCGCCTTTCCACGTGACGACACAGGCTTTGACGGCAAATGCGGAGAGGCCGCCATCCATCCTCCCGAATCCGCAGACTGTCGTTGAGGCTGAGATGCGACGGAACATCTTCTGGATAGGTCCGCAGTCATCTATTGTCAACTGCATAAGTGCTGACCGCACGCATAAAATAGCGTATGCCATGGAACGACAGCAGGCGTGCGGAAACAGTTTCGCGATGATGTTGGACGACCTGGACGTCTGCCAGCTGCTGCCCGTGTGCGGCGACTCGTATGAACAAGGGGTAATATGTGCCTACTATTTCCAGCGCCTGTCATTTCTGATCCGAATGCCCGAAGACCCAAGTCAGTATGCGGGAACGCCAATGGTCGCACGACAAGCGGATGTTCCTCTCGCACGCCCCAAACCAAACCGACTCGTTCGTGCTTTTCATCAAGACGACCATCCTGCTCTCGCACGTCAAGAACTTCAACCTCCGCTACCGTGGTCGGTATTACCAGGGCGACCCGAGCATGTACGCGCCGAACCCTGTTATCGAATCGCCCGCGACGTACGACCCACGGTCTTCGCCCGCGTTCAAGGAGCTGGACAGTCTGATCGCTGCGTTCAGACCAGCGTTCCCGTCGCATCTGAAGAACCCCGTGCAGGACGAGATGGTGGACGCATATCTGTACGCCGCCAATTGCGGCGCACAGCTGTATGTCCGTTCCCCCGATAATCGCGTGCGTATCTAATGCTCTTGTTATAGGGCGCAGATCCTCTTACATGAGCCTCACGTGCACATGTCGTCCCCTCGTGATCCGTCTACGCATAAACTAATCAATGCTGCCCGCGGCATCTTGGAGCTCATGTATGCGATCAGTGCGACGAGCTATGACATCTCCCTTTTGGACCACCTTCCTATCGTACGTTCACACCTGACGTCTCTCATTTGATGCGCTAACGTAACGTTCGAAAGCTGTCATGGAACTGCTGCGGCAGAGTGCTCATCAAGGCACTCCGGGTTGCCAATGAGACCAAGAATTACGAGCAGGCGATGGTCTTGCAATCCGAAATTGCCTACGTCCAGTATGTATCCGCCGTGTAGCCTGCGTCACTGTCTGCTGTCTGACACCATTCCACTGCAGCTCCATGCTAGCAAAAGCGGGCGAGCGCATGCCTCTGGCGTGTACGTAGTCAGCTCCGCTCAAATACTTGTGCACAACGCTCACCGTACCTCTAGATCGCTACAAGAAGATGGTCTACGCCTTCCTCGCAAACCACTGCGGCCCGCAGTTCGTCGAGTCGCTCCCACAGACGTCGTACCACGCGCGCTTCCCGTCGCCACCCGAAGGCTTCTACCCGACCAGCTCGGCACAAGTGAGCAATGTCAATATCTATTCGCCTGGCACGTACGCCGCTGTTGATCCTGGGATTTTGCCGATGGGCCAGCAGATGCAAGGTGCGACGCACAGCCATGTGTATCACCCACATCAAGTCTAGATTAGTTGGATAATGTATAATGGTTTCCTACATGATCTTATAGTATAGTGTACAGATAATGCCGTATGGCTGTCACTGGAATCTTGGAAGCTTATCCCAAGTGCATCTACCTCCTCTCAGCATATGTCACCGAACTCGATCTTGCCGAGATTTTTATTTGATAGGGCTCGCGGATAGACCCTAAAAACGCGTAGTATCAGCCAACAAACTCTACAATTGAGGTGATAGAGCCTGAGCACTGACGATGACAGAACGAACGGTCCCTGGGTCTTTCATAACAAAGAGCGATCAAGACGTCCGAAACTAACGGAGGCCCAGTTCTAGAGTTGGTGAGCCGTATCTTTATCTGTTCAAGATCATACTCCCTGCCGTCATGCAGACGGGCTACTCCGGGAAGGGCTGCGGCCGTCGCGACGACTCGCAGGAGTGGCGCCGCGTTAGCTTGCACTTGGCGCGATGTTCACCATGCATGGCAGAGCAACGGCTGGCTGCATTCGTTGACGGATCTGAATGCTCGGCTTGCCTAAGCAGGCCCGACGTCGGCGTCCGAGTCCGGTTCCGATCTTGGCGGGTGTGCGCCATGCCGAGCACGCCGGGGCCACTGGCCGACTGTTGCCGGCCGCGGAGAGCGTTTCGATGCAGGGTTTGCGAGCCGTGTTTAATGAACTCAGGCTGTAGTTGGATTGCCGTAGTGGCGCACCGAGAGGCAGCGGAGCACGACTGTGTTCTTGAACCGATTAATGCTACTACGCGCGCCGGAGTCGGGAACCGTTAACGGGTCTCATTTCAGCTTGAAGTATGCGGTGACTCTGGTGCTTCTTGCTCTTACTTCAACTTTAGACGACATCCTCTGCGCGGGAGGTGCCTACAATCTGGACACTACAACCAGCAAACGTCAACGTTTGAACCCAGGCGCTGTGTCCGCTTGGTCAGCTTTCATCCCCCCAACCGGCGTCGAAGGCAGGCTCGAGGATCATCAAGGTGCTGGTGCACGAGAAGCAGCTCGGTGTCCTGTTTATTGTGGCGCGTAAGGTGTGGCTGCGGTTTGCAGAGAACGTGCTGATAGTGACTTTGGCCCATCGTCGTACAGCTTTCACTCTGTTTTCTGCTCACCGAGTCCGAACCCATAGTCGGATGGGCCGGGGGTGCAAAAGAGGGAGTATAGTTCCTCGCTTGTAAGAACTGTATTCTTGATCCTGGGCATTGCTTGCTGTTATCATGGTATGCGCCTTTGTGCTTCCATCAAACGCGCCGCTCCCTGACGCGAGATAGCGGGCCCTGCGACGCGTCGCACGATGTTACAGCCACTCAGCTGCACGTGCAACATCTTGTGGTCGGACAGCATGAGGCACGGAGAGTCTGATGATTGATACATCTGCGGCCAGGCGGTAGCGCACACGATAGATTGCCTTGGAGATATCGGAGTACAGTAAGGGACGCGGAAGTGAGAACACCAGACCTGCCAGCGCCTCAGCCGTGTCGTCCGGCGACCTGTCTGGCAGCAATGTGGCGTCGCAGCGCAGGAAACCGCATCTCACATGTCCCGAATGTCACAACCTCTGCTACCTTACAAGTCCAAAACGCGCACCAAATAGACGTAAGGCGGTGGGGCACTAGCTTGCCACGCTGCCCGCCCGGGAGGCGCCGCGGGGGCAGGTGGTTTCGTTGCGGACGTAGTCCGCACATAAGACAGACACACATACGGCGGCATGCCACGGCCCTCACCACTGCCGCACTGCCGCCTCTGCCAAGAGGGTATAGCGGACATACCTAGGGCTGCAACCTATGTCAGGGCGAGCCGCCGCGCGCGCGCGAAACGCGCGGCAGAGCGCAATCGGGGATCGGCCAATGCGACTTTCTCGGGATTTGCAGGGCCGCAAATCTGCGTCCTCTCCCTGCGTCCCCCCACCCGATACACAAGTGCGTTTGACGCTGCACTGCGGCGCGCTGCGCTCGAGAGTCGGCGATCCCGAGCATGGGCACGAGCATAAGTGACGCCTTTACGTGCCCACCGAAGGACGGCTTGCACGGCCGGGCGGAGCATCCTTCGCATGAGAACACAGCTGAGAAACCGCTGAGTAAAAATTAAAATGAACGACCCGGGAGGGGCAATCGATCTGCCTCTTATGGCAGGTCTCTGTGCCGTTGCGAATCGAGGCTGATTCGCCCGATGAGGCTGCGTTGTTGCGTTCGCCCATTGCATTTATTGGTCGAGCCGCCCCTTCAGTTGCCCGCGTGGCCGTATCGGGACGTCGCTTTGAGGCAGGGCAGGGGGCGTGGTCTGGCGTGGTGCGCTTCGATCGTAGCTTGCCGGGGCACGCGCGCAAACGCAGGCGAAAGAGGCAGGTGGGCTCTAGGTTGTGATGCCCGGCCTGCAGGATCAGCGGCGGGGACATGAGGTTTGCATACTCCGGGCTCTTTTCCTCGCTTCTTCTCGGCGCGCGGAAGAGGGAAAAATACCCAAGTAAAACGTCATGCGCAGGCCGTGGGTAGCGTGGCCCCGGGTGTTGCGCGCTCGCTGCGTCGCCGGTGTATGTCGAACTTCGTCCTGTGCGCGGTGGCGGAATACACTGGGGCTTCTAGGGCAGGCTGAGTGTATGCAGCAGATGGAGTGTGCACAAGCTCGAGTGCACTGCACGGGGGAAAATCTTGCGGGAGTATCCGAGTGAATACGAGACGTTTGGGAGCTGACGGTGCCTTATTCGGTATCTTCAAGCCGCAAGCTTCGAGCTCAAGCTTGCGCATACGTACCGTTGACGCACTTTCAGCTACAGCCGTTCGAAAGAACGACCTCATCACGAACTGTGGAACCCTCGTCCCAAGAACTAGAGCGTGAAAGGCAATTGAGGCGCCAGCATCACCGCACGACGCACGCATACACCATCTCTGCACACCGCCATCACCTTCTGTCTCCATACACCATCGCTACATCCTGTCCCGCTTACACGTCTGGGTGCAGTCCGTGCTCCGGGCCTCTTCGAAAGACCCTAATCACAGTCATGAATCACTAATGGGTGATCAGTAGCCTCGAGAAGCCGCGTACCTTGTTTCAGCAATTCAGCCCTCGATTTTGTATTTCGGCTTTAACCTTTTTCTGCGCCACGGGGAGAACAACATAGTGTGAGCGCGCGAGTGCGCAGAAAAGCTCTGGTGCGAGCTGGGCCTGCGAGACCTCACAGAAACTCGTTCTGGGACGTGTCCGCTCGCGTCGCAGGTGCACGTTGCGCACCGCGTCTGATGCCCGCATCAGGCTCCTGATGGCCATTTCTGCACGAAGGCGGGGCACATGCTGAGATGAGCCAGCTCTGTATACGCTGCTACGCACATCCCGCGGAGGCCCGAACGGCCCAAGTGGGCAGGGCGCCATCGGGACAATCACGCGGCGACATTGCACGGAGGCGCACGTGGCGACGTGAGTCTCGGAAAGCTTTTGAATTTGAGGCCTTTTGACGTCTCTGTGCACGCAGGCGCCCAACGCGGGAAGGTTGGGGGACATGGCTCGGTTGGGCAGGGGCGCGGCGGGAGCACGATGGGACAGCCTGGGCATTTGGCGCGGGGCTAGCACGAGCGAATGCGAGCTCGCGAGCTGCAGGGTATGAGAGACGTGAGAGCAGCTGGGCTCCCATCGACGTCGTGAATTCGGCTGCGCGCACAACCACTCGCAAGCGAAGCCACCTCTGCACCCATGCTCCGCGCCATAGATCGACCTGTGTGTGGAAATTCGGGCTTCCCCCCACAGACGGCCGATGGGGGCTCTGCACGAAACGGCTAAGTAACGTTAATGCCCTGCAACACGTGTGTGCGAGTCTATCGCCACTCACCTTTTTTCTGCTCTCGTTTCTGCCGCCGCGGACATCGAGCGAGCTAGAAGCCGCGCGTCGGAAGCGCGCGTGTGGTGTACGAGAGTGCCCTGATGGAAAGACACGGCCTCCCCCCGGCCGGCGCCTAGAGCCTCCCCCATGTAATGCGCCGTCCGATCTCGCTGCGTACCCCTGGTAGGGGCGAGAAAACCAGCCACTTGGGAGCGCGCGGCTTCGTGATTGGGCACGAATGCTCGTCAGAGGGGAGAAGACGGCCATTGGACGAGGCGACCGGGTGCAGGATGGGGAGAGGGCACTACTCGATTTTGTGCGTTGCGGGGCAGGGTCAGATCTGCGGGAACTGTAGACTCAGCGAGCATGAGCATGAAGCATGAGGGTGCTCCATGCACGGCACGAGCACGCGCTGGGGATAGTGGCGCAGGGCGTTGCTTCGTTCTGCGAGCGGAAAAGCCGTATAGCCAGTAGATGGTCGCGGTCGGTGGGGACGGTGGCGCTGACCTGGTTGCTCTTCCGCAACGGAAAAGCCATGGAGCAGGCATATGCTCGCGCTCGACGCCTGATATATTGCACAGAAGGCCTTTTGCTGCGATCACGGCTGGCCGGGGCCGTCCGTGGGGATGTAACGTACTGGCACATATCAAGACTTGTCAGCACGGCGGGCTCGAGGCGCCAGCCCAGCGTCGGCGGCTGTGCAGGGGCGTTGTAGCGATGTTGTGTCCGTGGTAGATGGGAAAGAGAGTGGGGCCGGGTGAGGGTGTGCATGAACGAACTGCACTGATAGTTGGAGCATAGAATCGAGTGCCCATCGACATCTGTTGTTTGAGGAACGACAGGCAGACAGGCCCTGGAGGAAACAGTTCGCCCTGAGATCTAAACATAGGAATACGGCACAATGCTGAGCAGTGCAAACCGATTGCAAGCGGGCACGCGGAAGCGGACGTTGCCTGTACAGATAAGCAACACACGTCGCCCTCGACGTAACATGCTCGGCGCACGACAGCCTCACCGACATGGCTGACGTGGGCATCGCCCCCAGGGCGGCGTATAGCATGCGTGCCTGTTCGCATCGGGAAGGACTCGCGTAGATGCCGGACGTACAACGTTCCATGGAGGCCGTACGTACAGGTGCGGCCGAGGTGGCACCGAATCGAGCAGCAGCAAACTTCTCTTCTGGTCCGAGGTCTCGCACCGGCAGAAGATGAACAGGCAGAGGAGGGAACATGGGACGCACAAAAGAGGGCGGCCGGCTTCCAAAGTGGTGCCAAAGCGAGACGAGGGCACGGAGCAGGGGCGGCGTGGGGGAGCTCCGCGTTGGCACACGCCCGGCGGCGGCGCGGCGCGGGGAGAGGGGGGAGGGGGGGGAGGATCATCCCGGACGGGAGGCATGGAACGCTCCCTTATAAGGTTCACCGGCGACGTGCCGCTCGGAAGGCACGCTTATGTCTGGGCAAGCCTGGAGGCTGAACCGGTACGCCTTCGTAGAAACGCCACAGGCATCAGAGAGGCACTCGTGCGGAGCGTTCCCAGACGCCGTCACGAGCTTAGTCGACAGACAATGGGAACCCGCGAAGAAGATCAACGTAAAATTCGCGGAGCACTCCGGCGGCAGGGGCTACCCGCGCGTCCGGGATCCCAGTCGACCACACGACGGGGATAATTGGCAGACGTACCCAGCTGCTCACACACTCGGCACTGGGCCCTAGCTGGATAAAATGAAATGAAGTGCGTCCATGCAAGTAATAATGGGGCACTGACGTCAGCGGATAGCTGATAACGGAGAGAACCAGGGAGAGGGCTTCGGAGAGAGGAGAGAGGAGAGAGGAGAGAGGGAGAGAGAGAGGCTGACCTGGACCGTATGCAGAAGCCATATCGGGCTGTCTGTCGAGAAGCGCAGCTCTCGGGTCGGTGACATTACACTAACCTAAGATCCTGCGCAACAAAAGTTTCAGACAAACGACGATTTTGGCGTGAGATTCGAAGGATCAGGGGGATCGCGTCTTCCAAGGCTGAATGCTCGCGGTGACATGTCTCCGAGCCAACGTCCCGCATATGCCGTTTTTGGTGGCGTCGAGTGTCGGGGCGCATGGTGATGCAACCGGGAAAATCGTGGGCCACGTTCGACGTAATCACGACGTGCCGTGTCAATGGCAGCAATGCCTTTGAGTGTGAGCTGACAGGGAAGTCAGAGATGAGAAAGGGTTAGTACAAGGAGACGTCCGCTGGAAGGAGAAGGTATCGGCGAAAGGCAGGTGTACCTTCGAGTGAAGGGTCCTCCGCCCTTCGCAGGTTCGCTCTCCATGACAGCGCTGCGCAGTGGATGCTCCCAAGCATGAACGTATGTCCGTACCGCATGATTCGTACCGCCAGCTTGGCCGCCGATACGCGATCGTCATCGTTACAAATTCTCTTTTACTAGTCGTTGTGAGGCGATCGAAGCATAGCTTGCTCGGTGTGGTACGCGAGATCACTGGTGTGATGGAGGCAGACGGACAAGAGACGGGAGCTCGAGACAGGATGTGGTCGTTATCCTATGGGCGCCTGCGCCACGTGCTTGCCGACATGATCATGTCGCATTGCCTTTAGGAAAATCCCCTCCGCTATCATGCGCCACGAGGGAATACCTTTAAGCTCTTTCTGGCGGTGAACACACCTCTCTCCGTCTCTCATCTTCCCTTCCTCACCTAATACACTCAGCAATAATAAAGCGGGCCGCCCAACTCAGCTTCAGAGGTTAGACCTTTGCTGGGTTCATCCAGCGTGTCAATATTGGCGGCATGTGGCGGCATGTCTGCCTGGAAGGTACAGGTGCATACGGTACAGTGAACTCAACCGTGGGACTACACATCTATCTGAGCCCAGATTCACCGACGACGGCTGCGTAGAACGGAGTAGCTGCACCAATGGTACTGGAGTACCTGGATGTCTGACACGCAAGGCACACCCCGACACAACCTTGCATAAATACACATGCATCTTCCGGAAAACAGTCGTAGATGAATCAAACCTCCGGAGAAGATACGGGACCATAACAACGTACTTACCGTGCCTATGCAGCAGTATCTCACAGCATTGTTCCCAGCGGCGCAAAGACAGGCACTGCTGATCGTCACGTCTTTACAAATTGCAACAAAGTTAGGTTGGGCATGACGGCACCGGTGTGTCCAATCCAGCGCGGCCTCGTCAGCCGCACTCGTCAGCGGACAACCATCTTGCGCCCATCAGCCGTCATCGCGCATGCATGTGCTTGCGTCCGCGGGCGGAGGGATGACGGTGGGCTGGAGAAAGACTTGCCCGATGCGGTGCGCCCTTGTCCCGAACGGTGCACACGGCGCACGCCCGGCCCAGGCACAGCCGTGGGGGCTGACAGCGAGTCAACGTCGAGTGCAAGAGGCTGTCCGCTCCCCCTCGCGGCTTCGATCTTCGCTACGGTCCAGCAGTGCAGCGGGCTGGCGATAGCCGCAAGCAGTCACTGGCGACATCGTGGGAAGACAGCGTGCGATCTGGCGGCAGGCCGACCCAGGGCGCACTGCGCGAGACGGAGGTGTCTCAGGGCCTTGCGCGATTGGCTGACGGAGACAGCAGGCGTCGAAGGCCCCACGGCGTACGTTGTAGACTAGAACCCGTGGTGTGCACGCGAGACGAGGGGGGCGCGGCGCATAGAGCAAGCGAATGCGTCCGACGCTTGGATCTGTGGTACTGCATCGTGATTATAGGAGTGAGACAGGGATGCATGCCCCGGACACGAGGTATGTTGCGCAAGCGACGCCGACGGCGGCGAGGTTGCGGCGAATAACGACGAGGAAATGTGCAGGAAATGAGCGTTATTGGAACGGGAGCGGGCGGGCCACGTGAAGGACCGTCGGCGCCGGCCGAGCGGGAAAGAGAAACGGAGGCAAAAGTGAGGGTATGGCTTACATAATGAAACCAGGTTTAGGCAAAACGACACGAATGGCTGTTTGGACGGATACGTAAGACGCGCGATTAAACTTTGAGATCTGGACTCTGGCTTCTCGCTCAGACGATGGAACCCGATTCCCAAAGGGCTGATGAGTCTCATCACCGCTCGTTCAAAAAGCCCCCGGGCCTCGTCGATTTTTCGACTTTCGCCCCCGCCGTGCTCCTCGGGTACTCCTCCTCTTGATCCTCATCTCCACAATCCAGCTCTCCTAGCTTTCTATCCCGCCCGACATCTGTCTCGCACACCTCCGGGTCTGCCACGGACCCATCCCGTTCCCCACATCTGGTCTCGTGCATGCTGATACACTCCCCAACCATGGACGACTTCCGTGCAGGCTCGCCCTGTGATCATGCCCTCGATGGGCTGGAGCTCCTTCACCGCCTTTCGCTCTGTGACTCGATCCACTTTATGCCGTCGGACGCAGACTTCGCCGGCAAGATGACTGCAGAACATCCGTCAGTCGTGCCATACTCTTGGGGCAAGTCTCTGTCATCTGCTTTCGCCCTCCCGGCATACTTAACCCCGTCCTCTTATTAGACGAGGAAGCGGACGCATGCGACCCTTCGATGTACGACCCCGTTCTCTTCTCCCCCGTGAGCTCGCAGCCCGCGAGCCCATCGCGATCTGCTTTCGCGATGTTCGGAGTTGAGCGAGACAAAGTGAGTACTTTTCCAGTGCTTCTTGGTAGGTGACGCGTTGGGACGCGTCCGCTGGGTCAATCATCTCTCCGCAAGGAGATGGGATCTGTCAGAATGTCTTAACGACGCGTCACTGTTGCACTTGGGGGCCCCGACTCTCGCTCCCGCATGTCGTGTGGACGTTCAAACCGGAGAATCAGTTGAGCCTGCAGCGAATACTGCATCAAGCGATATCAGCGCCGCGCCATCAACTGGTTTTCCCGGTGATCGCCAGTGCCCAAGTTTTGACGAAAGCAGCGCTCCCCCGGGTATTTGCGCTTCCCATGCGGCGGCTGCTTTTAGCCTTGCAACAAGCTTTTTGCATGGCCAGACCCATGCGCGCGAGAATGCTCCTCCAGCTGCTGCGGCCTTCGCAGCCTAATCGGCTTCTCAATATGCTCGCTAGATCTGTGACCGGTGCTAACTAGACTTCTTTCTGTTGCAGCCGCTTCCTCCACCGCCATCGGGTTACAGGCCATCGCCGCCGTCCACTCCGAAGTTGACTCCGGCGTCGACCCCCTCGTCATCCCCGCGTGTGTCAATGTCAAATTCGTCATCGCCATCACTACCTCGACCGCGGTCGAGGCCTCCGTCGACGAACATGGGTGCACCCCGGACCCTGCATCACTGCGCATTCCCGTCGATCTCTTCGACGCTCTCGCTTCTCGAAGAGCGTGAGTCGGAAAACGAGAAGCGCAGCGGCGTGCTGGTCCAGCCTGGTGACGATCACTTGAGCACAGAAGGCACTGTGCTTGCCCACCCGCCTGCGCGTAAGAGCAGCATTGAGGTACTCAAGACCATGGAGACCGAGACGAAGCGCACTCGTCCGGCCCTTGGTCTGTCGATGGCGACGTCCTCGCCACAACTACGGACTCTTGCAGAGCTCGCTAATATCCCTGCATCTCCCATCAGCGTCAGCTCTACTCGTAGTGTGTCGCACAGGCCCTCAGTCGCGTCCCTTGCGCCATTAGCTCCATCACCATTCATGTCTAGTTCGGTCTTGCTTCCGCCCGCTACACTGGAAGAAGAGACAGTTCTTCCAAGCAGTTCGCGATGGTCAATGGATTCTACGGACCCAGACGCCAGTCGTCGTCCAAGTGTCTCCGCTCCAGCGACGCCGCCTTCGCCGCCTGCCAAGCCAAAGCGCAGCCGGTTGCTGAGCTTCATTTCGCGCGGTCGTGCCAGCTCCCTCGGTAAGCGCGGTGATAGCATACCCCCGACGCCGGTACTTCCGGACTCTTCAGAATCCGACTCTGTCCTATTGTCACCAACGGAGACGATCTCCGGTCGTGCGTCAGCGTCAGTGCTGTCATTGTCACTGAGCTCACGTAGGGCGAGCCGTTCAGGTACCTACCCGCCGCCCCTCTCGCTTTCCACGTCATCAATGACGATGTCGACCACCTCGTCAGCTTCGACCTTGCCTACTCCCACTGACTCGCAGTCGGATGTGACGCTGGACCCCTTCTGCCCTGCGTCGCCGACCTTTGCGCCAGCGTCTTACCTTCCTGAGCCACCAGCTCCCGAGCCAGAAAGCTTTGTTGAAGTGGAAGACGACGTACCCGAGAAGCCGACGCTTCCGCTACCCTCGCCGAGCCAGCCGACCGTGTCATTCTTCCACCCCGAACCGCCGTCAACAAACTTCCTGAGCGCACTCACACGCCGCAAGATGCGCCGCCGCAAGAGGAAGCTTGTCGTGACCTGTCTCAGCGGTGAGGTTTTACCTGAGGGCGAGGCGAACGCGGATCTCGCTGCCTTCCGTCGCGAGCGGGACCTTCGCCGACGGCACGAGGCCATCAGGCACTGGTGTGAGAGCTTCGGGTCTCTGCGGCGTTTCGAGCGGATGCCTGACGGCAGCGTACACGTCTACTGGCGCGATTGGGAGGTTGCGGATATGGTTAGTACTCTATGTCCCTGAGGCTGATATGTTACTAAGTGATGCAACAGGTGTGTCGCGTAAGCGCACAGGTACACATCAAGGGAGTCGGCAGGGCCACGCTTGCCTGGCACTACGTAAACTGATCGCGCATCTTCCCTGGCCTCTCGCCACCCAACCGTCTCCATCTGGAAAACGCTGTGTGTGCCGCGTTACATCTGAAAATTGCACAACCTACGTCGCGACCACGCTCGGACCTCGGGACGACTCAACTCGTACACATACCCCCATTCGTCCATCTCTCTCCATGCTCAACACAACTATACACGCTCATTTGGTTCAGAATCGACACCCTATGGGACGCATACACTGTCATTAACTCCACACGCGCATCTCATCTATCTCAGCACTCCATAGAACATCACACACTCATTTTAGTCTTGGCCCTGTAGAAACCACATACACTCTTTCACCTTTTCGTCGTAATCCGCCCGTGGTCCGGCGCAGTCACACCTTCTTTGTCCCCTTCGCGACCTCCGTAATCCTAATCGTTTTCACGCATGCACACACGCGTCCTCGCGACGGACGCCCCTGCCTGCCTCTGGTGTACCACCCGAAAACGAAACCGCCTCCGCCCCTGCTCCCTGCCGACCGAACACTCCGTGCCCGCCCTCGCCCTTGCTGTCGTCGTCTCGAGTCTCGTCTGCTGTGTCTCGTTGTAACATCTGCTCTTTTTCCTTCACCTGTTGTCTTCGTGTTATCTCTATCTGCTGTGCTCCGTTCTGTCGACTAGAAGGTTCCTTTCTCTCTGTGTGTCATGGTATTTTTGGGGCGACGTGCTGACGTGTCATTTTCTCTTTTTTTGCATCGCATAGACAGTCCTGCCAGTGGACGTTGTAGTAGCCCGCTGGGTCAAAAGATAAGTAGTGTACGCTAGCGTGTAGGAAAATTAGTGTATAGAAGCAAGTGTAACAAAGTCGTAGGACAGAATTGAGTTGTTTTTTGGTGATCGTTTCTGGGATGATTTCGTGGACACTTCATGTGTATTTGAGAGGACCAGCGCGGTCTTCGTGGCGTGGGAGACGCGACTTTGGTAGGCCTTTAACTTAGTATTGGCTATGTGCATTGCGCAGCGGATGTCGTCACAAGCCGCGGCGCATGCGCAGCGGCACTACACTCTCTCTTGACCATCACGCTCGTCATTCTGGATTCTGCTCAGCTGTCGTCGATTCACCTCCCGTCTTCAGACAGACGCGCTGGTCCTTCGATATCAATTCTCCCAAAAATTTCCAACTAAAAATGTCCTAAACATATTTGAAAGGATCCGCGGACATATATCCCCGACTTTCTACCCTGAGTTTTTTTCTTCTTTTCGATTTTCCCGCGAGTTTTTGAAAATGAAAAATATTGATATTTGTCATCTGGCGTCATGATTACCACGAGAGGCAGACCACCCTTTCGCTCCTGCTGGTAGCGTCACAAGCCTATCAAGGGCCAGCCAACACCAGTGCCTCGCATATGGGGCACACCGCTCACAGTCCACAGTTTGTTTATAGCGTTTTGAGGCCGAAATGAACCCTCGATCGCGTCGACGTGCTTCTCCCTGCAGCATGATCCTAGGGGTCAAACGAGGCCTTGAGGTCTTAATTTCGCTCGTCGCGGCCACCCGAAGGCAGATATCGGCCTGCCGTTCGCGCTTCCGCATGTGGTGCGTCTTGTTGAGACGAAGCACGCTTTTCTGCAACACGGGACTTTTCGCTTGAGCGTTCCACTTGTTGCCTGCTGTGCAAGGCAGTGCTAGATCTACTCTTTCTACCCTTCTTACGCAGAAGGTTGTCAGAGGCTTCTTCCGTTGATATATGACGGCCTGCACATGTTCAGACGCTCATATATGCGCTGGAACACTTGGCTGCCAAGCTGGGAAAGTCTTGTGCGAGGAGCTCCTCGTCAAGCTTCATGTAGTTTCGTGCACGGCCTGGGGCAGTGCATTTAAACTATCTTCTGCCAACAGGTCGATCTTAGAAACTCCAGTGCACAACAGCGAACTGGCAAATTAAGCCCAAGCTCAAGCATGCCGAGGAGGCGTTAAATCTTCCCGTTTATGTATCTTCGAGCGTCCAGCACACAGCGGCAGCCAAAGTACACGTTCTTCTGTTGAGAAAGCGTTTACAGGATTCTGGTACTACTTGACCCAGAAAGCTGATCCTCGCACCCTCCTGCTATACCTACCGTTCAGGCCGGCGAGACGCGAAGCACAGCACCCTGAAAGTGGGGAGAACGCGTCGGCCGGATAAAGGCCCCGGCCGACTTCTGCCGCCGCCCTCCGCCGCATGAACGAATATCCCCAGATATCCTCAGGATATCTCCATGTCTCGCGCGCATGTTCCAGAGCTAGGGGTGTATGTGCACGCGACAAGGGATACACACAAGTGTTTCAGCTTGTCTGTCGCGAAATTGTGAGAGGGGAGATCGATCTCCTCTCCCGAAGGGGCTGTTCTCATTCCGCCTGAGTCGCTGACGCTCCACGGTATATTGCAGCGCAAGCATGGCAGGTAAAACAATCAACCTCGCTCGAAAGCCGCGGCCAAGGGTCGTAGAGTGTACGCGCTGGCGTGCTTCCTATGTGCGCCCCTGGGCGATTCGCAGGAGCAAGGTTCGCGGTCTACGCCCGCACTGTAACGGCTGGGACAGTCTGGCCCTTGGTATCAGCAGCGCGCGCTGCTGGGCCATGGTGGTTCCACCCGTTTCAGCGTCATGCGTAACCCCAAGGCTAAACGCTTTATCGTCTGACGAGGGGTGCAGGGATGGCGCGAAGCGATGCAAAGATTTGTGAACAGGCGCTACGTCGGCTCGGAGGTTAGTAGCGCTGTTAGGTTCTTCTTGCGTCCGGCATGACCAGAAGATGTACGTACGGTTCGCGGAGAGTGCGGTGGTGGAATCGCGGCATGAATGCATGTGGTCTATGACGAAGCCTGTCAATGGTTCTACGTGATCGCACCCTTGCACAAGTGGTTGCACCATTGTTGAGCTTGGGATATATTTGCGAATGGAGACTATGACAGGATGTATCTATCTTCACTTACGGAAATCTCGTAACAGATGGACATTGAGTGCTGATGAGCAGCGTGGAAAGCGCATCTTGCCGCGCAGTACTTCCTGTCAAAGGTCAAAACAGGTACTAGAGTGTCATCTGTTGCCATGCACAGGCATGTTCGGAGGACATTCCAGGGCCCCGACCTGAGCGGGCTGAGTGTCGTGGTGAATTCCGCTGAGAGAAGTCATTGAGAACGACAATAGGGGACATGCATAGCAAAGCCCGCGAAAGATAACGGAGCGTGTGTACTCACCCGGGCAAAGCAACAAAGCACCACCTTGATGCGGGTAATGTGGCGTCGCACACTCCCATCTTCGCGGGGCCACACGCCACTAAAGGCGGGTGCCTTCGAACACGAGGCAGGAGCACAGAAGCTAGGATGAACATCAGATGCAAATAAGGCGATGACGAAGCAGACCCCGACGGGACTCGTCCATATTTCGTATTAGCAGTCGACGATGTCGGGTCAGGTTGTTTAGGGAAGAGCAGTCGTCATAAATTCGCAAAACCGTGATACCGAACCTAAGAGGCTGTTAGAAGGCCGAGAAAGACGACGGCAGCGCAGCTGAATGAAATTATGCGCCATTTAACGTCTCTTCCTGCCTTGCCAAGCATACACTAGAAGATTCTGCAGCTTGCGCGGGCGTCGAGGCTTTTTGTTAAGGCCCCAAACGTTCAACTAGATGCTGTTGGACGCAGAGGTGGCGCGACTCTAGGCTGCGGTTCGCACTCCCGTCCGTACACTTCGCCAGCGGTGCACCTCGAGCGGACGTTCTGCAAGTTCAATATCGGGGTCGCCAAGCTGACCGAGGCTCCAGACGGTAGGACCGCGAGAGATGATGACTTGGACGGCGCGAGACAGGAGAGCGACGTTAAGCAAGAGGAAGAAGGGCCGGTGGTCGGTAAAATGCCGGTTTAGATACCTACAGGCGATACTCGGAGACAAAGTGAGCTGTGTATCCAACGATACCGCCGTCTGATAGTGCAATGGTTGTAGGAAACTCCCACGAGAGGAGATGAGCGCTAGCGCTAGCGCAATGCATACGCCCATCATAGGTACTGTAGCAAGCTTGACGACTTTGGCTGGGATAAACGTGGAAGGCAGGGTGTGTTGGTGGCGGTCATAGATAAAGTAGTTCTCTGACAAGCGACGGAGACGTCACAGACAAGAGCAGGCACACGGAGAGCAAGAAGCAAAGCTCCCGTGATGGTCGCGTGCACGCGCACGAAGTAGAAGCAGGCGTGGGCAACGTGGGTCCTGCAGAGCCTATGAAGGCCTGCAATACGACATTTGCCTGAAGGAGGACAAACATCTGCACAGGTGAGCGGATATGAGCATCGCAACAGGCACAGTGCACACGTTGCGAGCAGAACCGGATTTTGATGCAACCGTGGCAGGCTTCTTCCTGGCAATACGAGAGCGGGCACAAGTGCACAAGTCGCCCTAAACTGTTGTATCACACAGCAGGGGAAAGCGTCAACGTATCCGATGCGAGGGTCTGCATATTAGCAAGAAAACCGAGGGCGGGGGAGGTGGCGGAAACTGGACACACTGATGAATGTGAGCAGCGTTAATAGCACCGCTGATAGGGATAGGCGATATGCGGCTTGGTTCTGGAAACATGACCAGAGCAGTTGGCTGATATATGCGTGGTTTTGAAATTCTATGCAGCGGACAGGAATGAAGAGATTAATAAAGAGCACTACTGGCGATGTGGCGGTGGCGGTAAAATCAAGGACAAGGTATAAATCTCACTACACAGGGCGAGTACATCGCTGCCGCGCAGCAAAAAGATAACGGCGTGTCTCGTCTGCGGCGGTGGCAACGATGGTAGTGGTGGTAGTAGCGGAGGAGTGGTCACTGTCCACTTTCCGGCGCTTGTTAACCCTGTAGCGATGAGACCGCCTGGGTCCCGGGAGTCCTGCTCCCGTCCTTGAGACAAGTCTCAACATTCCCCAACACGTCAAACTTTTCTATACCCAGGACGATGCCCCGAGCGACTACTGATACTCTGGACCTCTTCAAGAAATCCACCTTGAAGCGCAACGCCGTATGTGTTGGTGTCATAAGCATGTTTGGTCAACCTCATCACACGCTTTTCGTGCACCGGCTTGCATGTAGGCCTGCCAACAATGTCGAAAGCGCAAGTTGGTGAGTTACCTATCTAGAGACACGAGTATCTGAGCAGTGCTTGATTTCCGGATGGATTGCAGAAATGGTTGGTAACGCAACTTTAGCGACATCCTCTGGCCTGACGTAGCAACTTTGACAGTGATGCGAAGCGTCCTTGCGCCACCTGTCTGCGGTCCCATGCTTATGCTGTGGCGCACGCATCCGCAGACAAGCCGGTACCACCATACCCAGACTGTTCTTACGACGAAGGTAACGACCTCAGCCCTACCGATCTGAACCTTTGTCAGCTACTGACGTGAAGTCATCAGGCGCAGAGCCACCCGACGAAATTCCCGCAAAGACAAGATATGAGAGTCTCGAGAATAAGATCGGCATGTACAGGTTTTATACTAAATGTACGTCCCTGTCTGACCTCTGGTTACTCCGCAGGCGAGCTCGAGGTTCTTCTCCGAGAGATGACCATAGCGCTCCAAGAGGCTCGCGCTGAGAACGCGACAAAGAGCTCTTCTCCTGACACACACTATTCGGGCTCTTCCGAAAGTGCGACTGTACCTTCAAATGGCTCGAGCGGGTCCGTGCCGTCGCCTTGTCCCGAGGCGATCTTCTCCCCGGGAGTTACTGGAGAGGACTCCATCGTAGGTCTCAAGTGTACTTGGTGTGCTCATGCGAGCTGATAGCATTACTTTCCTAGTTCTCTTTGGCGTCATTGCAGAATCCTGGACCTGTTATGTCAATCGGCTCTCCGGCTACGGGTTCCCTCAGCGGCTTTTCAAAGAACGTAAACCCACCGATAGCAGAGGCCGACTTTGACATTCTCCTGCACACGAACGCATCGACATCGCTCACACCGGATACCACCTTCGCCTTGAGGACCTATGGCCCACATACGGCCCAAGCTGGACAGAACGTGCAGCTTATATCAAGTGGCTGGTCGCTAAATTTGCCTAGTTTTGATGTGGCCCGCCATTTGTAAAGCATCTGGGCTTCGTTAATGCTGCGCTGCGTTGACACTTTTATTTTTATTTTTAGAATACATGCTTTCTTCGCGTTCTGGATGCACGCTGGTAGACTATTCCACGGACCCACGTTCCTCTCTGCGCTAGATCTTCCGCCTACGGACCCACGATTCCCTCAGCCAGTCATTCTCCATGCCATGTGCGCGATAGGCAGCATGTATACAGCTGATATTGCGCCGACGCCGGTACATACTGGCCAATATTTCCCTGGTAAGCGAGCCATCTTTGCTAGAACTACACCGTTAGTGGACACTGACTTGTTGCAAGACGAGGTCTTTACCGGTCGCTGGCTCAAGTTTGCCGCTCGCCCGGACTCGTTCGCTGAGCAGCACATCAAGTACGCGAAAATTGAAATGGAAAACAACATCGATTGCGGAGAGTATCTTGTAGAGAGCATGCAAGGTGTGGCTCGGTTGTTACGACTAGCATGGTGTACTTCTTTCTGACTCACCGCTTCCAGCCCAGGTTCTCATTACCTGGTGGTACCTGAACCAAGGCAGGTGGTCGGATGTGAGTCCGTTGCGTCGGCGCTTGGAGTGTCATGCTCAATAGATTCCCAGGCGTACTTCGCTTCAGGACAGGGCCTCCGGTACGGCAATGCTCTAGGTCTGATCAAGACTGGAGCGTTCAAGATACTGTGGCCTAGAAAACTCGCATACAAAAAGGAGAATGAAGTCTTGCCCCGGCCGCTTTCTACGATAGACGAAGAGACCCGAAGGAATGCATTCTGGTTAGGTATGCATCCACACTCATGATAGGTATGTACAGACACATCGCTGAAGGTGATCGTCAGCGTATGCTCTCGAAAGGGGACTGTCTTCCACCAATCCCCACGCAACAGAAGTTGACGATACGGACATTGATCAAGTGTTACCTCTACGGAGCGACCAGTTCGATCTCGGCGTAAGTTTCACCGCCTTTCACCCAGTCATTACGCGTTAACGTCCACCTAGATTCACGTCGCACTAGAAGACCGGCAGTGGTCGCACGACCGCAACCTACTGCTCAAGCACCCTCCTGAATGTACGGACAGTTTTGTGCTCTGGCTCAAGACGACGATGCTGCTCTCGCGCGTAAAGAGCTTCAACGTGCGCTTCAAGGGGCGGTACCAGGCGGGCGATGCTGCTTACTACTCGCCGACGAGCAGCCCCGCGAGCGGTGAAGCCGAGTACGACCCGCGCGACGCGCCTGTGTTCCATGACCTGAACCACGCTGTGCTCTCCTTCCGGCGATCGTTCCCGCCGCATCTCCGGGATCCGATCCAGGATGGGACGGTCGACCCGCACCTGTACACCGCCTGTGTCGGCGCGCACGTGTGAGTCTGCCTTCGCTCTGGGATGCCAGTGGCTACGCTAAACCATGAGTGTAGGGCACAGATTCTGCTGCACGACCCGCACATGAATGCCAAGGACCCGGCGTGCCAGTCGCTGAACCAGGTCTCGAAGGGGGCGCGGGCGGTCCTGGATCTCATGTACAGTCTGTCGGCGACAAGCTACGACATCTCCCTCCTCGATCAACTGACCTTCGTACGTCTGCTCCCCTCCTCAAACGCTCCCAAAGACCGATCCTTTTCGTGTAGTTCGCGTGGATCCTTGCCGGGCGCGTTCTGATCGAATTGCTCAAAATAGCCATCGACCACAATAACCTCGAAGAGGTGTTCGCGCGCCACTCGGAGATCTGCTTCGTTCAGTAAGTCCTCTCCCACCCGGCGGGTTCATTTGCTCACCGCACACCGCAGTTCGATGCTAGCCAAAGCCGGCGAGCGCATGCCCGTCGCCTGTACGTCTCCCCTCTCTCTCGTGAATCTGCAGCTGAAATTGACGTACCGCGCAGACCGCTACAAGAAATTGATCTACGGCTCGCTCGCGTCTATCTGCGGCGAGCAGTTCGTCGAGCCGCTCGCCGAGACGTCATACCATCGCCCGCGGTACGTGAGCCCGTTCCACTCGGCGTTCGTCGACCCGGCGCCGAGCATTGCACCGCTCGTCAGCGCGGTCACGATCACGTATCCCGCGGAGTCGCCACTGAGGTCATTCTAACTAATACTCCCTTCTCCGCGTTCGAGTTTTTGGGTGGTTGATGATTGTGGTGTAATTTTGGCGAGATGTTTGGAGGGTGCAAATTAGTGGAGACTGTTGCTTGCATGCCGTACTGTCGCTGTTATGCTGTGTAAATTATTTTTATTTTTTTGTTCAAGCTCGTCGAGATCTGCGAGTATAAGTAGTTTCGCGGACATCCGGCGTCTAATTGTTCTGCCTTCTGCGTCCATGTTCCGAGTCTGATCCAGCTCCCTGCATTCAGCTCGGCGATCTTAACGACATACGAACGCACATCGGTGTGCAGCATACACGGGTATGTCTTTCCAGCTCAAGGTTTATGCGGTAATATTGCGTAGATTGTCTGATGGGACCATCTATAGTCTGCGCGTTCACTTCGTTGTACTCACAGATCGCGACAGCAGATGGGGGTGACGGGCTATTTGAGGGAATTCAAGTGCTGGAGGAGTACTTAAGGATGGTCCCCTCATAGCTGACGCTGTAGTAGCTGCAAGATTCTCCGGAGTCAGTCACTCGGCATGCGGAGGCTGATATGCCAAGAGCTTATGATCATTTTTGGGTGCTCAAGCGGACGGGGGGCATAGATGGTACGTTCTTTTACATAGCACTGTTCGCATCCCAAAACAAATTGGAATGCATACACTTAACGGAAAGACATATACAGGAGAAAGAGACAAGGTCTAGATATCTACCATGAGGATCAAGTCACACACTCACATACTTACCAATGCGCAGGGGCGAGATTTCTTGAATCCCCGGCCCTCATGCCCTCTAATTCAAAACCACAGCACCACAAGAGCGATTGGGACCTTGTCATATCCCGACTCCGTCGTCGCGACACTCGACACAGACTGTCTGTCCATCTCTATCGAGAACACTGTCAGAGTCGTTTCCCGCATGTACTCGTCATCATGGTCGACGACCCCGGTGAGCACACCGTAGATCTTGAGGGGGAAGTTGGAGCCGACGTACATACGCCTAGCCGTGGGTGTAGGCGTGGCCGAGATCGCGTATGGCGACGTCGAGTGAGCCGCTGGCTACTGTATAATTTTCGATGGACTTGGTGGTCCGACGAAGTTGTTCAGTTGCTTGCAGCGCTGGCGGCAGACGGCCGACATAAGCCCTTCCAGGCGGTGGTCTGTAAAGCTCCTCACCGTCCTCTGCATCGTGTGGCCCGCCGTACACCGTGACCTCATCCGGCAACGTCTCCCTCCCCTTCCCCTTCCCCTTCCCTCTCACGGTGCTCTCCGAACAGATCGATATGTCTGACACCACCGATCCTCCGTTCTCGCCATCCTGTCTCACCGTCGACCCCTCCGACATCACCTGCGTCCTGTGCCAGAACACCTCTTCATCCCTGGTATGGCGGCCAGCGTGGGTTCAGATCCGGATTCCGACCTGCGTCGTTTGCGGCTTCGGGTCATGGGGTGCCCTCATCCGGTTGCGGGATCTCTGGCGGCTGTGCACGCGGATTGGGCACCGGCTTGCTCTTGCCTAAGTTGGCGACTCTCGTGGGCCGACGGGGGGTGAGTTCTATACCGTTGATGCGGGCCACGATACGACGTGCTTTTGACGGTGACAAGACGTAGGGCCCGGGTGTGGGCGGATCTTCTGGTGGAGGGTTGAGTAAGTTGAGCATGTTGAGTGTCTTGCGGAGGTTGCGGTTCATCTGAGAAATGCGTGAGTGTTTGGCACATTGCGTTGACAGTATCGCAAATACTAACCTTCAGAAGTGCAGTGCTGCTAGTATGAAGTTCGCGGGTAGCTGGGGTTGGTGAGGAGTGACGCGTCACGATTGAACCCTCGCATCGTGGCCTATATATCAACATTTTTTTCCCTTTTTCCCTTTCCTGGCATTCGATGTTGAACCCCCAAACGTTCCATTGTTCTCTCAAAGCGTGGAAAGAGAGACACATCGGCCCCGTGCCTGACGACGCTATTTTGGCCGGCTACACCGAAAATAGACGTGCAATTGCGATGTACCTCCTCTGCTTCCATGCAGATATCTTCCCTGCGTACCCCAGAACGTGCTTTGTGCAACCCTAAATACTGGACAATGATGGAACGGCCGCGCTTTTATGCATACTGCTGGCTTTATCAACGGCGACCGCGTCTTATCTTACAATGGGCCTCGTGACTGTGGCCTCGTCCAGTTTGAATATTGAAACACGACGTCGATGGTAGCCGCAATTTCATTTCGGAAATAGCTATCACTGCACGCAATAATGGGCGATAATGCATAATTCAGATCAGCTCCTCCCAGAAAACCTCACATTTTCCGCGCGGGAAGGACGACCGCCCAGAACGTCGATGACTTCAGGCTGTTCTCTCTTTGCGCTATGCTATAGTTAGACCTGTAAATAAAGCAGAACCTGTCTGAGCTAGGTCATTCGTCTGCTCGTGTAAGGCGCATGTCAACGTTGCGGTAGCGGGGCCGGTGGTCCAATCGGAAGGATCGATCCAGTCGACTTGCTGAATACAGGCCAACTCACCCGACGGCTTTGTGGCGTTCGGCTGCATCCCTGAGAGGCAACTTCGAGAAGCAGAACACTACGTTCTGACGGGTTTAGACACCCACGGGACCTGACTTGCGACAGATTAGCTCAGAAGATCCGAGACTAATCATATGGACAGGCCTCAGAACAACGACTTCTTCTCCTGCCTATAGCTTTGACTTGCACAGGCGGCGTGGAGAGTCCCTTGATTTTAATGAACCGAGAATGATCATTGAGCACGACTCGATATCGACGTCCGCAAGAGATAACGGAGCAAGTGTGCTTACTCAGGCAAGGCTTCGTCTGGGTCGAACAAAGGGTTTCTTTAGTATGCTTGATGTGGCGTAGTATACCCTCATCTTTACGCGTGTCCACATGAGGCAGGGACACGAAGCAGCGGCTAGGATGAATATTCCGCAGATAAGGGGATGGTGGAACAGACACGCCGACTAATGGACCTTAGCCAGTTTCATATCAGTCCTCTTGAGAAGATTATTGCTTCGTATACCCCAATACCGATACACTTACAGACTTCCACAGCCTGCGCGAGGTGTCCTAGATGTTTGGCCCGATGCTATTTGAAGAGGACGCAGAGGCGATTGGATGGCGCGACCCTGGGCTGCGGCTCACACTTCCACTCGCACACCCGTCGGCGATGCCTCTTTTCAAGCATGCTTTTGGAAAAATCGATATTGAGAGCGACGAGCGGTGTACCATGGCACGTACACTGAAACTGACGATGGGCCGCCATTCCGATACCTGCAGGCTATACCTAAAGACAAGTGCGAGCTCTCCCATAGGCTCCTCGAAGAGACGGACGAGCCACAGGCCCAGGCTTCGCAAATATGTCGTGCCGAACGGCACGACATCACTTGCAAGACGATGAGCGGCAACCTAATACCCAGCGATGACTCCTCTTCGTCCTCTGCCCCTGGTGGAGCCCATGGCGTACACAGCGGCATCCCTCGTGGAGGTCGGCAACCCTATGGAGGTTGGCCACGTCCTCAGGTGCGATGTGCCAACCGGCCGTCGGGTCGGGTTCCGTCAGGTTATGACATCCAGGGACCAATTTATGCAGGCAGCGACCATATGATATCGATGTATCGGACCACAGCGTGATCAGAGATAATGCGATGAGCGTCACTGACAGCGTCACGATGATATAGAGTCAGCCGTTCTATTATCCCTTCGAAGCTGACGAGGGCTCGGACGTCTCTGGTCATACCGTCTTCTCTGAGTATGTAGTACGGCTACACCGCCGCTCCCTCAGGCCGAGGTGAGCGGTGCGCCACTGAGTATTTGCTTGAGAGCTGTTTCTGGTACCTGCCTGGTTGATCCGGCCGGTGAGCGGAATTGGCGATTCCGGCCAAGTCGCCAATCTCTTCGAGCACATCGTGTGCAATGTTATGAAACACTTATCCCTCCATGTACTTGGACACCTGGTGCAATACATGCTCTATGTTGTTACACTCGGGAGGAGACCATATCGCCATCACCTGCATCAAGTTCAATGAGAGCTACCCGACGTCAATCGTGGGTATGTTACTGTTCAGCGCAGTCGACCATCGACGTCGGCATCTGTTTGAGCAGTCCTCGCCTGATGCGAACCAGCGAACCATCAGCAATGAGATTCTGGTCGTGTTCACCACTGACCCTAAGCAAGTGAAGAGATCTCTGCCAGGCATGTCCACGCACTCGATACTTGTAGTAGGTCTTTCTCCCCTACCACTTGTTCAACCCTGCCAGCACCATACCACCGACATCGTATATCAATGCCATGTCCGCAGCGTTGAGCGCAGTGAATTTCACCTGCTATCAGGGGCTGACAGATGTCAAGAGCTCATTGGTGTGGACGGGAGTCTGCCGGCTATCGCAATGCATGGCCATCAGCCGGTATGTTTGATCTTGGCAGCTTCCTCCGCGCTACGACTCGGCCAGCAACGCGCGGCAAGTGCGCTGTATATTGAGCGTCGTCCAAGCAACGGAGCAGAGAGCCGTTATTCTATACAATATAGTATGAGGGAGGATGAGCTGGATATCGCTTTGTTTTCCGTGACAGCCCGAGGCCAACCTGAAGCCGGAAACAATGATGCACTGATGCGCCATCACAGCAAATCATATACAGTGCGTCTGTACCGAGGCCGCTCGGAGTCGTCACTGCCGCGCAGCGCGGCGCTTCGATGAGATTACTCAGGAGTCCTGCTCTCGTCCTCAAACTGAGTTGTATCACCCCCAGCACACTAAACCCAGATACACCTTAGAAAATGCCCCAGGCGACCCCAGATGTCTTGGACCTCTTCAGGAAGCCTGTCCCCAGCAGCGCACTGAAGCGTAACACCGTATGTGTCAGCGTCATAAGCATGTTTGGTCAACCCCCTTACCACACCCTCCCGGCCCACCCGTAGGCCTGCCACCAATGCCGAAAGCGCAAGCTGGTGAGTGATCTATCCCGAGGTTCGGGCATCTCAGCACTGCTTGATTCCCGAATGGCCTGCAGAAATGGTTGGTAACGCATCTTGAGCAATGTCCTCGGGTCTGACGTTGCGTCTTTGACAGCGATGCGAAGCGTCCTTGCGCCACCTGTCTGCGGTCCCATGCCTATGCTGTGGCGCACGCATCTAAAGATAAGCCCGCACCACCATACCCAGACTGTTCTTACGAGGAAGGTGAGGCCTCATTCCCGCCCGTGCAACTATTGGGCGGCAACTGACGAGTCATCGGGCTCAGGCGCAGAGGAGCCCGACGACCCCCCCGCAAAGACTAAGCATGAGAGACTCGAGACAAGGATTGGTGCGTGCGAGTTTCGCAACAAGTGCAACTCCGCGTCTGACCTCTGATGCTTCCACAGGCGAGCTCGAGGGTCTTCTCCGGGAGATGACCATAGCGCTCCAAGAGGCTCGCGCTGAGAATACGAGGAAAAGCTCTTCCCCTAGCACTCACCGTTCGAGCAGTCCAGACAGTATGGCTGTATCCTCGAACGACTCGAGCGGGCCCGTGCGGTCGCCTTTGCCCGAGGCGATCTTCTCTCCCGGAGTTGTTGGAGAGGAATCCATGGTATGTCTTACATCTACTTGGCGTGCTCCGGTGGACCAATAGCCACGGTTTCCTAGTTCTCTTCAGCGCTGTTGCAGAATTCCGGTGCTGATATGCTCATTGACTCGTCGACCACATCCATGAGCGGACCCAAGTCCTGGGATGTGCTCGAAAGCTTCTCGAATAACGTATACTCGTCGGCAACAGAGGCCGATTTTGGTATTCTCCCAGACATGGACGCATCGATCTCGTTTACGTCGGATACCACCATCGCTTTGACGACCTATGGATCTCAAGCCGGACAGCTTGTGCCAAGCGGTTGGCCGCCAAACCTGCCCACCCCTGAAGTAACCCGTCATCTGTAAGACATTCAGTTCTGCCGATGCCGCACTGCATTGACAAGGTTCCAGAATACATGCTTTCTTTGCGTTCTGGATACACGCTGGCAGACTGTTCCACGGGCCTACGTTCCTCTCTTCGCTTGACTTTCCGCCCTCGGACCCACGGTTTCCTTCGCCAGTTGTTCTGCACGCTATATGTGCTGTAGGCAGCATGTATACGGCTGATATCGCGCCGACGCCGATACACACAAGCCGGTATTTCCCTTGTAAGTGCAACGTCGGTGCACGAGCTGCGCCTATGATACATACTGATGCGCTGCACAGACGAGGCATTCGATGGTCGCTGGCGCAAACTTGCTGCTCGCCCGGACTCGTTCGCCGAGCAGCACATCAAGTACGCAAATATAGAAAAGGAATGCAATGTCGATGTTGGAGAGTACCTTGTGGAGAGCTTGCAAGGTGTGGCTTGGTCATTATGATCGGCGTGATGCATCTCTTTCTGACCCACCGCTTCCAGCCCAGGTTCTCATTACCTGGTGGTACCTGAACCAGGGAAGGTGGTCGGATGTGAGTTGGTTCCATCGGTGCATATAATGTCGTGCTCAACGTATTTCCAGGCGTGCTTGGCTTCGGGACAAAATTTGCGTTACTGCAACGCTACAGGCCTGATTAAGGCTGGAGCGTTTAAGTCGCGAATGCCAAGGAAGCTTACTAATGAAAAGAAAGAGGACGTCTTACCCCCGCCGCTCTCTGCGATAGACGAGGAGACTCGAAGGAATACATTCTGGATAGGTATGCGAGCACACTCGTGACAGGTTTTCTGTACGAATCGCTGAAGGCGAGCACCAGCGTATGCCCTCGAGCGAGAGCAGTCTTGCGGCAATGGCTTTGCATTGGAACTCGACGATGCGGACATTGATCAAGTGCTGCCTTTGCGGAGTGACCAATTCGAGCTCGGCGTAAGCTTCCGCTATCCTTCACTCAGCCATCGTACGCTTACGCCTACTTAGATCCGCGTCGCACTAGAAGACCGACAGTGGTCGCACGATCGCGACCTGCTGCTTACGCACCCACTCGAGCGCACAGACAGCTTCGTGCTCTGGCTCAAGGCCACGATGCTACTCTCGCGTGTGAAGAGCTTCAAAGTGCGCTTCAAGGGGCGATACCAGGCAGGCGACTCTGCTTACTACTCGCCGACGAGCAGCCCCGCGAGCGGTGAAGCCGAGTACGACCCGCGCGACGCGCCTGTGTTCCAAGACCTGAACCACGCTGTGCTCTCCTTCCGCCAGTCGTTCCCGTCGCACCTCCGGGACCCGATCCAGGATGGGACGGTCGACCCGCACCTGTACAGCGCATGCGTCGGGGCGCATCTGTGAGTCCGCCTTCGCTCTGAGGTGCCAGTGGCTACGCTAAACCATGAGTGTAGGGCACAGATTCTGCTGCACGAGCCGCACATGAATGTCAAGGACCCGACGTGCCAGTCGCTGAACCAGGTCTCGAAGGGGGCGCGGGCGATCCTGGATCTCATGTACAGTCTGTCGGCGACGAGCTATGACATTTCGCTCCTCGGTCAGCTGGCCTTCGTACGTCTGCTCCCCTTCGAGAACGCACTTTCCGAAACTAACTCTATCTGTCTTCTTCTGGCGTAGAACGCATGGAACTGTGCCGGGCGCGCCCTGGTCGAGTTCCTCAAGATTGCTATCGACACTAATAACCTCGACCAGGTGTTCGTGCTCCACTCGGAGATCTACTTCGTCCAGTACGTTCTCTTCCCCTCCCTCGCGTCCATTTCCTTACCGCCCGCTGCAGCTCGATGTTAGCGAAAGCCGGTGAGCGCATGCCCATCGCCTGTACGTCTTCCCCTCTCTCTCTATCGTGAATCGGCGACTGAAACTAACGCACCGTGCAGATCGCTACAAGAAGACGGTCTATGACTCGCTCGCATTCATCTGCGGCGAGCAGTTCGTCGAGCCGCTCGCCGAGACGTCGTACCACCGTCCGCAGTACATGAGCCCGCTCAACTCGGCGCTCGTCGACCCCGTGCCGAGCATCGTACCGCTCTTCAGCGCGGTCGGGATCACGTATCCCATAGAGTCGCCGCTGCGGATTTGCTGCTAATCGTTTCTCCTCTCTTGTGTTTCTGGGCGGTAACAGGGTCTAGGTGTCAGGGCTTTCTGAGAGCAGAACCGTGGTGTAATTTTTTGCGGATTGCTTAGTTTAGAGGGAGTAAGTTATTGAAGACCGTCGCTGTTGTGCTGTACTACGTCTGTTGTATAATCTTGCTCTGTTCCTATGTACCGAACCTCCTCTCAGTCTAGTACTAGTTTTGCAAACGCTTCAAAATTTTGGCTAACCGGCGCCTGATCTGGATTCTGGCAGCTGGTGTTCGCTTTCGAGTCATGTCTTCTGCGCTCATGTTCCGGGTCTGGTCCAGCCCTCTGCAATCAGCTTCAGCGATAAATGGGGACATGTGGTGCATATAAATGCGTCCCGTCTTGTTGCGTTCCGTTTTATGGGTGCATCGGCGTATGCGGCACTGCGTAGGTCACCTCAAACGCACGAAAGAACGGCCCAAGGTATCCCTGTTCTCATCCCTTGCTCTCGCAGACCGCGGAAAAGGGCTGGGATGTCCTGGTGCGTGATGTGCTCATTGAATGTAGGAAAGGCAACTCTGGGTGCGTTCTCGCAGCTAAAACTCATGTTATCACCAGGCTCAGGATTTGTCGCCTGCGCCGGAGTACCGGCCTCTTCGTCATCGGGGACTGGTGTAGCAAGGGCTCGCGGTCATCTTGCAATGTTCACATAGGTTTTTTATATTCGTGGTACGTCTCATACATCATGTTGATTATAATCTCAAGACATTTAGTGCATATACTCAACGGAAAGAAACAAGAGAAAGGAAGAGGCGAAACTTAGATGCTCAACACGGAGACCAGGCCCATACTTACCAATGCACAGGGGCAAGATTCCTTGAGTTCCCGGCGCTCGTGCCCGCTACTTCAGAAACCACGGCATGTGCTTCTCCACAAGAGCGATTGGGACCTTGACATATCCCGACTCCGTCGTCGCGACACTCGACATAGACTGTCCGTCCATCTCTATCGAGAACACTGTCGGAGTCGTTTCCCGCATGTGCTCGTCGCCATCGTGGTCGACGGCCCCGGTGAGCACGTCATGGATCTTAAGGGGGACGTTGGAGCCGACGTACATACGCCTAGCTGTGGGCGTGGGTGTGATCGAGCGATCGCACATGGCAACGTCGCGCGAGCTGCTGGCTACTGAATAATCTTTGGTAGGCTTAGCGGCCTGACGAGGTTGTTCAGTTGCTTGCAATGCTGGTGGCGGCCTGCCAACATAGGCCCTTCCAGGCGGTGGCCTGTAGAGCTCCTCACCGCCCTCTGCGTCGTGTGGCCCGCCGCGTACCGTGACCTCATCCGGCGACACCGCCCTCCCCTTCCCCTTCCCCTTCCCCTTCACGGTGCTCTCCGAGCAGATCGACATCTCTGACACCACCGATCCTCCATCCTCGCCATCCTGTCTCACCGTCGACCCCTCCGACATTGCCGGCGTCTCCTGCCAGAACGCCTCTTCATCCTTCGGCGTGTCGGTCAGCGTGGGTTCAGATTCGGATTCCGACCTGCGTCGTTTACGGCTTCGAGTCATCGGGGTGCCTTCCTCCGGTTGCAGGACCTCCGGCGGCTGCACACGCGGACTAGGCACCAGCTTGCTCTTGCCCAAATTAGCGCCTTTTGTGGGCCGACGGGGGGTGAGTTCTATACCGTTGATGCGGGCCACGATACGACGCGCCTTCGACGGCGACAAGACGTAGGGCCCGGGTGTGGATGGATCTTCTGGTGGAGGGTTGAGTAAGTTGAGCATGTTGAGTGTCTTGCGGAGACTGCGGTTCATCTGGGAAATGCGTGAGTGTTTCGCACTCGACAATGACAATATCGCGAATACTAACGTTGAGAAGTGCGGCGTTGGTAGTGTGAAGTTCGCGGGTAGCTGGGGTTGGTGGGGAGTAACGCGTCACGATTGAACTCTCACACCGTGGCCTATATATCAACATTTTTTTTCCGTTCAGGGAGTCCTTTCCTTTCTTGGCATTCGATGTTGAACCCTTAAACGTTCCATTGTTCTCTTAAAGCGTGGAAAGAGAGACACATTAGCTCCGTGCCTGAAGGTGCCACTCATTCTGGCCGGCTGCATGGGGAATAGGCTTGCGGTTGCATTGTCCTCCCCTCAACACGACATGGCTTCCTTGCAAATCTCTCCCCCGCGTACCCCGGAACGTGCCTTGTGCAGCTCCAGACCCTTAGTATGGACGGGAAGATCGTGTTCTAGTGCATTTGGCTGACATTATCGACCGTGATCGTGTTTCATGTTCGATATGTGTCTGTGGCCTCGCCTAGCTGGGGCTTTGGAATGTCATGCCGACGCTGGCCGCATGGTTATTTTTGAGGTAGCCTGCAACGCACACAATGGAGCGTATTATTGGCCCTGCCCACACAGGCTCTTCGAGTGTGAGGGCCTCAAGCAGCTCTCTCGTTGGGCCATCGTCGTTCGACCTGAAACTGAAGCCGGATCCGCCTGCGCCAAGTCATTCGTCCGTTCAGCTTTCGAGTGTTCATCTAGATGCATGTTGAGAGGTGAAGTTGTTCCAGTCCACCTGCCAAATGCAGACTACACACCCGACGGCTTTGTGGCGTCCGGCCGCACTGGGTGAGAGAAAAACACAGAATCGCTGAAGGCGCAGCTTTCTTGCTTGACAAGATGCCCAATATCACATTTCTCTTTCTTGGAACAGTATATGAACGATAGAGAATACGGCGCCATATCAGCGAAGACTCCAGAGAGACAGCTTCGAGCAGTGGAATACTACGCTCTAGCGGGTTTGGATGCCTACGAGATTGACTCGCGACGTTACAGCTCAGAACTAGATCATATGGGCAAATCTCAGAACAACTCTTCCTCCTCCGGCTTCCAGTTCTTCGCCTGGTCCCAGTAGCCAGCAAGCTTCTGCCCGAGCACTTCCTTCGCGGCAGTGTCGGTGGGACAGCTCTTCGGTTTGAAGTTGCTGAAGGACCGGTCGCGGAGCTGGCCTTCCCAGATAAGCCAGCATTTGTTGTCCTCAAGAGACACGGCCTCTCCTTCGGCAGGGGTAACTGCGCGCGCCTTGCCTTTGTCGGCCGCGCTGCCGTCCTCGCCCTCATCACCTTCGTCGAGCTCGACTTCCTCGTTGCCGCGCTCGCGCGCAGGCTCTGTCCACGCAATACGGTGCAGCATAAGCCGCTTGTACTGCCGGATGAACTTGTGTGCGCCTTCGATGTAGACCATCGAGAACTGCGGGTGGAAGATGCACGCTCCTGTGAGGTTCATCTGCTCGGCGTTCTTCCTGACCTTGAAGCGGTGCGCGGGGTCGGAGAGTGCCTTCACCCTGAAGGATGGCTATCAGCATGTATATATTGCAAAGATCGTGCGGATACGCACTTAAAGACGGCTCCAAAGAGGCCCCTCTTCTCTTCCTCGATCTTCTTCGTCTCGATCTTCTCCCGTCTTTGTTCGTCGGTTAGCTTGCGCTCAGTGTTCATTTTCTCGTGCTGATGCTTGCGCATCGCGACCTCACGTCTCACTCGAGCTTCAACGCGAGTAGGGTCTTGCACAGCATCCGATGTCAAGACTTTCATGAGATTTGCCAAGCGGACTACGTAGCATTCTCGTTAGTTGCATGTTCATATAGCAAGATTGTTAGTGTACTTACCCTTCGGCGGATCGGGGGGAATGAGGCCCATACGTATTCGGTCTCGCTTGTCTTGCAACTCAGCTTGACGGCGCTGCTTCCGCAGCTTTTTCTGCTCCTTCTTGGTGAGCTTCATTGGCTTGAGGGCAACCTTGTTCTTATCACCAGGTGCAGGGATAGGAATTGGGTGCTGGATGTAGATCGTGATAGGCGACCCTTGATTGCGGATGTTCATGCCCCTCGTACCAAGAGCCAAGTCGTCGTACGTCTTATTCAGAAGCAGCGCGGCATCCCACCATTCCGCGTCTGGAGGCGGTTCTCGCTATTGGACATTGTCAGGCATCACCTACTTTGTACTGTGACTGAGACGTACGCGGATGTTCTTCTCAAGTGTTTCAAACTCTGTGTCCAATCCGGCCTTCTTCGCGCTCTCCGCAATCCTCTGCTTGAGTTGTTCCAGCTGTGCCTCTTGCCGGACCTGATTACCGATCTGCACATACTTGCCCTTGGGGTTGAAGCGGAACTGGCGGCCAGAACGCTCCTTTGGCGCGCCCTCAAAGCCGCTGTCAGGTGTCGCCGCGCCGGACGCGTAAGGATTCGACGCAGTCTCAATGGGCACAGTAGGTGTAGGAGCAGGAGGGGGTGTCGGCGCATTCCTAGCGTTAGCCTTGATAGACGCGAACTTCGGCTGCATAGGCTTATAGCGATCCTTCTTTGACTGCGGGGCGGTAGGCGTGTTGTCCAGTAGCAGAGGGTGAGCTGCCATTTTCAAACCAGCACCCTGCTGGGTAGACTCCGCAGATGGCTGCTTCTTGTTCTTGCTGGCTTGCGGTAGGCTCTGAATAGTAGTTCATAAGTCTACAGATCAGCTAACAACATATCGTCACACACCATGTAAGGATTGTCTTTCACCGCAAGCTTGTTCTGCGCGTCTGCAACACGCCTCTTCGCTTCCGCAACACGTCGCGCCAAGTCATCAGTAGGTGTACCTGCAGGTGCAGGAGATGCCGAATGTGGAGTAGCGGGGACAGGTGGTGTTGACACGGGGCTCGGGGTTGCGACTGCGGACGTTGAAGCTGATGTCGATGGCGCGCCTTTCTTCATTGCTGCTATCTTTGCAGTAATCTCAGCCCTCTTCTGGGCAATGAGGTCCGCTGTGGCCTGTGAGGAGTCACATTAGCGAAAGGCGTGGGTGTGCAGCGCGATACTTACTGAAGGGGCTGGGGACCGAGCATGAGATGCGTTCTGAAGGGCATAAGCAGGTTATAGAACATGTAACAAGCATTGTAAGAGGCGAATTCACCTTACGGAAGAGAGAGAATAGCACTTACAGCATCGCTGTTGAGACAAGCACCATTAGCTACTAACTGCACTCAGCAATGTAATACGGACCTTCTAGCCTTCTTGGCGACCCCCGAGTCGCCATTCCCCTCAAACGCCCGCTTTCTGTCACTCATGATAACCAAAGTTGAACACACTGAGCGAAGCTATGAGAGTGGTCGTGGTGGTCTCGGACAAGCAGCTTGCAATGCCGCCCTAGTAAGGTTTGAACTAAGAGAAGTAACAAATGTCCCTTATACCGTCTCTGGGAGTTTGAAACAAGGTAAGCCAGTACACTTATCGAGATAACTCTTGCTTCTTGGTCCTCGGCGTATTGCACTCCTTCCGTTCCGACTTCGCTCTCGGACAGCCATGAATTTCCTGTCCTCCTCGCGGTCGCTGTTCTCAGCATGCAGACCATCGACATCACTCCTCAGCCTCAATAGCCCGCACCTTGGCCTCAACTTTGCACGGTTTCGATCACAACTCATGCCGCGGAAGGTGGACTGGCTGAAGCGTCATAAGGGCGTGATCCCAGTGCCCATCGGCGGGTCCATGAAGGGCACCACTCTTGCGTTCGGGCAGTGGGGTATTAGGATAAAAGGGAACGGCGCTCGTATCACGCAAAAGCAGTTACTGGCGGCCGAGGACGCCATTAGGAAGAAGATCAAGCCCATTAAGGGTGCAAAGGTGTTTATGAGGGTGTTCCCGGATATCCCAGTCTGCATAAAGGCCCGTACCGCCTTCTCATGTCTTTAAGCGTCTTTCTTCGTGTGTTAACATGTCATTTCTAGGGTAATGAGACCCGTATGGGTAAGGGTAAGGGATCGTTCGAATTTTGGGCAACTCGGTGTGTGGCTCGTACTATGTGCTTTGACGGGCATTGACCCTTGCTCGAATCGCGTAGTGTCGCGCCAGGACGTGTTCTGTTCGAGATTGGCGGTACTCCTGTCCGTGAGGAACTGGCTCGCGAAGGTACGCCTCACCAATGTCTCTGCCGAACGTGTCGTTCAACATCGAGCGCAGCCATGCGCCGCGCGAGCGACAAGCTGCCGACTAGCATGGAGTTCATTGACCGCAGAGCACCACCACGTCTCGGCAATCTCGTGTTACAGCCTGAAGCGTCTCCACCGCTTGAGGCTGTTATATCTGCTTAGACTATACTCTGCTGGAGCGTAACATAGTACAGCGAGCAGCTACACGCTCAGTCCGAAGGTTATCTGCAAATGTTACGATCCGCCGAAGACGTGCATGTATAGTGAACTTGGACACCTGGAGACGGCCGACACTCTAGGTCTATACGGGTAATATAGGATAGTATTTACACGTAGAGCGATGGATGCCTACTCCCTTCCGGCACGCAGTCCTCTTCTCACTTCGAGGGAGCTTTGACTTACTTCGGTGACATGCGTAGTCGCGTCCAAGATGTCACACCGGTGTGCAATAGTCGAAGAGAGTCGAGTGTATCAACCTCAGAAAAGTCGCACAAGATCATGAAGCCTCTGCAAGAGGCTCCTGCTTGACCTTCTCGAGCTCCCGAAGCCATCGCACATCCCTGGCCACGCTTTCCTCCCTCGCTCTCCTCCTGCGCCTGTTCAGATGGCCCCAGTCTTCGCCCACGCCGACCTCCTTCCCGAAGACTTCTACAGCAGCTTTGGGTTTTGGTATAGGCTGTGGTGTCTTCGAACGCCATACCCATATGTCCTTCGAGGTGTGGAGATTTGCGGTCCTCCGCTGTGCCTTGGACATGTGTTTGAGACGCTCCTCAATCTCTTCTTGTGTGAGAGTCGAGACGGCATGAACCTTTTCAATCTCCTTTTTGGTGGCAAGTGCTGGAAGGATGGATTTCTTTAGGTAGCTGTACGCGCTTTAATGCAAACACTGCAAGGAGGCACGGGAGAGTGCACACCTCATAGACCGGACGGGGTGTTCGACGTGTGGCGGAAGAGGACCGTTGTGCTCTATGTGCTCTCCGGTATAGCGTTCATATCTGACCGGGTTCTTGCCAGCGACCTTCGAGGGTTCTTGCAACGCGAGCTTGTAGACCTCATGGGCCGTGAGCGGCTTCGGGTTCGAGTAGATGACGTTCCGGACGATGCGGAGAGCCTCTGCAGTCGCACTGTTGCTCCATATGTGCCGATGCAGGTACATGGTTTGGCCTGACTCGCCTCTGTGCGCGAATGCAGGCGATGTCGAGGAGGTTGAGAGAAAGGAGGAAGCGCCGTGTGCACGTGCCGTGTAACAGACTCGGCGTTGACGGCAGACGCTCTCGTGGGTTGACCTGCTTTCGTTCTCTCCGCCCTCGGTTTCTGTGCATGCTCTCTGTGTATATATAATGGCTCCTAGACGACCTCGCTCAACATCAAATGTATCTGCTAGCAACATTATTGCAAGAGCACCCACCGCCTCCCCACAGCTCAAGAAACAATTTGCGCTCGCATTCGACTCCATCTATCAGAACAACCTCAGGACTATCAAACGCCGCGACCCAACGATAGTCTCTATCCTCGACCAGTTCAGCCATGTATGTTTGTACAAGTTTAACGGCATGACCATGAAATGGGAGCGAGAAGGATACGAGGGCAGCATTTTCATCGTCGAACAGTATGTTCCATGCCCGCGAGCTTGCAGCGCCAGCTGTTAACGCTTGTACCCCAGCTCGGATACACCAGTCCACGGTTTCTACATTTTGAACCGCCTGGGTACCGGCGACTACAGCAGACGAATCTACCCTGAGGATGACATTGAGATCCTAGGCAACTACCTCATGTATCGATACTACTCCGATTTTACCAAGAAGCGGATTGCCATGGACCTTCCCTTCCCTTTGCCCCTGCAGTTCCGTCCCATGTTTGACCAGGAGTTTGCCAAAGACCAATCACTGCCAGACGAGCCGGAGCAAGCCCTCCAGCCAGGCCAGTCCGAGAAGTGTAGGAAAGGGACTTCCGTCACACTAGGCATCTGGCAGTTCCCTCAGGACGGCCGAATTGAATCGCTCAAGGACGTCATGACACGGTAGATCAGCCCGATTTCTGGAGTTGGAGTCCATTTCTTATACTCCCGCACAGACTGCATTCCTACGTGAAGCAAGGTCTTCCCTATCCTGAACAATTCCGATATGGCCCAGGGCGTCCGCCCCCTCCCCCTCCTAATGGCCTGACAGAGACTCTTCACAAGAATGGCCATAGTCTGGGTAGGTCATCGACATCTTTTAGTTAGACTGTGAAGCTGATCTTCAGCGTAGACCTCCCTCGCGCACCAACTGTTGGAAATGGCCCGGCCAGCGGTCCATCGGAGGTTGACATGCTGTTCGCCAAGTTACAACCCTCACCGACGGCTGCAGCTGCTCTAACCTCTTCGACGACCTCTAACATGTCAGTGCAAAGCCTTTTTGCGGCTTTGCAAGGACATGGTACCAATTATCCAGCTACAGGCGAAAGCCCCGCAATTACCCCCTCACCTACTGCGGCCACTGTCTCACAGACCACTTCGACCCGCGGGCTGGCCCTCCTTGACTCAATCTTCGCGTCTGTCTCTCAGCCAACTAATGGACCACCCGCTCCTCACATTCAAAGTCAGGCACCTCAGCCAGCTCGGCTTCCGTCCCAGCCGGAAGATATTCAAATCGTCTCGCCGAAGCCTCAGTCGTCTGCTCTTCCCCAGATCCTTACGCAGAATGTCATCTCTTCTCTGTTAGGTCTTGGACATAACTTGGCCGGCTCCCGCGCGTCTTCCACTGCCCTTAGTTCAGGCAGCTCGCACCGATCGACAAACATTCGGTACGATGGCGATAACGAGTCAAGCGAGAATTCCGAGGGCGACCTTTCAGTACCGAACACCGCCCTGGAGGCCCCGCAGGATCCTGCTATCCTTACGAGAGGCACATCGCACCTCGTTGTACCCCAGAACGGCATGACGTCAGGAAGTCAAGGTGATGTTACCCCTCGCGCTCCTGCAAGAGGCATTGGTTCAACGTCCCCGACGCCGAGCACACAACTCTCCCTGTCCTCCTTACTCACCGCAGCCGGAGCTGGCTCTGCTACTCCTATTAAGCCCGTCGATGCTCCCGCGACGAATCCTCATCCCACTGCTACGGACCCGGCCCAACGCGCTCGTTCGCTCGTCCCCTTCTCCGCAGATTCTGAGCTCTGGCCATATCCTCGTGCCCCCCTGAATGACAACGAAGTGTCCGATGTTGACGTCGTCGAGCTCGACTTCTCGGACACTCGCGCACTGAGCGACCCGTCGCTCTTCAAAGAGAAGCAAAAGCAAGCTAAGAATGGCGAAAAGAAGAAGAAGAGTCGCAAAGAGCGTGTGGCAGACAGGCAGAAGGAGCGTGAAGCGATCGAGAACGGGTGGGATGACCCGACGAAGGGGCAGGTCACTGTTGACGGTGTTACCTCTATGAACGGGGCGTCGCTGTCCGTAACTGCGCTGTTGCAGTCTGCTGCGGGCCAGTCGACTCCACAGCTCAATGAGAACGGGGCGCATCTTGCCTATGATGGCTCCACTCTTAACGGAAATGGCGAGAAGAGTACTGCAGATACCACTCGCGAGGCCATTCTTAATACTTTGGCAACCCATCCAAGGGCCCCGGCGCGGAATTTGTCACGCAAGGCGTTCATGCAGGAACTCATGTCCCTGATCTATGTAAGCGGTAGTCTTTCTTCGGCTCTACTCCGACGTACTGACCGTGTTTTTCCCAGGCGGACCAGGGTTTTGTGGACAAACTTTATCAGGAGTATACTGGTTCAGCAACGTAGCTTTACACTACTCTTGTATGTGCATTCTCTCCGCAGCTCCCGTCTCCGTCCGCACTCACCCATCGGACAGACTAACATATCTCGTCCTATATATTTCGTCCATACTTGCAACACTAGTTTTGTGTCACGTTGTCGCCCTTGTTATCGTTGCATCTCGCACTTTCTCTGCTGCAATTGGATCACCGCTCAGTCGTACCTCGAGTACTGCCCTTACACAGACCAATCCCTCTAAGTATGAGCCACCCTGCGCTTCTCTTTCGGCCCGCGTCGCATAAGCAAGTGTTCGTACGCCAAGCTGGCTGGACCCCAAGTGCCGATCGCCTGTGTCTCTCACAAAGGCCAACAGAAGTTTTAGCTCAACAAGCGATAATCGATAATCACAGGTAGTGATAGGTCCCACGTATTGGTTTCACAAGGAACCACATGTACCTGCATCTCCGTCGGATGAGTTCGTCCACGTCTGCGGGCTTCACAGGTGCTAAATTAGCTGGGTTTGACATGAGGTGATTGCCGTCGCAGCGAAGCAGCTCTGTCTGGGCGGGGGAAGTCTGAGACGGACACTTGAAAATCAGCCACTTGAGAATCGGCCACGAATACGCGGCCAACCTCGACCGTGCCCCCTCTATCGTTCGGCTGATTTCCTGTGTAGCATAGCATTCCGGATACCTATGTTTTCCGAACTGCCACCTCGTGAACAGTCGGATGGCAACGGCCAGAACAGTAGGTTCGTTATCAACATATCGGTCTCATGATCAACCCTTCATCGTCGGGTCATTATGTCTGAGGCAGTACGATGGTCCATGTGCTCCGTTTTTCGCTCTACAAAGAAGATTGTGCATTTCCAATTTCATGACAATGCTTCGCGACAGAGGGTCTGACCGGGACCGGCTAGTTGCAGTATATATGACTTGAGGTGTAGACGTGCAATGCAGCCCCAGCAACCACAACCACACTCATCTTTCTCTTCTTGCACATCGCTCTCATCATGTCTTGGTTCTCTGAGGATTCTGAGCAGGCCGTCTCCTACCAGACTGTGAGTGCGCTGCCCGTCCACGCGTCGTCAACGGTGTGCTGACGATCTGTCCCGACGAGCAGGTCACTGAGAAGCCCCACGAGGCTTCTTGGAGCCACGAGCTCATCGCCGGCGCCGCCGCCTTCGAGGTGAGCCGTCCCGTTCATGGCCCAGCTCTCTGTTTACGCGATTGCTGATCCGTCATGTCGCGTCGTCTCCAGGCTGCCAAGGCCTACGAGAACCACTGCGCTGAGAACGGCCGCCCCGACGACCACTCCACTGCTAAGGAGCTCCTGTTCGTCTCATGGACTCTAGTATTGCGCGTCTGAGTTGTTGACATGATATTGTAGGGCCGGCTTCGCTGGTGCTTTCGTCGATCGCGAGGTCGAGACCAGAGGCCTCGACTACATTGACAAGCAGAGGGCCAAGGACCAGGGTGCGTTCTCTCTTTACCCGTTATACGCAACACCCGCCGACGGCGTATCTTTGTTACAGCTCAAGAACAAGTCGAGACCGTGTACAATGAGCAATTCGTTAGCAACTACTAGAGTAACGCAACTTCTTCTCCCTCGGTCTGGACCCTGATCGTCATCATATATCGGGCACACTTTTGTCGCAGACACAAACAGAATACGAAAGGAATGTACATCTGTAAGCGCGAGTTACTTTGCATTGGTAAACAAGGTTGTGTGTGTGGGCGACTGTTTGAGCACTGCGTCGTGGGGCATCCTAAGGCCCTCCGCTACGGCGATCAAGATGCACTGCCATAGCGTCCTGTGTTCTGGTGGGCCGGTAAGTTGTGTGTGGTAGTGTATTCATCCTGTTTATTGAACAGGCGTGCTCGAAGCTACCATCGCGATGGGCTGCGGCCTCGTGGCGCGCCACAAGCGAGTTTCCTGCGAAGGGTGTGGCGCTTTACGAGACTTCTAGTACGCGCAAACAGCCTTGAATATTCAGAAGAATGCGTCAAATAAGTCTGATAGAACCTCATTGATCTCGCCATCTTGCGGCATTGCGCGTGGGCAACTCGACATTGATATCGCGGCTGCGGGCCTGACGTCACGTAATATCTCTCAAATGGGGCGCAATATTGATAGGAACAACGAAGTCTGCGCGGTACAAATTCGTGCGAGCTTCTTTGGAGATGCATTGATTACGGTCGACTGCGGCAGTTGTTGCCATGCAAACCCTCCAAACTGCGGTCCACGGCACCTGGGAAGCCCGTGCTGGATGCAAAGCACAGATCGGTACTCTTCAGCTCATCGATCTTCCCAGATGAGCCTTGCGGCCGTGCGGGACCAATGGAGCTGCGCACACGGATGATGCCTTTCCACTGTTCTTCAGATTCCAGACTATGGTGCGAGTGTAGATTGCAAACCGGCATTGATTGGAGAATTTCTCCTTCAAGATTTCATGTCTGCGAAGAACACAACGGAAAGAGCGATAAGCAAGACATCCCGCTAGCCTCCTTCGGTCTCCTCGCTCGAGCCTACTGGCCGGAACAATTACGGTGGATCATTGGAGCCAAGAATAGATTAAGCAGACCAGCACCATCTGGATAACGAGGGCCAATTTGCATATTGTGCCTTGAGACCAACCATTTGCAGACGCCAGGTGATGTCGTCAGCGCTGCGTCAGGTTATAAAAGCCTGCTGCTGGATCATCGGCCTCCCGTTCTGCACTTTCTTCTCTCTCAGGACAACCAAGCACCCGCCCCGTTTACACTCACTACTGCTCGTTCAACATGGGTTGGTTCAGCAGCGACTCTGACCAGGGCCAGGCCTACACCGACTACAACAACGTGCGTCGTCGATGTCGCTTGCATGTCCGACGCGTCGCGATCGCTGATACCGATGTTGCCAGGCCCCCCACAAATCCTCGATCACGCACGAGCTGATCGCTGCCGCCGCTTCGTACGAGGTCAGCCCCAGCTCACCCCCATCCCCTGCTAGAGAGTACTTACTTGGTTACCTCCAGGCTGCCAGGGCTTACGAGAACCACGTCGCGCAGAACGGCGCACCCGATAGCCACGCTGAAACGAAGGAGCTTCTTGCCGCGTTTGCGGGTGGCTTCGTCGACAAGGAGGTAGAGTCCAAAGGCCTTGACTTCATCGACAGGGAGAAGGCCAAGCGTGAAGGTTAGTTCACGCAGTTTTCTGGGTGTTCGCCAAATGAATATTGACGGTGCTCCCCATGACAGCCACCCGGCAGGCTGAGCAGGCCTATGACGACCAAGGCAATAACTTCTAAACATCTTCGAACGGGATAATGTAACATCACCTGTACATCATAGGGCGTAAGACAACCTGAAATGCACGCTGTGATCGATCTTTCCGCCAGGGTGTGATAGTCGCGCTTAATACTGTTTGTTGGGCCTTCGCGGTCAGCATCATGAGTAACGACAGTGAAGATGGGGACATTGGGCTATGTTACAAACGACGTTCGAGCAGGCAAATTTTACGGTTATGAAGTCCGTGACCAGCACGTCGGCGTGTCCGGAGAGCAGCATCCAGTACTGCACAATGGGCTGTGGTCAGACTCCTGCGTACGCTGGAGGAGGCTCCTGTCCCGGCTCTCCTGCGTCGGAAGACTCGATAGTCCTGCTATGGGCGCCTTTAGGTACGTGACCTGTCGTATGAGCTTTAGCAGGAACCTGCGGAGGCGGCGCCTCGTCGCTCAGGGCATGCGTATGTCCAGCCCCCGCAGGCGACGAATCAGCTGAGATGTATGGGCTAATGATATGGGCTTCCGGAGGACCTGGACGTTTGGGAATCAGCGGGAGGCAGGCGGAGGACATCTAAGGGCGACACACCGCCGACCGTTGGCTCGTCAAATAGACCAGCCTCCTTGTCATACGTGCTCTGCGCAAACCTCAAGCGCGCAAAGCGGCGGCGCCAGAACAGGAACAGGCCGGCGAGCGCCAGGATGAGGAGGAGGATTATCGGGACGAGCACCGCGGCGACGATGGTGGTGGAGTGCTGGCTGCTGTGGTGCTGATGGCCCCCGGAGCTCATATCAAGGTCATCGCTAGGCAACGCAGTGGACGCCGACCCTGCCAGGGTCGAGGTTGACGTCGGTGAGCTCGAAAGCGGCGGTGGAGGGGCGCTGCTAGAGCTCGTGTTCGAGCTGGGCGTGTACTCCAGATAGTCAATCCAGAAGGTGTTGTCGGACACGACGTCAGTTGCGGTGACGGTCAGCGTGTGCTGCTCATCCGCCAGCTGCGGCGAGAGAAAGAACGCGTAGCCGTATTGGGTTGTCAGCGACTTTGGCGCAGTCACCGTGACGGCGCTCGCTTCGTCCAGGACGTACATCGACGTTGTCGTCTGGTTGTCTGAGTCCGAGTTAATTGGGCCGATGGTGCCATAGAGAGCGACAGCGGTTCCTGATATCGAGTTGTACAGCGAAGGTTAGCACTATGTGGGATGTACAAGCTAGGAGAGCGGAATGCTTGCCGTTGAATGTAAATGACATTGTAGAACCGTTAGTTATGGCGCCATGAGTTGTACTGTGTATGACGCAAACTGTTCAGCCTAACGTAAGTATTAATACGCTTCCACGCACCCCATGTACTCCTCGGGAGGATTTCCTCCCTTGAACCACGACCCAGTGTAGTTGACACTAGGGTCAGAGTCATCAATCCGGATGGGCATAGCCATGTTGTCAGTGTGATCACAAACACGAAAGAACAGAAAGCAAAATGAAAGAATGCTGCTCTCAGAGCAGGAGAAGGGTGAACAAGCGGAATACGCGGGGCATGAGAGACGTACGCGTGGGCGTCGCGAACGGCCACTTCTCGTGTATATAACCTGTCATGACGCACGCGATGGACTGTGTGCAGCATATCTGCGCTCTGAAGCGGCACTAACGGTTGCACCTCGCAACACATGAAATCACTGTGAACGGACGAGAGTATCTCGACAAGTGGACAAGACGTAAACATTCACACCATGTCCATAGCGACGGGAGCTCCGCGCTAGCTCGAGGCGAGGGAGTCCTAGTAGTATAAGTGACAGATGGTTGTCGTCGGGGTATAGGCGGTCGGCATTCCTAGGACCCGTGCTAGTGAGATTAGCGTTCATGCCGGTCCTTGCGAGGCCTAGAGTTCACAATGTTCAGAAGGGTTCTCGGGCGAGGACTTGCCGCCGGCAACGCGAAGCGGTGCTAAGGCGGATCAAAGAGTACAGTTATACATACGAGAAGCAACATGGTTCGCAGGTGAGCCGGGCAAGACGGAGTGAGAACTATTGAGGCGAGGCCAGAGACCCGGTGTTGCCAGATGTACATTGAAGTCAAGGCGAAACCGGAGGCTCGCAAGAGAGGCTTTCACTGCGAGACTAGAAGGCCGTTGATGATCTGAGTGATAAGCTTCGCGGCAGCCGCGCATTTATCCCTGCCCTCGGGCAAAACATTGCACAACACAGTAGCGAACTTGTCGGGATGAAACCGGAGGAGCTCGGCCCTGAGTCTGTCCCTGCAGTTCTTCTGGGCGACGGGGCCGAGGCGGTGCTCATGGGAGATGAAAGCTCTGATGGCGTCGGGGGTCTTTTTTTTTTTTTTTTTCCGCTTGTTTATAAAGGCCCGTAGAACTACTGCTACATGAGGGCCTGTGCTACAGCCACAACAGGGTCCGTGCCGGTTCACCTGGTTGACCTAAGGTCTGGGGGCGCAGAGGAATTCGCAGGACCGCGCCAGACGGCCCTGGCCTCGCACGAGCACCGAGCCGGTCGATGGACTCTACCTCACCAAACGTTAGACCTACCTCTAATGGTTCCCCTCACCCACGCCCTACATAACCGAAACACAAATTATCATCATGGTGACCCCCATTAAGTATGGTCACCGGTTGTCGGACGGTTATGCTCCAGCCGCCCTGTGACGATTTGCCCAACTTATCTGTGCTCTTTGTCAACCTGATTGCCCCATTCATCCTCGTCTGCGGGCGGATCTTCAGCGTCGGAGAACGCTTCGAAAGCTTGTCCTACAGGTTTATACTTGCCCCTGTATCCAAACTCTCGCGCCAATGCCTCTTCCTCAACCACTGGGAGGCTCTCATTGTGGTTGAAAAGTATTCGGTATTGAGATACCGCGTACTTTGCATACCACTGTGTGAATTTACGTTCGGCTTGGTCTGGGTTGGGGTACGATTGTTGCCACTTTCCCGGATCCATTGGTATGTCCCCTGGTTTAAGGAGACGGTTGTGATGTCGAACCGCGCTGGAGTATGTGGCTCTACAGCGCTGTTCCAAATCTTTAGTGTAATCATTTCTTTTCTCCTTGCGTCTCTTCGAGTGCATGAGAGCTTTCCATATGTGGACCGAAGTGGTATAGTCACGGCCCTTGTTGGCATCATCAAATGCTTTATCAATGAGGTCAGACCATTCAAAGGTACCCGCCATGGGGTTAGCTCGCACAAAGTGGTAGATATCTTCCCACTTGGTGCCTAGTATTTTCTTTCTGTAGTTAAGATCTTGGCTGTATTCAGTCAATTCGTCGACTTTGGTCAAGTCATTTTGCATCTCCCAGTACGCGCGATGCATTTCGCGTACTTCGGTATCAGTTTTAAGACGATGTCCTATCTTAGTCTTGTCATACAACGGGTGACCCGCTATGTGCATTGTTTTAAAGTCGTATAGACGACTCCATCCCGGGCACATGTATATCATGTGGTCCCTTGTTTCTGTCATTGTTTGACCCAGTTCATGGTGGCAATACCAGCATGTGGTGGGTCCTTCTAGGTTAAATTGTTGTCGGAACGCTCCAATCGGTGCGTGTCCAGACATTAACCTTGTGAGTCTGCCCATCTCTCGGTTCTTTCCCCCACTGTGGGCTATGAACCAGTTCGAGGACGTGTGTTTAATTTGTCGTAGATGATCGTGATGATCTCCAGCTATCAATTGATGTCCTCTATATTTAGGGGACTCTTTGATTTTCTGCCGCCATACGCGAACTTCATTCTCAGTAATCTTTTGCTTGATGTAGGCATAAGATTTAATCGCGGGTTGCGTGAGTTCAGTCCCCTCTTTAGCTAGGGTATCAACTCGTTCGTTCAAGGGCACATTAACATGGCTTGGGCACCATGACATGTGTATGGTTCGTTCCGGGTCTGCTTCCAACCAGCGTCGTATGCGTTCGCTAGCTAGCAAGGAGCATTTTTGTGAGGGGCCAATCCGCGGGTTAAAGATGCGCTGCAGCGCTCCTTTATTGTCCGCAAATAGGTATAACAATTTGTGTTTTCCCGGCGCATTGCACGCTGTGTTAATGCCCATCCACAGGGCCTGCATTTCTGCATCGAATGGTGTGACTTGGCCACACCCTACTTTCTTTTCTATGGTTTTTCGTTCGCCCCTTTCTAGGGTGTACGTGACTGAGCATGCAGCACCAGTAATGACCTTTTCAGGTTCATTTTCCTCGTGTGTTTTACGTCGTGAGCCGTCAGTGAACACTGCCCGGCTTCCGTAATCGGAAGAGGCTAATTTTATGATTGGATTAAGGAACGTCCTTATCCAGTCATGGAGTTCTTCCTTCTGGGCCTTCGGTGGGCCCTCAAGGCTCATGGTGATGCGGTCTGCATATAAGTCTAATATGCGGTTTCCCGGTTGTGCTTCGGTGCTAATGGAGTTAAATTCCTCTGTGAAACCCTCCGTAACTTTGTATGCCGTTACTATGGGGGTTTCGGCATCTCTAGTTTTGGTTCCGTGGTATGGGAGCGGTGCCTTAATATTAAGTGTCCCACTTTCCATCAAATTTGGCATGTGGGCCCTTATAGGATGGTTTTCGTGTAACATGTGCGTGCGCAATGCCGCACGTTTCATGAGTTTGTTAATGTTCTGTCGGACAGGGATTAGTCCTGCAGACATTTCGAGAAAGCCCACGGGGGTCGTTTTAAACGCCCCCGTGATCCAACGGGCTGCCCGGCTCTGGGCCTTGGACAGTTCTTTCTCGATCCAGTGTATACCCTTCCAGGAGGGGTTCCACCATAGTTGTGCCCCATAGGACAGCAAGGGTACCACATTGGATATATAAATCCGCCGTTTATCTCTAGGTTTAAGCCCTCTAGACGAGTTGCCTAACATTTGGATTGCGGCAACAGTGCTGCAAGCCTTGTTTGTGTAGACCTTAATATGGTCCCTGAACGTGAGCTTGGGGTCAAGCCAGAAGCCTAGATACCTCATTACAGGTTTGGGGGTAATGACAAAGGACGAATTTTCGTCATAAATCCGTAGTTTGGGACCAAGTGGTTGTTCGTCACTCCACGTCCACCCTTTGGCTTTACGCCGGCGTATGAAGTGCATTAATTCAAGTTTATCAGTTTCTGCTGATAACCCCAATCTATGTAGGGTATGTATCAGTTTGGAATATATGTCCTGGATCAGGACGTTGTTATATAGCAACTGCTCGTGGTCTGGGTCTTCCGACCCTTTGCCCAACTTGCCTCCGACGTGAATGAGACCGTCGTCGACGAAGAACTGCACAGTGGCATGTCCGTTGGCCTGTACATTTTTGTCAGTCCACTGTGTGCGGACTGTAACTCGGTGGTCCCCTAGGGTAAGGGTAATCGCCTTTTTTAGGGGGGCAATTTTGTGCATGGCCGGGGCTAGGTATAGACCCGTAAGAATAGGAGAAAGGCTCGAGCCTTGTCTGACTCCTAAGGAGAAGTCCATAGGGTCAAGGGTTTCCCCATTAAACATGAATTGCGTCTGTCTATCTGACAGGTAGCTGATGAAATATTTACACAAATTTCCGGCGAATCCTTGTTTGGACAAGATTCTCGTCAGGAGATTGTGATTAACCGAGGGGAAGAATTGGGCAACGTCGAGCAGGACCGCCGAGGAGTCAATTCCTTTTTTCCACAATTGTTTTACGTTGTGGACAAGTTGTATTCCTGCATCCGTGGTACTATGTTGCATTGTACCACCGAATTGGCACGGGTGCATGGCACCATACTTTTGTGCTTCAAATTGCATTCGTCGGGATATTATTTTTTCCATCAATTTGCCTAGGCAATTTAGGAGGACGATGGGCCGGTAGGCTTTTGCCTTGGTGTAATCAGGTCTCTTCGGCTTCGCGATGATAACCGTTTTCGAGACCTTGAACACCCGTGGTTGTATACCTAGCTTCACGCATGCATCGTAAAATACGAGTATGGGAAGCTCGCAATCTTTCTTGTCGGACTCATCATCGTTGCGATACTCGGGGGATGATTTGTCTTTAAGTATTCGTTTAAGTCAGAACCACGAGACGTTGTCTGGGCCCGGTGCAGAAAAGTTGCTAGTGCCCTTGAGGGCTTCTCGCATTTCAGTGCGACTCATGGGTGGGAAAGCTCTTTCATCGAGCTGCTCCATCTCATCAGCGATGGTCATGTCGACAGGTCGACCATTGGTCGGAGTAAATTGTTGTTGGAATATTTTCCCGACCCCTTTCGAGTCGGTGACAATATCCCCTTGGCTATTTGTGAGGGCGACGTTAGCCACTTGTTTTCGTGGCTTCGTCCATTCAACATTGTTCCATATCCTTGAAGGGTGTGTGTGTTTTAACACCCCTTCGAAGAAATCACGTTTAGCTCGTTTGGCCGCCGCTCGGAGGCGGTTGGACGCATTCTTTATTTTCTGGGCTTCCTCCACAAGGTGGATAGAAGCCAGATCGTTTTTATTCTCGATACTAGTTAGTATCTCATCATCATTCTCAGATATTCCAAGACGACGAATCATGATGTGTCTCGCCCGGATTAGCTTGTTTCGCCTCCGGATGTCTTTCTTAATAGATTTGACCGAAGCACGTATATTACGTAACTCCTTGGCCCTTTTGTTACACTCAGCATTCCACCACGACTTTGCATGGTGTGAAGGCTTGACTTTCTCGACGTTAGCCGACCAGGCTGTGTCGAATGCGTATTGGATCCAATTTCCCCATCGCTCGATGTCCTCTTCAGAGGCATAGTCATCGACGTTGGTGGGCATCGCTGCGAGTCGTCCTCGACAAGCTTTAATGAATTTCTGGCCATTTTCTGACCCTCTCTTAACCGTGTATGTAATTTTATCGACTGTTTCCAGGTCGATTCGAACAAATACTGGGCAATGATCACTATTAACTTGTTGATCATGTCGGTGTTCAATGTCTATGACATTGATATCTTCGTTGGTCCAGACTAGGTCTAGGGTTCCATTGTTTTGGTCCTCTCTGTTGGACGACCAAGTACAAGCTTGTTCAGGTGATGTGCTCAAGGACAGGTTCATGTCCAGCGTGCACATTGTAATGAGGTCTTCCGCTTGGCGGTTGGCCCTAGCTCCAATGGGGACGGTGGAGTCCCACATGTGATGACGTAAGTTAAAGTCGCCTGCCATGAAATGTATTTCTGGCATGTTGCCGGCTTTATTTTCTAGGTAGTGCTGAGCACTGTGTGTTTTGAAATCATTGTACACATTAAGGATACGTATGATTTGTTTGTTGGGCATGGTTAGCTCCAGGCATTGGGCGTCGTCATGATTTACGATGCCCGTGTTAAGTCTCGGTGCGAGGTGCGCCCACCGTCTATTGACGATGGTGCACACTCGTCCTTTCTCAGATGCTCCGAGGAACATGTACTGTCTGTGTGTGATTCCTTGGTGGTATTCGTCTTCGTCTTTCGACGTGGTAGACATTACTTGTTTAATATAACCCCAGAAGGGTTCTTGTACTAGTACGACGTCTGCCGTTCAGTAATTACGTTCTAAGAAGATCTGAAGGTTGTCCTTCGATTTTTGAACGTTAAAGGAAACCACGGTGAATGGTCTGTTATTACCCTCCCGGGATGTAGGGGGTTGAGCGTTATTGGGTTGTTTAACCCTGGCTTCCGCCTCCGCCCTTTCCAGGTTTATGTCAAGGGGGGGCGGTAGATCATCTATATTGTCATCTTCATCAGAGGGGAAGTCCTCGTCGTTATCCGTGTCCCAGTTTTCCTGGTACATGTTTACAAGGTAATCCACTTCGTGGTTTACTCCTTGGTCTGTCTGATCATTTTCGTCGGGTGAAAGATCGAATTGGAATTCAATCTCCGGCGATGTCAAGTTGTCATTTTAGTCACAAGGGCGGTCTTTCGGTACCGCCTCCACGTCCATGTCATTTGTTGTACTACTCATAGGCAACGGTACGAGGTAGTGGTTCAATATTACATGAGTGTGTCATGTGGGGGAACGGTTGGACTCTGGACTCAAGTGGCTGTTTGAGTTCGTTGCGTCCTGTCATCCTCTCAGGTATCATGGTATATATTAAACTGCTCAGCCTAGGGCTAGGTGACAATTTTAATGTATCTAGGTGGTCTACACCCATGATCACGTGATGAGAGCCTGGACCGAGCCCTGACAAGTCAGGTGGTGACCACGTCTCGAGCATGCCGCGTGTGAGGCGGCGTTTATGTATCTGGTTTCCCAGGATAAAGTGAGACGCCTTCCCGAGCGTTAACTCGTTGGGGGTCTCAGACAGCCAGGCTGCCTGTGGGATTTCTCCCTGCGTCCCCTTTCCCCCGAAGGGTCCAGGTTCAGCCAAATGACTCTGCAGCCACGTTCTGCTAGGCAGAGACGACAGCATCGACCTCTTGCATGGGTCTAGCTGTTGTTGATGTGTTGGCGATGGGGGTGACTCGACGCCGTGGCTAGACGCTTCACGGTCAACCCCCAGCCCGAGGTCTTCCGGAAGCGTCGTTGGGCCCATCACCGCTTTTCAGGCGGTAGCGGACCCAGCACCTAAACAGATAAAATAAGTTCGAAAGGGATAGGGAAGTGAGAACGTAACAATGGGCGACGGAATTGGGGAGCGAGACTCAAACGACGTGGGCGTCTAAGGTAGATGGTGGTGGTTGAAGGTCAAGGTGCCGTGTGGCGTCGGGGGTCAGCTTGTTCGAATCACCGAAGGGGCAGAGCACAGGCCAAGGCATTGCGACAAACGACACAGAACTGTCGTCTACGTCTGCACCCATCCTCAGCGCTTGTCACTTTCGCTCGTAGAGGAGGAGGCGGTCGCGAAGGTCGGCCTGTTCGTCCGCAGGTCGGGAGCTGCGCAGGCCCTGCAGCTCTTCATGGAGCCGAACCGCCTCAGCCTCTGCCAAGATGCGGGCTTGGTCCTGTCTCCAAAGATGGGCCTCAGTTTCGACGCGCAACGTCTCGTACGCCCGGTTTGCCGACTCAGCTTTCAGCTTCCACTGGCGAACCTCGCCCATGGCCTTCTCCGCACGCTGACTCTCTTTGTCGAGCTTCCTGGTGAAACCGGCCTCAATGTCTACGATCTCTCGGCGTCGAGCCTCTTCATCTTCCAGCCGCCCGTTGCGGTGCTTCGTCACGGGCGTTTGAATCTTGCGACTGTAGCTTTCTATCGTACGGTTGTGGCGTCTCTCTTGATCCTCGTTCTGAGCACGCGCGACCTCTACGGCCTCCTTGTTAAGTCTCTTCCTCCAGCTTTCGCCTGAGGTCTACCGCCTTCAGCTCTGCCACCATGCGAGTACTTGGTGTACAACTGGTCCAAAGCCTCATCTCTGTCGAGGTTGAAGTCATGCATCGACCAGCTGCTTGAAGGCGTATACGGCCCGGATTCGCCCTCGGCTTCATCTTCATTGGTGCTGTCGTACATGGGCTCCCCGGTACTGCCATAGTCGTTGTCCCAACCAGGGCCACGGGGATGTAAGCCCTCGTCATAGTACACGTCGTCGATACTATTCATCGCCTCTATGCCTATCTCGTCGTAGCTGGTGTTGCCGCCAGAGATTGGGGCGCATGACATGGGTGTTGGGTCAATATACCTGGCATTACTGCGGGTTAGAGGTGCAGTGCGACGCTTAGGGGTTTCGGAGGAAGAGTGACTAGGCTCTGTGGAGGCATCTGGACGAGACTTCGCGGATGGACTATACGGCGCAAATCGCCTTGTGGAACACTGCTGCGTGATCATAATCTTGCCTGCGGGGCGAGTAAAAAAGCTGAGGAAGTCCATGGTCTGGCGAAATTAGATGCGAAAGACCGTACGAGTGATATCGGCTGACTTACACAGACGCGTGAAGGAACTTACCAAAAGAAATACTTGGGAGGCTATCACTGTTGCTGTTGTCGTCGTGCACGTTCGCCTGTCGTGTGCCTCAGGAAGGTGGTGACATTGGACCGAGAGCGTATCTAAGAGCTTTATACTTGATCGGGGAGCTTGGGCCATACAGGGCCCAGTCGTCGCTGGCCGTAACACGCGTGAGATTACCCAAGACAAAGAAACAATACCTCAAGCCACAAGCGAGCTGTCATATTTTGACCGATTGCTTCGTTCTTAGCTTCCGCGGACAGCGCAGATGCTTCGAGAGATTATTAGACTCAAGGGCTGTGACCGGGATTGTCCTTGCGCATGCAGACTTCGGGAACTATGGCATAGCGCAGGTGGTAACCAGCGGGGCTTAACAGAGGGCTTGTGCCTTCATGGGGCCCTGACAAGGGCATGATGGGCCTAGTTCATGCGTTTCATGTGCGGCATGTACTCGCAGACTGTGTCCATTATCGCATATCGCAGCTGAAAATCACGAGATCACGAGAACGTCTATGGGGATCAATGCGAGCCGCCATGAGCACTCGCTTGTACGCACCGTATACCGTATATTCCAGCGGAATTCTCTGTGAGATATTATGAGGGCCCTGCGACTACCAGGAACCTGATCAGACAGTTCGGCATCAGCGCATGCGAAGACGCGCACGCACGCAACTGGCTCTAGCCTGATCCATCAAGAGATGGTCAAAGAGCCGATTGACGACGCATAGCATCGTCGCGGTGAAGGACACGACGTCAAAGCAAATGACTGATTACCTTCAAGCCACAAAGACAGACATGAGTGTTCTGATGCCATACAGAAGTCTTGCATACGTGGTGTCATGCAAGCTGGAAGAACGAACCTAATTCACACCATCTAGTAATGATACGGTGAACTTCGTCGAATGTAAGATGCTACAGGGCGGATGCGTAGGACAGACTCGAACTGGATGTGATATCGACATGAGTGCAAGATGGCGGACGTTTATGTGACTGAATGTGACAGTCCCACCGGATGCCGCTTTGGTTTAGACGGAAAAAGATACTCCCTGGCGGGGAGTCGAACCCCGCTTTCGCGCGGACCCTCAAAGAATGACAGGCGCGTGTACTAACCGATATACTACCAGGGACTAAACGTATTAAGCTCTGAGAGTGAATATGAGGATAATGACAACCTTTAGAGCTCCAGATTCATGATATCGTTGAAGTTGCTTTCCAGCCTCTGGCTCGAGCGTTGTTGATGTCTACATCCATTTATCCCGCCCCCTTTAACCCGGCTATACTGCTAACTTAGTCTGCCCATTTGACCGCGATGCTCCCTAAGCTGGAGAGATCAATTTCTTCAAGCTGATGGACGGCAGTCTTTCAGTCCCTCCAGGTTAATTTAAGGATTACTGTCGATCTTGTAGAGTCTATAGGAGTCGTGAAGACTGCTCTTTGGAACATATACAGCTACGGTATGTGCTTGGAGTGATGCTGCTGCTGGGGTCGAAGCAGTCTGGTACAGAAACTCCCATGCGACGACTCAAATACGAAGTGGACGACATACACGAATCTACTGATAGTTCTTATCAAGAGTGATGCGTGCGTGTGTCTCTCCGTATTCCATGCGAATCCAGGTTTCTGGGCCGACGGACGGGTCGGGTGTAGAGAAGACGATGTTGCGTACTCCATGACCCCAGCCGGTAGAGCTATACCCTCCATACCTGATGAAGCAGGAGTTAGTACATCAGCCTAAATACGACAAGCAAACCAAGATACCCGGAGTGCTTGTCGAAACAGAAGATGACATTCTTAGTCGGTTCTCGAGCACACCACTCGTTACCGTGGTCTGTGATCCGTGCTTTAGTATTATGTCAAAGACAGTTGGCTCTAGGCCTCACCATGTCCGGAGATGACTGCATGCAGATTCTTAACGTTCGCGTTCAGTGCATCCCAGAACGGCTGGTCTTTGCCGGCGGACGACGGATCGGCAGTGGCTTGCGTCGAACCTTGTCCGAGTGCGTCCGCTGCGAGGCGTAACCTTGTCAGGGCTCAATGCTCACACAGCTACAATGCCAGCATACCGTCGAGTCCAGGGTTGATCGTGCTGTTCAGGGTCTCCCACACAGCTTGGATAGCATGCCTGCACGGACATATTTTAGCTTGCTGGAACTGAATCGCGCAGGAAGTGTACGTGCGGAGGAATGTGAACAAATGCCAGGGCACCGCGAGTTTGGTCAGCCGGCCCCCAGACTTCGTCCATTAGCTGAGTTTCCTGCTGTATCCAATTCGCGATGGATGTCTCGACATAATCCGGCAGGGCTGTAGAATTAGCACCCTCCGATACACCTCCTGAACATAGTCTGTTATATAGCGATGTACAACGTAAAACGCGCGAGGCTACTGACCCTGAGAGTCGAATGCCCAGATGATGAGCGCAGGTTGGAAGTCTATGCAAGTAAGTGGGCTGAAACTGATCACATGCACGACACACACCGTTCTGGTGGGCATAGACCTGGTTCGAGGTCAGTGTAGTCTAGAGTAAAAGTAAGCGATCATCCTTACAGGTACCCAGTAGGTTCCCGGAGCATACTCGCCACCGGAAGGGAAGATACGAGTGTAAGACAGAGCAGTGTGGCTCAGCTCCCTCTGAATCTCCTCCAGGTGCGTGATGTTAATCTGATTGTCGTGGTTCTACGAAAATTCGATGAGAGCACATCATGGGAATGTGAATTTCGCGACGCACGCCTTGTGTGGAGCAGAAGGGAATGTTCGCTGCGTTGATAGGAGCCAGTATCTCGTCAATGTACACCGTGGAGTTCTCTCTGAAAGTATCTGGATATTTACTTAGCGAAGGTCAGCCGCATATATGCGGAGTCAACTTACTCTCGCCGGTAATCTGGTCGCCATTCAGCACACTACAGCACAGTCAGACCACAGTCAGATCGCAATCAGGGGGCTAACTTACATGAAATCTGGTTTCTCGCTGGCGAGGACCAAGTTCATAAGACGAGTGCTGTTCACATCCTGTTGAGGACCCCAAGCGTCCCAGGCGTTCTCGCCAAAGTGGAGGTCCGAGAAGATAGTGATTTTGAAGGTGTTGTCAGGCCGGAATGTTAAACGAGGCTTTGTAAGATAAGGGTCAAGGGTAGGAGGGACGGACATAACTGGAGATGGCAATTAGTGTGTGGGTCTATGCATACCTAGTAAGTGCTCACTTCGAGATTCCATTGCCGGTGCCGCGAGACATCCTAGGCCGAATAAGGCCAGGCCTGTGAGTATCTCGACCTTGATAGACGAGGCCATGCTAGATACAACTGCTAGATAATTGGCTTCACAACTGTCGACGCGTTGGCGAGTCAACCAGGAAAAGTTTGCCGAGAGTGTCCAGCTATTTTATACACCGGCGAGGCGCTTACGTCTTTCAGGTCCTCTGCATCGTCGCACGTTCGCCAGCCCCATAGTGGCAAGAGCTGCCTCCTATTATGTTTACGAGCTTCGCCTTCGTTCTCGGGCCCATGTGCGCGAGAGAGCATGTGTGCATGAAGAAGTGGCGGTTAGGAGTAAGAATGCTTTTGACTTTGATCAACTCTTTTGGGGACGTAAACCTTGAACCCACTCGACCGCCGCCTGAATATCTGCATCGCAGTCCGCACCCGCTCAATGTCCTACCGCTATCTACGCAACCTTAAGCACAACGCTGACGACGACCACAGTGACAGCCAAGGATGATTCGCGTAGCTTTGAAGGGTGTCGACTCGCTCCGACTCTTCAAGTTTGAGCGTATCTTGAACGAAGGCATGCGGTACTTCTTGCATTCTCATCGGTAGCAGCTGACACACCTCGCCCCTCGCAGACCCCGTTGCTCACAGCCTGACCCTGTTGGGGACCCTTCCAGACGTGAACGACTCAGACAAGACGTTACAAGCGATTATCCGAGTCGAGAAGACTGCTCTTCCCGCTCAACAGGCTACCACGCTCGTCACACACTTTGTGAAGGATGTGCAGCTCATGGAGAATACGGATATCGTGCGTATCTCTCTCTACGAGATGTTGAAGCTGCTGATAGCGCATAGTAGTATACATGGTTCATGGGATGGCTTGAAGCATCTCGCGAACATCCGGACCTCAAGATCAACGTCGTATGTCCTGCGACCGAACTCCATATTCGCAAGGCTAGTTCTAAAATGTGCCTCGTGTGCGTGCGCTGACAGCTGCGCAGTATACAAAGCAAGACCTCGTCATGGTACGAGAGACTCCTGAGTTATTCCAGAGGATTGTGAAACCATACATCGATGCGTTCCCGCCTTCACGGACTCAGTGGTATGCATTCACACTTTTTTCCATGTTATAATGACACGAACTATACCTCAGGGTTGAAGATATCCTCTCCGGCGAGTCTGAGGCGGAGAAGATCTTACATCGCGCTCCATCGCCAGACTACGGCTATGTGATCCTGCCGGACATGAAGTGGGACCTCATCACCATTCCCGCCCTTTACCTCGTCGCTATCGCGAACTCGCGCTCAATACGCTCCCTGCGAGATCTGCGCAAGATTCACTTGCCTATGCTCCGAAGTATCCGCTTTGAAGCGACTCGGATAGTTAAGGAGAAATGGGGCCTTACCGACGGCGCGATCCGGTTCTTCGTACATTATCAGCCTTCCTATTGTAAGTGAAATGAATACTTGTGAAATATGAAGAAACTAACACGTCTTTAGACCATTTTCACGTGCATATAGTCAATGCTAATTACTACGGCACTATGGGTAGCACGGTCGGGCAGGCTCATCTGTTGGACGATATCATCTCGCTGGTGAGCCATATTGCGATAGGATGCAGCGTCATTTTTGACGGTGACTTGTAGCTTGAACTTGACTCGGATTCGTACGAAGGCCCGTCTATCTTCGAGAGACTGACCTTAACATATGGCCTGGGCAACCAACATGACCTCTATGAGCCCATGAAGCAAGCCCAGACGGACCTCGACGACTAGCAGATACAAGCATGGGCACATACGGATAATTACCGACGCTAGCTACCAACTATCAGACTACTGTGCCTTTATGCAACCTATTCAAGCTTGACAATATATATTCATCTCTCGAGTACTCGTCGCGAACCATGACCCCCCCCCCCCCGCGGGAATCGCTGCGGAGCACAACCTCACCGGACCCTGTTGCGAAGTTTGCAGACAGCCCTTGTCTTTCTTCGCTAATCGTTGTAACCGTCGCCGCCGTCTGGATCCTCTGGTTTGGTCGTTGATCCTCCTTATATTTATAACAACTTGGTATGGACAGCGCGGAGAGGCATGGAGTTGTCACATGAAGTCTCTGGGTTCAACTGATCGCTACTTGCAGGCTCGCATAGAAGCCCAATACTAATATGAGGCGTGCTCAAACATGCTCTATTCACAAATCAGTCAGTATCACCGTGTGTATTAGCTGTCTCTGTACGTGGAGTTTGACACTATAAGCTATCTCGGTCTGATAACGAATGGACACATGCTGTTTACTGCTTCACGTAGCGGACGAACCTATGGGTTCAAACAGCATGCCAGCTAGGGTTCCGCCATCCGTGGGCCTTCCACCGTCAATTCGCGACGTGTAACCAGTGCCCGCCACTCCACGCGGTGAAGACTGAGCTTGGTAGGCTCGCGCTGGGCAGCTCAAAGACAGTGACACGCTGGGATGCCGATGACTTTGCTTGCGACATGCGCGCGTCAGAACATGAACAAGACAGTGTTATAAGCGATCCCCACACTGGGTTGTGTCGTGCTCGCGTCGATGAACTTATGGTACGTGACAGACCTGAGCATCACTAAACCTACAGTGTACAGCTCGTTCACGTACCTGTGAATGCCCTGGAGGCGCACTTATACGCACAAATTATTCCTTGGTGTTATAGATGGCCGTCTTCATCACGGAACAAGCCCTCAGGGAGAAGGGGGGTCCAGTGTGCACACGGATTGAAGGTGGTTACATCGCTTGTCGAGAACCGCGGAGAGCGTTAGCTTCTGTCAGTACTGAGGAATCTAGCAGAAACGCACAATGCCGCCGTAAATGATAGAGCCAATATTCTCAGTGCCCTTCGCCGAGACACACAATCATGCAATGTCACTACCAAGTCCCGAAGAGTGGGAACCATCTACCCGAGTCCTGAGTGCGCTGGCGAAAGATGGATCAACGAGCGACGAGGCCACTTCTAATAATCCGTATACCTCCTTAAATAAAGCCTTGGAGTCGTGCCTATAGGGTTGACGGTGACTATGCATGGCTGTGCTGCCGGCAGCGCGCCAGCAAGGTCGAAAGGCAGCTAGCTCTCTGCGGGAAGGTAAGCCGCGGGAAGATATCGAGAGATGAAGATTAGATAGAATTGTCCAGTATCTTGGCTCATTGCATAGATGTCGAGGATTTACGAGGGACAGACCCACATGCATGTGAAAGCTGAGAAGTGTCAGAGCCTAACCATCGAGAGAGGCGCGCTTAGCTTTGTGGCGCGGAACAGCCCGAGAGTTGTTGCCGCTAGCCAGTGTTGTCAGCGTCAGACTGACACTCGTCAGTGACCCGTCAGTTGACGTCAAGGGCGTCAGGCGCCCAGCAGAGGCGGGGCGCCTGTCGTGAGGCGGGCAGTGGGAGCGCGGCAGGCGCAACGGGAGCGTCACCATCGTCGGTGGAAGTAGCGATTAATAATTAATTATATATTCATTCCATAACAACAATGACGCGTGTTGCTGAGCCAGGATGCGCACGCACTACTCCATGCCTTTCAACATGACCACCCTAGCTCCAGTGCCGGTACACTCTGTGCTGCACCTCATGTTCACGGCAGCGCTCGTCAACACTGTCCAGCCAAAAGACATGCATTACTCTTGTTAATCTGTTTGTGTACCCCAAGGAGTCGGAGCCCACAGCACATTATGATTTCTTCTGGCATGGAGCCGTGAAGAATCTGGAGGAGGAATTGGCGACTTATGACCTGCTTCATGCTCTGTCTGAACGATGACCATAAATATATTACATAAAGATCTGTGACTAAGCGTGCTCCGTCTCGGATCTTTCCGACTGACGGGTCTTGACTGACACCAGGTGTCAGACGGGTCATGACGGCCGTCAGTGACAACACTGCCGCTAGCGACCTGATTGAGAACTTTCGGAGACAGCTCATTCTTGACCCCGAGTCGGATAATCCGCATACTAGCACTCAAGTGTGTCAGATATTTTGTAAAAGTTCCTGCCACTAAATGTGTACAAACACAATATTTTATCATTCAGTACACGTACGGAATCAGTCTGTAAGGGGTCCTCTTCGCATACGTTTCCCACTCCACACCAAACTCCTTTTGCAGAATTCGATCCTCCGTGGGAGCACGAGCGCAAAGAAGCACAGGTACTGCCAGGGACCATGCGCCCCACAGCGTTGTGTAAAGTATGCTACCCCAAGTCTCCCAGCCCACACACTCCGCGTACCAGCTTCCCGGTCCGAAGTGGCAGAGGACCACACCTACGCCAATAAGCGTACTTCCGACGTAGCTCGGATGGCGCACGATGGAGTATGGTCCCGCGGTGACGAGTGAGTGGCCTTTCTTGAGCGAGAGCTCCCAAGTGAAGAAGCGGCCCAGCGTGTGGTAGCACGCAAGGCGTAGGAGGCTCCCTGCGGTCATCGCGAGGCAGCCTGCGAGCCACCATGGCGTGACTCTGATATTGTTTGATGCTCGAAGTGAGTCCCGAATAAGGTAGGACAACACGATTTCTGAGACGGCGGAGGGGTAGCGCTGTGCGAGGATGACTGCCGACTCGCAGATCGCATTGGCACGGTAGATGTTCTGTATACGGCCGAAGGTCAGTTAATGTCCAAATGGCAACCCAACACTGACCCTTCTAACCTTGTAGATGTATCCAGACCGTGAAAGCAGGGGCTTCATCGGGTCCTCTACACCCTGGTACCCCTTCGTCTCTTCAGAGGAAGGTGGTGACGTCGGAGGAGTCATCGCCAGCGCGGTGAGCCTCGCCGCCGTAAGCAACAGAGGCACTTTTGTCAGCGGAGTCGCGAGCAACTGCGACGCAGGGAACCAAATCATGGTGAGAAGTGGTATGGAGGTGGTCTTTGCTGGATCGTATCCCTCTTATATGTTTATTCACGCACACGGCGATCTCACTTCGGGAAATAAGGAACCATCTGTGGAGTCGTGATAGATTACTATCGGAGTCGGTGTTGAAAAATCTGCGGCCTCAGAGCTGTCCGGCAGCCCGCTGCAACATCCGGCGAACGCATGATGGTAATATTGGCGTAATTATGACCAAAAACCTCCCACCCTGCTTCTCCGTTGGAGGCTGCCCTTGCACGCTTACGACCCTGAAGAGCCCAGCCGTCCCGCGACGCCAAGTAAAAGCCTCCTGAGCGCGCCACGCGGTTGTCTCGCCGCCTTGGCCCCGCAGGCTACCATTCCTCAGCATCCGCAATCAATGTTCTGACAAGTCACCGTGGGCATCCCGGATTTTTTTTTTCAATTCAGACCTTGGTCTGCGAGTTTATCGCGCTCGATGCACGATTCAGCTAACCTGTCATATACCCATATCGATTCAACCGTGAGTGCAGTTCCGGAAGGATAACAGTGCGCAGGAGTTTATCTCAATTGAATACGTTTCTGCCGCAGATTTGCTTTGGCTATACTGCAGTACCGGCGATATAGAAAACTCTCAGCCATTCCACGTGCTACCAACTCTGACCGGGTCATGGGGCTCGATTGGTGCATGTTCGATATTACTATCAAAGATAGTATCAGCTTTGCGTGCTTACCGTATTCCGATTTAGTGCACAGATATGACCAGGGGATAGGTACTGAGATATATACAGGACTCTGGGTGGCTAACGCCTGGCACAGCCTTCCGGTGCGGTCAATCATCCGAACGTCCGGATCCAGTGCTTGCTTTGAGTACACAGTGGCAGACTGATTTCTTCATCTTCAGTCAACTTTGCCCTTCAATTTTTACCCTTCCTCTTCTAATCTTACTACCTGGCGTTTATTAAACATCTCCAAGGTAAATTTAATGGTGATTTTTGCTCGGTACGCTGTCCCTCAGTGCCTTCCATGTGTCTAGCTGATGGGTATCGCTGTTGACAGCTCCGTTCTGAGGATCGTCGTTATCTGTGTGGCTTGAGCTCGCTCAACAGCGGAGTGATACACTCTAATATGCTTTCTAGATAGCTATTCCGCGGTCTTGGATCAGCTTTACGGGCTACTTATATTTTCCCAGGCTGTTTTGTACTGATCACCTTCTGAACTCAGACGGCGCTCAACTTCCCCGCACAAACCTCGCCCCTTTAAATTTTGCCCGCCTTTTATTTTTCATGTAACATGAATTCAGCTCGAGACACTTGGCAACCCACTGAGCCCCTCACGTGTCCCACACTCTCCACACGGTGACGTTAAAGACCGGGCTTTTGTCTGCGATTATTGCTTTCGGTCTCTCTGCTGCCGCTCATTGCTTTAGTTGCTACTTGCTTTCTGTCTGATTTATCTAACACTGCGCTCGCGTATATATTACAAACTCACTCCTATCAGTCTTCTCTCGTTCTACTTTATTTTTCACGCCATTGGTTCTAATTTGTCCTGACCGATGCTCAGTTATGAATGACTTAGGTGACGATCCAGTCCAATAAGCACGCCGACCCTGTCTATTGTGCCTCACCCCAACAGTTCAATCTTAATCTATCGTAGCACAAAGGCGTCGCAATTGGCTATCTTTAAGACTTCTTCCTCGACCCGCCTTCCGCATCTACTGTTAGCTCGTACTCACGATTGCCGTCCCGCCAACGCCTTCCGGCAGGTTGAACTGGAAATCATTTATGGCCGATAATCAGTTCTTCACAAGAATCGATTCTTCCGCCACATACCTTGGTACTCGATCTGCGTTTCCTACACGCGCACGATTTCGGCGGACAAGGGCAGGTGAGTATCTACACTAGCCACCACATACCAAATGATATGCCCTTATGCAGCATGTTCAAGCTTGAAGCTTGACGATCAATGTTGTCTCCTACACGAGAGAAATTTGGAACTTTTTTATCGCAAAAAATATGCAAAAACAGCTTGAAAAAATAAGTAAGAAAATGTCATATTTTCCGCTCGGTATCCGGCAGTCCGGCAACTCGGCAATCCGGCAGCCGAGCCGAATATCGTCTGGGTGCCGCCGTCCCCGGGCGCTTTAGTAAATGGCCTGGCGGACAATCAACTCGGCTGCCGGATTGCCGAGTTGCCGGGCTGCCGGATACCGAGAGAAAACATACGACCTTTCCTTACTTATTTTTTCAAGCTGTTTTTGCATATTTTCTGTGACAAAAAAGTTCCAAATTTCTCTCGTGCGAGGAATTCATGTGCGCATTCCCCCAGGTTCTGATTCGTCCTCGCACGGTCACTGACTCACTTGTGGTGCCGCTCAAGGCGCTCGGGCCTGTTCGTTCTCTCCCGAAGCGGCATGTCTCCGGCGGCAGCCGTGGTCGCCGCAGGGCGTGCAGGTGGCCCTATACAATGCGCTAGTTAGCCTAGGCGGAGCCGGAGTTGAGTCTGCGGCGGCGATACCCGCATACTCATGTTCTATTTTAGTCAGGCTCTAATCCCGTCGCAAAACTTTGTGGCGTAGTTGAGGCCGCCGTCCAAAGGACAGACTGGTACAAAATTTGAGGACCGCTAATAAATGAGATTTAAATCTCTGGAGCAGTGTGATCTGCATTCCTAGCCGTGATTCAGAGGGATTACAGGCCCCG